ATCATATATAATTTATAAAATAACATTAATATTAATATATAACATCGACAACTATTAAAAAAAAAAAAAAATTTAATATCAACATAGCGAGAAGCCTACAATCCAAGCGGTTCGTGCGTAATTGCATTCCTCATCCAAGTTCATCAAATACATACAAACTAAAAAAAAAAAAAAAAATAATTAAAGAAAAAACTGCAGCGCAGGTACATGGCTTATATATTTAATTTATATGTTACATATATAATCAGACCGGCAATTATCATGATCATCTTGAAACTTTTCATGATGCAATATTTATCATTTTATATCTCGGATCTAAGCGCCGTTGATTCTAAATATAAGATATTTTGATAGGACCTAGTATAACTAAGTATACAATACTAATTAATATTAACATATAAAGGCTAACATCACCTCACAAATCAAGGCTCATACTAAACTATTCTCATAACAATTTCACAACGCTAACTCTCAATTTGAGATCCAGGCTATATTGCACTGCCATTTGGTAACGTGCCAACGAATAATTTTGTACCAAAAAATGAAAAATCATCATCATCTCGAGAATTTATTTGAACTAGACTAGATTCAACATCACCACAACGAAGCTCTAACCATGAGCTATTCTGACTTTTCTTTCAATAGCTCCCCTACGATAGAGGAGATCAGACACAGTCTAGCACACACGTTACACTTTGTGAGGCGAGATGATTATTCAGCAAACCAGTCTCTTTTAGATCAATGCAGCTTCAAATTAGATCAAGCGTCAACACAATTGGATTATGACTGTATGGAGAAATCAGTTATTGCAGTGCTAATGAATGTACCTGTCCTACCTACAAATAACTCGAAAAAAAACAGTCAGCATACTTTTAAAGAGACTGGTACTCTTTATAATGAAAACATTTTATTATTCCATGCGTACATTAGAGAAATAGCTGTATCGATAATGTTTGTTAAAGGTTGTCCTTTGAAAACTGGTCGATTATCTGAGATATTATCAAGAGATGAATTAGCAGATTTGGTGAAATTCATTGCTTGGAATTTTAAACCATTGTTTTATATTGTTTTAGATTCTACTCCGTTTCTTTTAAACAATTCAAGATTAGTTATTGAGGCAACTTTACAAAAATATTTCCTTGATATTTCAAGACATTTAAGTAGAACTCATTTACAAAAACTTTTCCAAAAAATTGTCCCACAAAAATTTCAAATCAAACCTTACCCATCTACAATAATTCAAAGTCATTTAGTTAAATTAATTAAATCTCATGGAATAGAATCTCCCTTTATCGGAACATCAACCGGTATAACATTCGCCAGAGGAATAGATTTTAAAAAATGTAATTACATTTATATTGAACAACCAGGTGGATTCCCTCATAGGCCAAGAGATGAACTGAAAACCTTACATTTAAAAGATATATACCCAAATTTATCACAAGTGGATTTAATTCATGATGATATTGTTAAACTTTTAACAAAATTGGATATTGTCCCTTTTAAAAGAATTAACACTAATCAAATTGTTAAGCCTGTGATATTACCTTCTAATTCAGCTGGTCCATATGAGGATGATTTCAAGTTTATCGCTGAATTAACTGAACTACAAATGATTAATGATGTTGGCATATAATAACAAGAAGAAACAAGCACACTAAATAGATTTTGCATTCTACATTTTAATGATATGATGATGATATTGATGATTGGGTCAAGACGTAGTTACAAAGGCATAAGTATAAAGTATTTTATTCTGGCCTCATCTAAAAGCTGCCTCCTCCTCTATATATTTATTTAAATCATCCAAGATTTGAACAGTCTCTTCAGGATTTGCAATCCAAACAGTACAACCAGCTAATCTTGCCTTGAAATCATTAGAACCAACACTAGCAAATTGATCACCAATATGTAGTGTAGATTTTGGATGAATCCCACCAAAATATCTTTGTAATGATTCAACACCTAAATCTTTCGAAGCAATATCAACCCAAACATCACTCCCACCATCAAATGCGCAAAATTGAATATTTTGAGCACATGTGGAAACTTCTAATCTTCTCTGGGTGGATAAAACAACCTCCTCTAACTGTTCACGACATAATTTTTCTCCTTGATTTGGAACTAGTCCAACAGCTCTATGTTTTCTAATAACAGTGGCTGGTAAACATAATGACCTTTGTAAAGAATTCAACATGTTTTCAGCCAGATCCAAAGTATTCAAAATATCTTTTTCATCCCATTTACTCATTGAATCTAATAACCATTCTTTTGGATCAATCCATTGTAGATTTTTCAAGTCATCATTATATCTAAATAAATAATTGGATTCACCACCCATCACTGTGAATCTTTGCTTTTGTTCCACTGTTAGGTCCTTATTTTGTACAATTGCATCAATCAACCCTTTCAATCTATCATAATACTTCTCACCAGTTTTTTCATTATATCCAGCAGCTGTAACAACACCAACAATGATATCATTTGATAATAATCTAATCAACCTAGGTATAACTTTAGCATCATCTGCCAAGGATTTACCATCTTCATATAATGTGACATCTCCATCAAATGTAACCATTTGTAAAGGTTCTCTTGCCTGTGCTAAAGCTAATGCCTGGGCAGTATTCAAGATCAATCTTATATCATTAAAACTTGGACATACTAATCTTCTAACACTTATTGATCTACGTTCATCTTCAATGTAAAAAGCTCTTTCTAATGGTAATTTTGTGAAAAACCCAGATATTGAAGGGACTAGTTGTTGTAAACGACCCAATTGTGGAGTTCCTGATTTTTCCATCAATACTGATATACATTTTATTAGCTTAATTTCAAGATCTTGGGGTAGATGTGATACTTACTTTGATCTTCAATCAATTTCTCAACATCAAAGAATATTTCAGCATATCTTCTTCTAGCATCTGATGTTGTCTTTATATCACCAATTGCATGAGAGCCTGATTGAACAGCATGTAAAACAAAAGGAACCTGTTGATTGATTAGCAAAAAAGCGAACAATTGATTTAGAAGATCTGACATACTGCTAATAAACCTTTGATCCATTCAATGAACCCATCTCTACGATGAACTTTCAAAGAGTCTGGGTTGTGTTAGTTGATGGTACAATTGCTGTCAAAAACGATAAGGACATACACTCGACTCTGTATCTGTTTGGAATTACCAGTTAGCTTGGGATTATCAATTGGACAGAAGTAGCTATTAACTCACCTTGAAGACATCTTTCACTTATTGGAATTGAATTATTAATGTTGTTGATGTAGTTTAATTCAATTTTCTTAAAGTCCTTGACGTTTTTCCTTGACATAATCTCGAAAAACGTGAGCCATAAATCAGCCTCGACGACAACATCCAACGTCAAAAAACCTACAACTTGAACTTTTTTTATTTTAATTTCTAAGTATGATTTTGAGATTTAAAATTATACATAATTCCAACAAAAAACTAATCAAGCAAAAATTAAGCACCAATTTATAAACCAGTTTGAGCTCTTCTACGGTCACGTTCTTCAGAAATTGATAATTTGATACCTTTACCTTTTGGTAATGAAATGTATGGTTTACCTGGTTCACCAATGACGAAGACATTTTGTAAACGAGTAACAAAAGTGTTGTCTAAACTATCTTTGATGTGAACTAAATCAAAACCACCTTCATGACGTTCTCTGTGGGTGATGACACCAACACGACCCAAGTTACGACCACCAGTAACATAAACTAATTTACCAGTATCAAATTTGATGAAATCTGAGATTTTACCTGAAGCTAAATCAATTTTAACAGTGTCATTAACTTTGATTAATGGATCTGGGTAACGAATAGTTCTACCATCATGAGTAACAACGTATGGAACACCTCTTTTACCTAATTGGACTCTTTTAACTTTACCTAATTTGTATTGAGCTTCTTCATCAGTGATTCTGTGGACAGCAAATCTACCTTTAACATCATAAACTAATCTAAAGTTTTCATTGGTGGCTTCTAATGAAATGACATCCATGAAACCAGATGGGAAAGTAGCATCAGTTCTAACTTTACCATCAACTTTGACGTGACGTTGCATCAAGATAGCTTTAACTTCACGACCGTTCAAAGCATATTTAAGACGGTTTCTTAAAAAGACAACCAATGGTAATGATTCTCTTAATTTGTGTGGACCTGCAGATGGACGTGGAGCATAGGTACCACTCAACTTGTCCAACATCCAATGGGATGGAGCTGCAAGACGTTTAAGATGTTTCTTTCTATTGGAATAATTGTTAGTATTGAATTCAAATGTTCATTGTGGAAACAAGTGATTAAAGACTTTGAAGAATTGTGATCTTTTGATTTTGATTGATTGTTATAAAATGCTTTGTAGTGTTCTTGAATTTTATAATTTGACAATAACTCATGAATGAGTATAATGAGTATTTTCTGTTTGTTCTATTCCTTATTTTATAATCTCTTGTATCTTTGAATAATCTCTTTATATCAAAACTTTTCACAATATAAAAAAGCTCCAGCTTAAAAGGTCAATAGTTCATTACGACCTTTCCTTCATGTTCTTTTCCCTCACTTGTTCCTTCTATATGGGGTTCACTTACGGTCCTCTTGCCATTTTGTACTTTGTTAAGAGATGTTATTCCAAAAAGTGACTAACGTTAACTAGTTGTTATGTATATGATCTTTTCAGTTTTGATGAAAGGGCTTCCCTCTACTGCACAGAGTGGCCCAACCGAACAATTTCTCACCGCCAAAAAAAGCTGAAAATCTCGAAACTGGGCCAATCTCGAAAATTGCGTGGTCGCGAAAAGTGCTGTGCTAACCAGGAAAACTAACAGCCAAACACCACGAGATTGGTGTTGCAGGAATGTCATGTGACTGTTAGGATTCATCACGTGCAAGAATACATTGATTGTTTAGGGCTTTAAAAGTATTTCAGCGGTTAACATGTTGATAAATTGAATAAATAAATTGAATAAATAAATACATAGGCATAAATAAACAAGTGGCAAAGATCACACTCGTGCTCCTCCAAACATGTCCTCCTCTTGGTCAGCACCGTTCACGTTCTTTTTAACTCTCTGCTTCACACCAGCAGCAGTCAACACCTTAATATAGTCAATGTACAAGTTAAATGGTCCAAACTGCTTATCCAACAGCCCAATACCAATGGTCTTCACTCTATCTCTTTCAATACCAGTCTGCTCTTGGATGTTCCCCCAGTTGGTCAAAACAAAATCATCAATTGGTATCACCACGGTTTCCCAATTTCCAGGGTTATTCAAAAATAATCGATGTTGATAAATATCTGTAATGATTGAACTATCAGCTTGGATATTAACAAAATATTTCCTATTGTCACCTTTCACTCTCATTTCAACATGATGATATGGACTCCAATCCCAAAAATTTTCATCACCAAGATATGTTTTGGGATGATCTTTTGTTCTAAACATGGCGTACCCACTATACATTATATCGGGTCTATTCGGTGGGGGATCTAAATTCAAATATCCATGGAAATGACCAACACCATTCTCAACATCAAAGTTTGCAGTACTGAATCCTCCAAGCTCTTGATCTGACCTTAACAAAATCTTTGATGCTTCATTTGGTCTCTTAAAATCTAAAACTTGCTGAAATGGTTTGATTTCAGGAACTTCAAAAACTAAGAAAACATCTCAATTAGTTTGGAATTATTGAAAAAGCTGTATTAAGTTCAACATACCTCTTTTAGCTTTTGACAGAATGTTTTTAAACATTATTTAATTGATTCTTGGATCCATAAAGAACACAAATGGTGTCAGATTTCTCCATGCTTTGTTATTCACCCATTTCTGAAGAAGGCGCCATTGCCGCTAACCATTTCCATACACATGGAATTACCGGATTAGGATGAAATTTAAAAATTATAAACAACAAATGCATATGCCAGTTTCAGGTACATCTGGTTAATTTCACAATTGCTCTATGCCAGCTAAAATAAACAAAATAGCAATTTATTCCTGACTTTTGGAAACTTGATAAAGTTTACTTTATACAACTTGAGAAAGTCAAGAGATCCTATAACAACTTTATCCTCATTCACTAGTTGTCATAATTTCTCACTCAATATTTGTGTCTTGATTTTTTTGTGTCTCAAAAGTTTGTTTTTTATTGCATTTGCAAGTGAATTAAGCCCTTCCCGTCAACAGTAATTATCAACACAGGCTCAATTGAAGTGTACCAAGATGCCAATCTTCAATCAACAACAAGCTCCAAATTATTATGAAAATAATAATAATAACCAAAACCAGAATCAATTTGTTCAACCAAATGAATATGGTGAACCTGATAATAATACCTTAAGAGATGAAAAACAAGGTGTTCCAAATCCTCAAGGACATACATTTGATGAAGCCTTCCAAGTTGAAAAACCAAAATGGAATGATATCCCATTCACTTTATTCTTTATCGCAGTATGCTGTGGGTTCGTTGCAGTTGCAGCTTTAACTTTGAGAGGTTATGCCCAAAGTTATTCTCAACAAGGTTCTGGTATTTATAATTCCACTTCTTCATTCTCTTTAAATACAAACACTGTTATCTTATTTGTCTTTGTCGTTGTTGTTGCATTGGTTATTTCATCTGCTACTTTAATGTTTGCAAGATTACATCCAAAAGGTTTCATTACTACTGGTATCATTGTTAATATTGTTATGGGATTAGGTACTGCAATTGCTTATTTTGTTATGCATTATTATTCAGCTGCTGTTGTGTTTTTAGTGTTCACTTGTATTTCAGCATTTTGTTATTGGGGGATGAGATCAAGAATTCCATTTTCTGCTGAAGTTTTAGTTACTGTTATTGATGTTATGAAGTCTTATAAATCAACCTTAGTTGTTTCAGCAATTGGTTTGTTAGTTTCTGGTATCTTTTCATTATTATTTAGTGCTGTTGTTGTTGCAACTTATATGAAATATGATCCAAAACAAGGTAGTGAAGGTTGTTCAGTTTCAGGTGGTGGTTGTAGTAATGCTAAATTGATTGGTATTTTATTTTTTGTGTTTTTTGCAGGTTACTACATCACTGAAGTTATAAGAAATGTTATCCATGTTACTATTTCAGGTGTTTATGGTACTTGGTATTATTTGTCAAGATCTGATGAAGGTCAACCAAGATGGCCAGCTTCTGGTGCTTTCAAAAGAGCTATGACTTATTCATTTGGTTCAATTTGTTTTGGTTCTTTGATTGTCACTTTTATTGATTTATTAAAACAAGGTTTGAATTTATTACGTCAAAATGCTGCTGCTGCTGGTGAAACTTGTGCTCAATGTGGTTACTTGGTTTTAGATATATTATTGGGAATCATTGAATGGTTGGCTCGTTTCTTTAACCAATATGCTTACTCTTATATCGCTCTATATGGTGATGGTTATATCAGTGCTGCTAAAGCTACATGGCATTTAATGAGACAAAAAGGTATTGATGCCTTGTGTAATGAATGTCTTGTTGGTACTGCCTTGGGATTCTATGCTATGTTTAACGCTTATGTTTGTGCTTTATTAGCTTTCTTATATGTCAGATTAACCAAACCAGAATATAACTCTGAAGGTACATTTTATGCTCCAGTTGTTGCATTTTCATTTGTTATTGCCTTGCAAATTTCAAATATCGTTACACAACCATTAAGATCTGGTACTTCAACTTTCTTTATTGCATTAGCTCGTGATCCAGAAATTTACCAACAAAGTTATCCAAATAGATTTAACCAAATTGCTTCAACTTATCCAAATGTTTTCGATAAATTGAGAAATAGATAAGCTGTTGGTTCAAATATCATTCAAGTTTATATTTTTGTTTTATTATATTATCTCATTCACTAATCAATTAATCTCAATTAATTCCCATTTCCATATAATTATTTACTACAAGGGACAAATTATTTCAACAAATGTATGACTATATTAATTTTATCACTATTTTCAAAGACTTGTAAACAATTTTTTAATTTTGAAATCTTGGTGTAATGTTTTTTCTTGAATACCAAGTGACAAAATCTTTCAAACTTGTTCTAATTCTTCTATTATCTTTTGAAACCAAAGCACTTGAAATAGTGGTGACCAATTTATTACGTTCTTGATCTGAAACAGTGTTTTGTGGTAATGCATCTAGTGCAATATTTATCCAATTAACCGCAGTTTGTGGTGATGGTGATAATCTGAGTGTTTTGCCTAATAAATCAGAAGCATCTGGATGTGCATCTGCTGGGAATTTGAAAATTAAACCATGTAAAACATGTTTTAATAAACTATCACCATGTTGACCAACAAATCTTTGGACTGTAAGTTTAACATCTTCTGGAACGTTCTCATAAATTGAAATTGGTGGTACATCAAATCCCCATGAGACTAAATCAATCAAAAAGTGTAATGTGGCAATTAATGGTTCAAATTTTTCAATATCCAAAGCCAATAAGGCAACTTCAAATGTTGAGCCCAAGATATCTGACAAGACGAAATTGGTAACAAAGAACATAATAATATCACTCATCATTCTAAAGAAATCTTCAATTAAATCTGGAATATCAATAGGTTTAGCTTGTTCGAAAACAACCAGAAATGTACCAATTTGTTGATATGCAAAGTTCCACACTGATTCTTTAATTTCAGCAGAGGAATATTCGTCACCAAATTCTCTAATAACAATACCAGAAACCCATAAATAACAACCATATCTTGTTTCTTGGAAACCTTTAACCAATGCATTGGCAACAGATGGTAAAATAGGTGTTAAAAACACATTATAGGTTTGTAAAACAGTCTTTGTAAATTTCATACAACGTTCTGAAACTTTCATAGAATGACCATGATGATCTAATAATCCAATAACCATTGGCCACATTTCTATCACTAGATTTGCAACTGGATCTTCAGGTGTATGGAAATCACGAGGTTTGATAAATTCCAAAAAGATTCTAACAATTTCAATTTGTTCAGCAATAGCTTTATAAACTTCTTCTGAACCTTCTGCGTTAACATAACCATTAATTTTTTCCAAAACTGGTTTTATAAACATTGTTGTAGCACTTGCAATATTTGAATAATCTTGGGCATTGATGATATGTGCAATACCTTCGGTGATTTCATAAAATGATGTCAGATCAACCATTGGTGAACCAAAGATATTAATGTAGAAATTGTATAATTGTTCAATGTAATTTGTCAATAATTTTGAACAATCTTGACAAAAGTACATTAATGCATGTGATGCTGCAGTAATAATATCTGCATCTGCAGCTTGGAATCCGTTGATGATATAGTTCAACTGTTTTTCCAATTGTTCTGGATGTTTAGCTGTCCATTCAGTATATCTACCCAAAACCAGGGTAGCTGCATATCTAATCTTAACATTTTCAGGTAATTGGACCAACAATTCCATAATTTGAGGTAAAACTTCTTTTTCCTTCAAGCTCACTTCTTTAGCCATGGCTCTTAAACTGAACAATGGTGCTTCAACATCTTGCCATTTGACATTTGATGAATTTAAACTTGATCTAATTTGCTCATAAGGAATTGTTAAAGCTTTTGATGCACCAATAACAGCAGTACAATCTTTCAAAACATCACCCATATCGTATCTAAAATCTTTGAATTTTTCTTCCTCTTCTTTACTTGAAAATAATGGGTCTGTTTCACTACCATCTGGATAATGCAGATGTTTGATCATGATGTGGACTAATTGGGTATAAATGTTTAAAAATTCTTCTCTTGCAGGTTTGAATCTATCAATAGTGACAACTTGTTTCAAATTATACCAGAAATAGAAAGTATACTTCACAATATCCAAGTCTTCTTCATATGCGGTACATTCTAATAAAATTTCCACCAATGGTCTAAAATCTTTTGGTGCTTTTGCAATCAACATGTGCCATGATTCACCTGATTCAACAAATAATCTTGTCAAACTTCCAAAGACATCAACATCATCAACATTCTGTTGTAATAATGGTCTTAGTTGGATAATTTGTTCAAATAATGCTTGGATCAATTGAATGTTTTCAATATCTCTTGTTTCTCTAACAATGGAAACCAGACATTCAATAGCTTTATCAAATGATTCTTCATCACGCAAAGATTGGAAAATAATGGTGGTTAAAGGATCAATTGTTAATAGTTGTTCAACAGGGATCTCTCTAATCCACGAATTCAAACAATCCAATATAAGTGAGCTAGCCTTGGAATCAGATGTACTAGATGCATAATTTGACAAGAGCAACAAGACTCTTTCGACATTGTTGATGATTAATTCTTCAGTTCTCAATCTGAATTCTTCATCAGTTAATGGGGTACCTTTTGGATCCAATGATTCCTCAGGGAGAATTTTCAAGAATTCTAATAATGTTGGAATGTGTTGTGATAGTTTTGATGAGATTTCATCAACTGCATTAGGCCAAGTCAAATATTGGATTGATAACTTAGCAAGGGCAATTGATAGTTGTGTTCTGATAGGTTTATTACTTTCACTATATTGGATCAAGAATTGAATGATTGAATCTTTCAACCCCGAGAGAGAATCTTCAGGAACTTGATGCAAATCATATGTCAACTTGTTTCTTAGTGTCTGAGCAGCAAACATCTTCATTTCCACAGTGTACTGGCCATCGCCCAATATTGTATGGACCACCTGCCATGCCTCTGGGGTCTTTTGGAATTCCTCCAGGAAGTGTAAAGCTGAAGTTTTGTCACTATTGTTGGAGCTCATCAAGGCCAAGGCCTCTTTGATTTTGACGAAAACGGCACCGTCGCTCATTGTAATTCAGCAATGTTGATAGTTCTATTTCAGTAATAGGAATTCACTTCACAGTAAAATTGCTTCAATACTATTTGTCTTCAATACCTTTTGCTTTATTGTAGCGCTTAATTCAAGATCAAAACAAAAAATTGAAAACGGTTGATTTCGAAAATTCGAGGGTGTTGCCCGGCAATTGGAAAATCTGCTGAAGAAATTCGCGAAATGGTAAATAAAGTACTTTGGAATCTGTTATGGTGATATTGGTAAAGATTGTATTAGCAGTTGAAAGAAAGTGTGAATATGTCAGGAAGAAGACAGCAGAAGGTGGTATGTATTGGTGGTTGGGTTTTAATTGGGAAAAAAAGCTGATGAGTACTAACATTTTATAGCTTATTCCACCGATTAATTTGATATTCAAATACTTGCAACAACAATCAACTGTGTCAATTTGGTTATTCGAACAAATTGAATTCAGAATTGAAGGTAAAATAAGGGTATGTAAATTGATATAACTATTGTGGTCAATACACTAACTAGGAGAACACAGGGATTTGATGAATTTATGAACATAGTGGTTGATGAAGCATTTGAAGTTAGCCAAAAAGATGATACAAGAACAGAACTAGGCAGAATACTATTGAAAGGTGACAACATAACGTTAATTTCAAGTTTGGAAGCTTAGACTATAAAGGGGGGAAAATGCAAGTTGCTACGATACACAACGAATGTACTATAGAATCACATTAATTAATGGAAAGACAAATCAATTAAAAAATCATTAATCATTACACAGGTGTAGCTGGTTGTTAAAACTTGAACCTCACTTTCTTTGATGGTGAGGCTTCTATTGATACTGTTTCTTGTTCGTCAAGGCTATGATCCCTTTGCCGTACTCTAGCTCTCATTTGAGCTCTTTCCTCTCGATATTCTTTGATGCATTCTTCATTATATTTTCGTATCTAAAAAGGTGAATATGTTAGTGATTAGTCTTAATATGACGACTAACATGTTGATACTTACTTGTTTATCACGTTCTTTAGACTTCAAATACTTCTCATACTCAGTTTTCTTTCTGGGTAGTGGTACGCCATCAGAGTCTTCAGCTTCTTGATCTAATTCACCAACCGGACTATCTTTCAATAAACTTTTAGAAATTGAAACTTTCTGTTCTTCTTCCTCTTCTTCTGCAATTATACGATCACTCTCATTGGGTTCATTGTCAACTTCAACCTTAGCATCCTCTTTTTCATGTTTCTCATCTTGAGCTTTTCTTATCAGATCACGAATGTCAAGCCCTCCAACAGCACCCTTTCGAAGCTTTGGTTTCCCATTTTTCACGCTCTTCCCACTCATTACGGTATTATCTTGGATAACTCCTATATCATTTCCATAGGATTATTCTTTGTGGTGACAAGTTTCCAATGAAATGTTTAAAATATGCCAAAATTTTGTGATCCCAAGGTTTTTTTTCTCTTTCTGAAAAATACGTTCTCTACGCATCGAAAACACTTAAATTATTTCATAATACTCTTAAATTTTTATATGTACACGAGACTATATATACACAAAGCCGACCTAAGTCATTCACATCCTTCTTAATTTGACAATTGTTCATCTCTTTGTTGCTCCTTTCTCAATCTATCAGCTTCTTGCACTTTCTTATGGAACTCAGCGTGTTCTCCACTCATATGCTCAATAATACGAGGTAACCCAGGTCTTGCATTCATAGTACCAAATAAGGCATCACCAATTTTATCGTTGTAATTGTGAGTTTTTTGTTCTGGGTTGATCAATGCAATGATTTCATTTCCTGGTTTGAAGGCATCTTCAACTGCTTTTTTCAAATCAGTTTCAGTGGTGATGAAGTTTTCAGCACTGTAATAAAGTTTCAAAAGATTAGAAGCAGCATTTAATTTTGTATTGTATTCACGGTTTAATCTGTTTGCTTTTCTTTTAGCATTTAACAAGTCTTTTTCTTCTGGTGTTCTATTTCTCATTAATGGCCCATCTAAATATTTGGCAATAGTTGGCAGTGTTAATTTAGCAGCTGGAGTTTCTTCAACAATATTTGCTTTTTCTTTAGCCTCCTTGAGTGCTTTTATTCTTTCTTCTTTTATTTTATCAGTCTCTAGTTTTTGTTCTTCTTTAGTCAAAGATTCAATGAAATAACGACGACGAAGTTGTGATTTCTCAATTTTTTCTCTTTGTTTAGCGTTCAAACTTTCTAGTTCACCAGTTGCTAATTCCTTCTTTGGCAATTTAACAGTATTGGCGATACGATCATTCACAGTATAAACAGGTGGTAATTTTTGTTCACGACTTGTTCCTTTAGGTTGTAACACATTTTCAGCATAACCAACATTTGGATCGATTTTTCTCTCCACTGGTTTGATAGGTTGTTTGAAGATCTGGCGCACAACTGGTAAGACACCAGATTTTCCTCCGAATTTAAGAGCACCTTTACCCATTCTTTTTTGGTGATATAAGCGATGTAATGCTCAGATCTTTGGTATACTTTCTTGATCAAATGGATTTTTCAACACAACTAAACCAAAAAAAAAAAAGTGGAATCGCGAATTTCGCGAAAAGGGTAAGACTGACATGCTACACCGTGACAATAATCTAAACGTATGAATCTTTAACTTAAAATGCTCTAATTCGTAATGGATTTCTTGCGATATGGGATTGTTCGGTGTCAAATTCATCTAGTGTAACACCCCATTCATATTCACCTTTCTCCAAAATCACTGCACCTATTAAAATCTTAACAGTTTCACCAGGTTTTATGGAATTTTTCAAAGGTTGTTGCAACACCCCGTTAAACAACAATCTTCTATCAATACTGCCATAATTGGATGCTATTGGAATGTTTCTTAGAATACCGCCAATATCATTCGAAGAGTTGTTCCGAATTTCAATACTGACGTTGAAAAACTCATCAGTTTGTAAAACATGGTGTAATCCTTTCTTGTCAACAGCTTCCTCCACATCAACCTTGATATCAACTTTATCAACTTTAAGAACGCTCAGCATTCTCTGTGATAATCTAATACCCCTGAATTCAATTTCACCTTTAACATCACCAACTGACCACGCACCACGTAACTTTTTCAGTATCTCTTCACGATACCAAAATGCTTCTCTAATGAATTGATCTTCAGCTTTGGTAATCTTTGGTAAAATATATTGTCTATTTGACAAGTTTGGAACCATTTTCAAATTATCATCATCCTGAATCTGAATTCTTCTGATGGGTATTAATATTCTCTTTGTCTCTAATGGGACGATACTTTCCTTAACTCCAAATCCATCATAATCAATATTGACGTTCAAAGTCTTATTCCAAACATTCCTTAAATCAACAAGAAATAATGCAAAATCTGTAATATTACAATCTTTTTGACTATTGATGTACTCCCAAACATCTCCCCTTTTTGAATCAACTTGTTGTACTAATGGAATGACATCACATCCTGCCAAATCAGTACTAGGATTCACCATCACTCTGATTGGAACTTCAACTCTTCTTGTATATATTTCATCTTCAACTTTATTACCATAATCCAAAATCAAATTGACTTGGTGCATTCCTCTTTTCCCCTGGATCTCTAAATCTAAAGTTATGGTTTCATATGGTTTGATTTCCGCAATTTCATTGATGATCTTCAAAGGATTCTTGAACAAAAAGAATTCAATCTCATAAACTTCATTAGCTGGTAAACCTTTGTTATTCAAGACGTTTTTCAATGGGTCAATAGTGGAATCCCATACTGAAAATTCCAAATGGTTTGCAGGAACTGGTGAGTTGTTCTTAATTGTTAATTGTAACTTCTCTGATCCACCTTCTAATAGCATTAAATGGTCAGGTTTTGATAAGATTTGAATATTTGGTTGTGCAGAAATAACATTCAGTGTCAATTCATCAGTATTAACTTTACCATCAACTCTATTTTTGGTTAAATTTTCTTCATATTCTTCCAAAACCTTAGAATGAAATGATTTATCATTTTTCAATTTCCTAACAACTTCACTTTTCAAAGTTTTAGCAATTTTGAAACTTTGTAATTGACAATCGAAAACTTTAATATTTATGCTTGAGATTTGAGCAGTTCCAGATTTTAAAGGTTTGGCTAGTACGCTTAATGTATTAATTGCCTTTGGTTGAATAACAAAATGATTTCTAAAAGTTTCAAATTGATCTATTTGAATATCGTTAATGTTTAATTGGAAAGCAAACGGGTTTTGAATTGATATCTGGAACTCAACAAATTCATCTTGTACTAAATAGACACCGTCTGAAGATATCGGTTTGGCATATGGGTTATAAATGAACGGATCTTCTTTATTATTTGTAATGCTTGCTTGTTTTTGTTTCTTTGGTGTATTTATAGGCTTGATAATCTCTATGTTTCTAACCAAGAATGGATCAAAATAAGTGAATGGTAAGTCATTGGCCCTGCAGATTGATTGAATCTCAGTCAATAGTCTTGATTGTTCATTATCAGTTAATGAATCACTATATCTTGTCAGCAATAATGATTTGAATAAAATGACACGACGATTGTCACCCACTTTGGAGCAGATTATAATACATAGTTGAATGACTGATTTGTGAAGTTGAACCCATCTACTTGCAAATGAATCTTCAAGTGCTGTCTCTGGTGACCTTCCAATCCCATAGATTGACAGGATTGTGTCAAGCAGCTCTGATAGTTCATAGGTCTTTGTTGAATGATCATTATTTGATAGCTCAGGTATCAAACTAACAAACAAGGTCCTTAAAATAAAACTTCTCTTCCTCAGGAGATTCAAATCACCATAGATGGAAGCTAGTGATGAATAGATTTTAGCTTGTGATAAAATATCCATATCCTTCAATTGAACTGTCAATATTTTATTTGAAAACTTCAAAATATCCATCTTGTCAAATAGTGAATTTTGGAGTTTTGGATAAATTTTTTTACCTCTAACTATATGATCAATTGTTGAATTGTTAAAACCACCCCCGATATTCACGACACACATAAACTTGACAAATCTCAGGATGGATTCACAATAAACTAGCTGAGGTACATAATCTTCATGATCGTTTTGAGAAATTTCATAATAATATAAAACCTTGACTGTCAAGTGATGGATTAATTCTGGTGTGGAAAACCGGCTGATATCAGAAGATGGGGTGGCACTATTACCATTAATAGCCATTGAATTTCTTGGGGTAGATGCAGGAGTGGAAGATGGAGTTGGGATTGTTAAAGTTGTATGTAAAACACTATTCAGTGATGATGGCATTTGATATGGAACACCTAAAAATGTTAACATGACTAAACATACACCAATACCTTCTAAAGTTGAGCCTAACCATAGATAATCAGAGCATGTTCGTAGTAGTGGGACAGCATCATTGAATTCTTTTAAAGCATTATTGTATTTACCAGCCAACAAATACAAGTTACCCAAAATTTTGAGTTGTCTTCCTTTAACTTTTGATTGACGACGTTCTGTTGAAGAGCTTAATGATAGTTTTGGGTTTGACGAATCGCCTAATGATAATGATAAAGATGATCCAGAGCTTATTCGTTTCTTTTTAGTCTCCATTGTCTTTATTCTGTCATTGCTTCCAATCGTTCCAGGCGACCTCAGAGTAATGTGTTGGAATGAGGATAAATATGCAGCTAAATCATTTAGAAAATTTCTAGTAATATCACACAAGATGGTTTCAATATTTGTCTTGGATTGATAGAAGATTTTTCCGCCATTAGATTCGTTTTCTGATTTTGAGCTAAAGACAATAGCAGTATGAGTGATTGAAGATTTATAAAGCTTACTCAACTTGATAATATCATCATTTGAACAATTTGGGTCATCAGTTATACCAATGACAACAAAAGTTTTTCTAAAAGGTTCAAAATCATGCAAAAAGATGGATTCTTGATCATTCAGAGATAATTGGAAATCATAAATAACACGACCATTGGGGAAACCTTGAGGATTGAATAATGAATTCTCCGTTGGTGTGACATCAACTAGTCGAACTTCAAACGAAGACCTCACTTTTCCCACGTACTTTTTGAATGCAGATTCAGAAATGTTGCCCAGTGGCACCAAGAGAGCCTTCACTCTTGCCGGTGCTGTGTATGAATGGGCCTCCATAGCTCTTTAATGAATGTGGTTGATGGATGAAGTCTATGTTAAAAGACCAAGTTGTTTCCTTTCCAAAAGTCGTGTTTTCATCTTTTGATCTCAAAGCTCTCGACCGCGTCGAAATGGCAGTGGAACGTAACAACCAAAACAAATAAAACCAAACACAGAAGAATTTTGATCCAACGAGAAATGGATCAACCAAACTAATTCTCTTCATACTCGCCCATAATCACCATAAATCTCATCTCTCAACTATTTTGCTTCCGAAAGTTATATCTAAAATCTCATCTCTGCTGCTCAAACCACGATCTTTTTGCCCTTTTCCAAAAATCTCGAAATCCAAAAAAACTAGAGAACGTCAAAAGGCCATTATTTGATCAAACAGAACTCCAATTCACTTTAAACACAACACAAAAATGGCTGGTCTAAGCTTTGACAATTACCAAAGAAATCAATTCCTATCGGCAAAGGGTTATGGTGCTCCTACAGCCACTTCCACAGGTACCACCATCGTTGGTGTCAAATTCGACGGTGGCGTTGTGGTGAGTATACAATATCAAGATCAATTGGAACGAAATATACTAATTATTTTAATAGATCGCCGCAGATACTAGAGCTACAGCAGGAGATATTGTTGCTGATAAGAATTGTGAGAAATTACATCGTTTAGCACCAAAGATTTGGTGTGCAGGTGCTGGTACAGCTGCTGATACTGAAATGGTTACTCAGTTGATTGCAAGTAATCTTGAATTACATTCATTATCTACAGGTAGAGAACCAAGAGTCGTTACTTCATTAACTCAATTGAAACAACATTTATTCAAATATCAAGGTCATATCGGTGCTTACTTGATTGTTGCAGGTGTGGATCCAACTGGTGCACATTTGTTTAGTGTTCAAGCCCATGGTTCAACAGATGTAGGTTATTATCAATCTTTAGGTTCGGGTTCTTTAGCTGCCATGGCTGTTTTAGAAAGTAGATGGGAAAAAGATATAACAAAAGACGAAGCTATAAAATTGGCTGCTGATGCAATTGAAGCTGGTATTTGGAATGATTTAGGTTCAGGTTCAAATGTTGATGTTTGTGTGATGGAAGTTGGTAAAGATGCACAATTGTTGAGAAACTACTTGACTCCTAATGTTAGAGAACAAAAACAAAGATCATATAAATTCCCAAGAGGTACTACTGCTATCCTAAAAGAATCTATATATAATCTAGTAGATGTTCAAGAGGAGCTAGTTGTTGGAGGTGGTGATGAAATGGAAGTTGATGCTTAAAAGAGAGAGATGAAAGTGATTTTGTACGAATAGAAATGGTTTTATAACAAATTTTAATAATTATTGTAGGTTGATCTATTTTTTAGCTAACTCAAGTGCTTTAACAGTACCTTCCACAATAGCTCCATGCTCCACACTATGAACTTTCTCTTCATATTCTTCTAATGTAATACCTTTTGGAATTTCGATTTCTTTAACAATCAAAGGTTCACCTTGATCAACCTCTTGAATAACATAATGTACCATAACACCACCTTTTGTGATTTCGCCATCTTGTGCAGCTTTCCAAGCACGATCAATAGCATGTGTACCTTCAAAAGCACCAGGTAATGCAGGGTGCAAGTTTATTATAGAGATACCTTCATCTTCTAAAGGTGTTAAAAATTCAGGAGCCAAGATTAACATCCATCCAGCACAAACAATTAAATCTGGTCTTTTATAACCTGGAACTTCTTCACCTTCTTTATCACCATGTATGATTAAATTTGCCAATTCTTTGTTGAATTTTTTACGAGCTAAAGGACGATCACCTTTAGGTATGTCCTTATAATAGTTTTTCAAAGAGTGGACTCTTGTTGGGATTGAAGCATCTTTAGCTCTGGTTAATCCATATGCATCTGATGAAGATGAAATGACTTGGATAATATCAGCGTTTAGTTCACCTTTTGCAGTGGCATCAATTAGAGCTTGCAAATTGGAGCCATTTCCCGATATAAGAACAGTGATTGTTTGCTTTGACATTATAAAAAGACTCAGAAGAACGCAGTTGGTGCTCTCTTTATTCGATGAGTATTAAATCTTGAATTGGCTTATTTTTTTTTCAACTTTATTATCACGTAAATTGAGAAAGGGACACACTTTGACTCCGATAACATGACAAAAATCGTTATCACTACGCTAAAAAGCTCGTGAATATATAAATAAATACTTCCTTTTATTTGTAAAAAGTAGTAACTAATCTATCAAATAATTTTTTTGCATCCTATAGTTTTATGGTACTAGTATATATGTTGTGTAAGAAAAAGGGTCATCAAAAAAATAAAAAAATAATTAAGTAAAGAAATAACATAAATGTTTTGTGTTTAAGAACTATTAGAAATCTATTCCAAGTTTTTGATGATTTGTTCAGTGAAGTGAGAAGTGGTGGCACTACCTTTCAAATCACCAGTTCTGTTTTCTTTACCTGAGGCAATAGTTTTCAAAACAGCTTTATGGATTTTTTCACCATATGATTCTAAACCCATATGTTGCAACATCATACATGATGATAATAATAAAGCAGTTGGGTTAGCTTTGTTTTGGCCAGCAATATCTGGAGCTGAACCATGGACGGCTTCAAAGATGGAAACTTTATCACCCATGTTACCTGATGGAGTTAAACCTAAACCACCAATTAAACCAGAAGCTAAATCTGACATAATATCACCGTACAAGTTTGGCATAACCATAACAACATTTGAATATTTAGATGGATCAGTGACTAATTTTAATGAAGTGTTGTCAATGATTTCGAAATCAATTTCAACATCTGGGAATTGTTTAGCAACTTCTTTAGCAGTTTCAACAAATAAACCATCAGATAATTTCATAATGGTAGCTTTGTGGACAACTAAAACACGAGGTTTACCAATTGATCTAGCATATTCGAAAGCATATTTGATACAACGTTCTGAAGCTTCTTTTGTGATTAATTTGATTGATTGAACAACACCTGGAACAACAGTATGTTCAATACCTGAATATTCACCTTCAGTGTTTTCTCTAATCAAGACAGTGTCAACATTTTCATATGGAGTTGGGTAACCAGCAATTGATTTAGCTGGTCTAACATTGGCAAATAAACCAAAAGTTTTTCTTAAAGTTAAATTTAATGATTTATGACCTTTACCAACTGGTGTAGCTAATGGACCTTTCAAAGCGACCAAGTTCTTGTAGATAGAGTCAACAGCTGGTTGTGGGATGGTGGTTTGACCGTTGACTAATAAAGGAGTGACATCACAAGATTCCCATTCAATTGGGATGTTAGCAGCAGCGTAGATTTCTTTAACAGCTTTTGAGATTTCAATACCAATACCATCACCTTCAATGAAAGAAACGGTGTATTTACCATTGGCGTTTTTCTTACCGTTGAATTTAGCAACTTGAGTAGCGTAAGTTCTTCTGGCGATGTGTTGAGTGGAAGGTCTGAAGAATAATCTTGAGGAAAGCATCTTGTGATGGGAATGTGGTGGGTTGGATTGGGTGTTATAATAAAGAAGTTGATTTCGAGGATTTCAATTATTTTGATCTTTGATTTCTTGAAGCTTTTCCTGAAAAAATGAGATCGGAACCGATTCCAAAAGCGTTCGCGAAACTTTTGAGTCAGTCAGGTGACTAATCACGTGTAAGTGTTTTTTTTTTTCTTTTTTTGTTTGAAGGCGTTTTTATAAACATCAAAAATATTGTTCAGTTTTACGCGTCAGAATTACACTGGACAATCAATTGCAATCACAAATCATGAGCAGAGAATCAGGTTTAAAAGCTGTGCTGGGTGATGACACATTCAAGCAGATCCAAGAGGTAAGTTGCTATACATCTCTCACTCAATTGAGGTTTGGAAAGTCCGACTAACTAATCCATAATTAGTCAAAAGTACTATTAGTCGGTGCTGGTGGTATTGGTTGTGAATTGTTAAAGGATTTGATCTTGTTAGGTTATGGTGAAGTACATGTTGTTGATTTGGATACAATTGATTTGAGTAACTTGAATAGACAGTTTTTATTCCGTCAAAAAGATATCAAAAAACCAAAAGCTTCAACTGCAGTCAATGCTGTTGAACAATTCAACTTCTTCAAAACTAAATTGACCCCATATCAAGCTTCAATTTACGAAACTGAAACTTTCCCCTTATCGTGGTTTAAACAATTTGATATCATTTTCAATGCCCTAGATAACATTGCAGCAAGATCTTATATCAACAAGATTGGTTTATTCTTGGGTAAAAGAATCATGGAAAGTGGTACAACTGGTACACAAGGTCAAGCTCAACCAACATTCCCAAATAAGACTGAATGCTATGATTGTATGCATCGTGAAACTCCAAAAACCTTCCCAGTTTGTACAATTAGATCAACTCCTTCACAACCTGTTCATTGTATACATTGGGCGAAAAGTTTCCTTTTCAATTCATTATTTGCAGAAGATGAAGTTGCTCCAATTAGTACTGAAAATAGTGAAGCCGAACTAGGTACTGATAACAAAGAGGAAATTAAAAACTTGATCAATGAAAATAACGAACTAATTGATTTGAAAAATTCAATTAATGATGAGAATTTTGTGGAAAAAGTTATTGAAAAAGTATTTATCAAAGATATTGAAAAGTTATTATTAATCACAAGTCTTTGGAAATCAAGAAAACAACCAACCCCATTGAAAAGATCAGAATTGGATACTGATTCAATAACTGAACAAGATTTAGGAACTGGACAGAAAATCTGGTCAATTGAACAAAATTTAAAAGTTTTCATAAATTCCACAAGGGCATTACAAAAAAGATTAAAAACTGAAAAAGAAATTGAATTCGATAAAGATGATGAAGATACTTTAAATTTTGTCGTTTCAGCTGCAAATATAAGATCATTCATATTTGAAATCCCAATAAAATCAAAATTTGATATTAAATCAATAGCTGGTAACATTATACCTGCCATTGCAACCACAAATGCTATCATTGCAGGATTTTCATCCTTATTATCATTAAAACTTTTCCAAGAATCACAAAAAGACCAAATTAATTCAAGTCGTTCAGTTTATACTTCAACTGGTAATAATAAATTCGTTTCACCATCTTGGTTAACTGACCCAAATCCTCAATGTGCAAGTTGTTCAATCCCTCGTGGTGTGGTTAATTTAGATAACAATTTGACAATTAATGAACTAATTGAAGCATTGATTGATAAATATGGATATGATGAAGAAATCGCTCTAAGTGTTGGAAGTCGGTTATTATATGATGTTGATTTTGATGACAACAAAGAGAAAAAATTGGTGGAATTGGGTATCATTTATGGTGAACATCTTTCTGTTAATGATGAAACTGATACAAAGAAAAATGTTGAATTTTATGTTGAATTAAATACAAAGGGTGAAATCAATTTCCCTGATATTGAAATTCCTGATAAACCAAAACCTGTTGAGAAACAGGATAATAATGATGATGAAGAAGGTGATGATAGTGATTTTGAAGTCATTCGTGATGTTGTGGATGATGATGATGTTGTTATTGTCGAAAACCCTGACCAAGACTTGAAAAGAAAGGCAACAACTAATGGTACTAATGAACCTGAAACTAAAAAAATTAAAGTTTGAATATAATTACATAGGTTTCAATTATTTTGTATACTCTTTATATTATTATTGTAGTGCAAAACGAAAGAACAAAAAAATAAAAAGAATTGTAATAAAACACTTCAAAGAAGGAAAGAAGTTGAAAATTCCCACAGTCATCAATAATTGGTTAATAGAAGGATAAAAATTGAAACAACAAACAATATAATCAAAAAGACAAAACAAGAAGAAAAAAAATAGGGTATAAAAATTGTCCAAGTAGAAAATTCAAAAAAAAACACGCTAAAATAACAAAATCATGAAAATCACAACAATCATAAGAAAACACAACATCGTTTAATCCTTTTCACTTTTCGAACGTGAAGAACTTCTCAGTCTTTTATACCATGGATCTTTTTTACCACCAACGTTTAAGAAATCATCACCACTAACTTTTGAACTCCAACGAGATTCACGTTCACTTAAGTCTTCATTTGAAGCGTTCCCTGTAAACATTGATAATGGTCTTGGTCTTGTGAAATGAGGAATATGGAATCCTGGTGACGACGGTGACGTGGAATGAGTATAGTTATTGTTGTTGTTATTATGTGCATCCGCACTTGTAGCCTTCACCATGGGTATTGAAACAGGTTGTGTAGCTTCTGTATCTTGAACTTGAATTTGAGGTTGTACAGGTTGTTGTGAAGGTGGATAAGATTGAGCAGGGTGATACAACTCATCATCAGAAGTTTCATCATCAGTTGGATGAGTTGGTTTATCTTCATTTGATAATAAATTTGTTTCTGAATGTGTCTTGTTTTTGGTTAACCCTGTGGATGTAATACTATTACTATAATTTTTAGGATTTATAGCATCTGGAATACCACCTGCAGAGGATAAAGAACGTGAATGAGGACGAGTTCCATTATTTGTTCTCACTGTCAACAGATTTGTGGTTGAATTTCTTGTACTATTTGGATATGATTTTGTTAAATTTGTTGAAGATGGACCTGCATTGATGGAGTTCGTTGTTGTAGAATCATTATGTTGGTATTTCCGTACATCTGGTAATAATCTTTTGGAATATTCAATCAATAGTTCCACCACTGCTTGAGATAATGCATATTCTTCAGGTGTTAAATCATGATCAGGATGTGATAAAATTGAAGGTTGGAAAATAGCTGCTAAGTTTCTTGCAGGCATCAAATTGTCTTTAGAATTATCTGCAAACATTGACAAAATATCCAATAAATAGTACAACAGTTGTCTTTGAGCCTGTGGTAGTTTGTCAATCAATTGTCTGTATTCTTTTAATGCATTTCTCAAATCTTTTGCAATTTTTTTCTGCTTTTTAGCAGCCTTTTGTTTCTTTAGTTCCAATTCTTCAGGTGATAGCTCAGAGTCATCTTTTTCTTCAGGTTCTTGAGTATCTGTAGCTCCTGCACCCTGTTGTTGTTGCTTCAAGTGCATAGTCCTTATTCTTTTTTCAAGTGTATCATTTCTTGCCTTGATATGCTTTAAAATTCTTGGTCTTGACTTAACAGGCTCTCTAAATTCTTCATAAAGATTCAAAGGAACTAAAGGTTCTGGTAAATTATTCAAATATCTTCTGATCAAAGAAGCAGCATCATGTACTGTATATCCATCCCAGTTCAACTTTCTACCATATTCAGGAGGTGTGCTGAAAATATATTGCAATTCTTTAACTCTTCTTGAAGCTCCAGCGACTCTAAAGATACCTTCAACTTTCAAACCTTTTTCTTTCAAATAAGAACCACATTTACCAACTAATAGAGGTATTCTGCCATAGTGAATAAAATCATCAGGCGAATCACTTGGAACGGAAATCAAGCTTTCAGCAACATTTATAGACTCTTCCAATGGAACACCAAAAACTTCATTACCAAAGCCGAATTTTTGATTTTGAGAAGCCATGAAATAATCACGTTGTTGTCTAATCAATTGTTCATTTGTATTTGAAGGACGGACAGAATTTGAAGATTTTGATTTGAAGCTCAGAGTTGGCCTAGTTAAACTTCCCGTAGATGACGCGTTTTCATTTGATCTTCTACTTATAAGAACATTATCTATATGTGATGGGGGAGATGATGAGCTGATAAAACTATCATTTGAAGTGTTTTTTTTCAATTGTTTCCACCAAGACGATATTCCTCCACCTCTTGTAGGTGATGTTTCATTTGATGAAGACATGATTTTGCAACTATATTGTATAAGAATTTGATCGATCTCTCTTTTCAACTCTCTTCAGCGCTTTGGAAAATGAATTGAATAACAGGGTGATGATTGTATAATGTAGCCGCCCTCCATCAAATGGTTCAGATAATTTGTGAAATAATGGTATTCTCAGGCCTTCACAGTTATTTTAGAGAGGCAAGGCAAAAAAAGAAGACACAACTCAGCTTTTAGAAGAAAAAAAAACGACACGAAATTTCAACTGGTATGTTTGGGAAATATGAGGTTCAGGGACTTTTGATCTCTGACTCTGTTGTGATGTTTTATTTGTTGTATGGGTGTTGACCTGAAGAGCTAACAATTGTAGTTTCAATTCCACGGCGGTTGTGATGTAGTTTTTGTTGTTGTTGTTGTTGATGATGGTGTTGATGTGATTTTGTTTTGAGCCTGGAACACTCACTCACTCCAGCAAAGCGCCTGGTAGGCCCAGCACGCTGCTCAGCGCTTTATTTTTAGCGCAGGCAGACGGCAGCAGCTGTGGCCACCGGGCAAGGGACAGGGAAGCTCTGCCTGGACATAGGAGCGTAGGCTGGGCAAGCAGCTAGGACTAGGCAGAGAGAATGCTAAATATAATCAGCAGCCAGCGATGATCTTTATTCATTGCTCAGAGCTGGATCGTCGCTGATAAGTTTTTTGTTGAGCGTATACAAAATTGAATCAAAAAATTTATCAAGAGGCCCAATACTGCTCAATTGGGCAAAGGACCATTCTCAATTGGGATTCCAGACGCATTGAATCCACAGCAGAGTGCTTGTTAAATCCTTCGATGTGTATTAACTCTTGTATAGCTAAAAATAAGTATCCTCCGAGAATTGGATAGATGTGAAATTTGCTGGTTGGCAATTGATGTAGCTCTGTAGCTCTGGATCCTGGTTTTTTTTGTTCCTCAGCGTTCTAAAGCTGATGATAGTTGCTCAAGGGCTTTTTGTGCTACATGTGTTCTCAGGTAGTCGCATTGTTACACCAAAAATAACTTCACAGCTGACGTAGTTTCATCTTTTGATATCTTCAAAGTCTACAATATCATTTTTTAGCTCAAAATAAGTACATGAATTAAAGTATCGTAATCAATCAAGTAACTTAGATATCCTTCATGAAAAATAGTATAGACAAAAACAATAGATAGAAGTTGAAAAAAAAACATATGTAGAACGAAAAGGATGCATTAAAAAACGAATAGACGAATAGAAAAAAATGAATAGAATTATGCTGGTGAAACTTCTCAATTCAATTGAACATAATTACCAGGGAAAACACCAGTAACTCCATTAGCTCTACCAGTCCACCATCCATTAGCATCTGCAGTTCTTTGGACAATTTCAATAACAGTACCTGCGGCGAATGATAAGTCCCCTTCAGCTTGTGCGCTATAATCATACAATGCTGTACAAGTTTCAGCTGCTGGAGCTGGCACTGGAGCTGGTGCCGGAGAACCATATTGCGGCACTGCAGCTGCTGGTGCTGGACTTGAATATTGTGTAGGTGGTGTAGCATAAGCTGGAGCTGCTCCGTATGATTGAGGTGTAGCTTGTTGGCCATAAGCCGGTTGTTGACCATAAGCTGGTTGTTGGCCATAAGCTGGCTGTTGACCATATGGATCCTTCTTTTCATCTGGATAGCCTTGTGGTGTAAGACCATAACCTCCAGCAGCACCTGTTGGTGGTGGTGTGTATGGTGGTAGGTTAGACCCTGTTGAGGTTGGAGAAACAACACCTCCTGGAGATTCTTCACCTCCTTTACCATAACGACGTTTAGTCATTTCTAGTTTAGCTCTAGCATGTCCAACTTTGAAATGGGTAATACCAATTTCTGCAACCCTTTCTTCAATATCACCTCTTTTAGCAGCAAATGCTTCTTCAATATCTGTATTCAAATCAAAGTATGGAATCTTCATATCTTCAAATTTATTGTATAATGTGTAAAAAATATTCAATTGCATGAAATAAAATGAAACGAATAGAGGTTGAACAAATTGTGCCTCCATTTGGAATAAGATTGGTAATTCTTCCTTCAACATATTATTATAATAATCATATTCTTCTTGTGCAATTTGAACATCAGCTTCAGCCTTGTATAGTTTTTCTTCATCTTTTGGAGTTCTCTCCTTCTTGTTTTCATACTTCATATAAGTGTTTTTATGTCTATCCAAATCCAATTGTTTATGAGCTCTTTTAACAGACATTTTTCTAATACTTTGAATCACTTTTAATAATTCTTGTGCAGGTTTAACAATCTTGGTATCGATTAATTCCAAATCTGGTTTCAATGTAGTTTGTAAATCTGCCACGATCTCTCTATATTGTGTTGAAGCTTCAATACCTTCTGGATTATCTTCAGGAATAGTTGAGTTTGGATCAGACAATTTACCAGAAATTGGTTTAAAGATTTCCTCCATAGCTTTTGAAAACCCAATTTGATGATTCAACATACCATTAACGGCTGTGAAATATTTCTTGGATTCATCACTCAATTTTTGAGTTTCAACTTCAATTTCCTTAAATCTTCTTTCAGCATCTTCATAAACAGGATCTGAGGTACTTGTACCCATATGAAACTTTTGTCTAAAGTTTTGTGGAGCCTATAAGTTCAATTGGTTAGTCTTATTATCGAAAATCAATGATTCATTCCCTCATCACGAAGGAACATCAACAATGCAAATGATGCATACATACCCTATTAATGGCTTTGGTAAACCCTTTGAAACTCATGTTTTTGATGAAATTTCCAGATCAATTGTTAGTTAATAACCTCAATGACTAGTGAAAAGTCAATATTGATTGACTCAAAAACGGTTGTTGATGTTATTCTCAACTCGCCTCCCTTTTTCAAATGCTGTTCTTCCGGCTCCCAGTTTTTTTTTTCTCAGTTCGCGAAAAGGATGAAATGGTCAGGGCAGGCCATAGCCTGAAATGGTAAAGGCACTACTAAGAGCTACACACAATTTAAACTTGTTAAAGTATTTAGCATTATTCTCTCGATAAATTTGAAGCCGTTGGTCTTTTATGGTGAGTGTAATTTGTCAGTTGATGTGGCTGACTTGGTTAAATTTGATTTTTCTCGGATCTACATGCCAGGTTTCATGAAGTACCTCCAAAAAGCGCTGACCATGGAAAAGAGCTTGAGTTAGGTTCCTTGTACAACAAGAATCAATGGACTGTCCTCTGTTTGATCAATATGCTAACTATTTCCCTGTAGCTCAATTATCCATAAACTACGTAGTATGGGTTTGAGCTTTTTTTGACTGATATCGGGCTTTAAGAATCGTTTGAACTTCCAGTTACGTGAAAAGTTCACTTAGTTCCATGTAATCCACTTGTGCAATATTTGTAGAATCTAGATACCTTCCCAGATGATTGTAATATCATGATACATTGGCCATTATAGCAGCCAAATTGTACATTTCTCTCTGTTCTAGGTTCTAGTTTCTATCTTCTAGGTGTGTTAAAGGTGAAAGGTTCAGTTTGAAATCGCGATGGGAAGAAAGCCATAATTGTGGAGCGGTTGTGTAAAACGTATATCAACTTGAAAAGATTTATCGGTTAAATGAATAACGCAATAAGGACGAATCCATTACCAAGACTGGAAAATATTTAGGTTTGGTACCTTGAAAGGTGATACTCTCTCTTGATCAGGTCGTGATTATGTTGCGGGAGTTGATGAAACTATGATTAGAATTATCAAGGCTAATTAAAGTCGATCAACATACAAATGCCCCTGAAAAACTGTACACTTGAATAGATATGATATGGCACACAAACCAGAGTATAGTGTGGCTTTGGCCTTTGGGTGAATTGAATGGGTTTGGACGGTAAAAATGCTGAAGCTTTCCTTCATATAGGGCACTGAAATTTTTGAGTCGAAATTAAAAGAAGCCATAGTTTCATTTATATGCCACTTTATACTTACATTTTGACGGCTGTTTCCATAGGTTAACCACACCTCTCAAAACATAAGAGGCACCAAAACGTACAAATGACTGATTTTTCACAAAAAGCTGTCGCCTATGTGCATGCGCTGATTAGATGATATATCTTGATCATGATTGATCAAAGGAACCACAGTTGTCACAAAATGCTATTTCCAGAATAATTACGATTGGTATAAGTTCCAGATGGTATCCTGATTCTGCAACTTGATGAACTCTGAAAAGCGTAGTTGATTACTTCAAATTACAAAAGCTGAAAATGGTGTGGAGACCAAACTTTTCCAATGACAATAATATAGAGTCAGCTTCATCAAGATCAACTGATCAAGAGAAGATAGAGGTTCATTCCTCAAAGCAATTTGATAACCAAGCGGAATTAGAAAAAGGTGGTATAACTCAAGAAATAGCATTAGAAAATGAAACAGATGAATCTTCTGTGTTTGGTCATGATCGTAATAGATTAAAGGCAACTTTGGAACAACGTCACATTCAAATGTTAGCTTTGATTGGTGTCTTTGGGACTGGTATCTTCTTGTCTAGTGGATCCATTCTAGCCACAACGGGTCCTGCTGGTATGTTTATTGCTTTTGGTATTGTTGCGACGATTGTTGGTTTAAATCAAATGGCTTTGGCAGAAGTTGCTTCACTAATGCCAGTTTCGTCGGCAACTGTCCGTCATTTAGAGCAATTTGTGGATCCTGCTTGGGGGTTTGCATATGGATGGATTAGTGTTTGGGGTTCTATCATGCCTGGTGAAATTTCTGCTGCTGCTGTGATTGTATCATATTGGACTGATATTTCCCAAGCTGCTTGGATAAGTATTATTATCTTTGTGATTATTGCAACAAATTCTTATACTGTTAGATTCTATGGTGAAGTTGAGTTTGTGTTTGCAATGATTAAAATCCTATTATTAGCTGGGTTGATCATTGTTTCCATTGTTATCACTTCAGGTGGTGGTCCAGATCATAAATCTATTGGATTTCAATACTGGAGAAATCCAGGTCCATTTAAAGAATATGTTACCACTGGAAGTTTAGGTAAATTTGTTGGATTTTGGAAGACGTTATCAGGTGTTGTCTACTCTTTTGGTGGTGTTCAATCAGTTCCATCTTTAGCAGCTGAAGTTAAAAATCCTAGAAGAACAGTCTTTACTGCTTGTAAAAGAATTTTTTACAGAGTTTCTATATTGATGATGATTACTGTTCTTTGTTTAACTTTGATTGTTTCTTCTGATGATCCAAATATTGCAAATTCCACTGGTAATGCCAAATCATCACCATTTGTTGTTGCCATTAAAAATGCTAACATCAAAGTTCTTCCACATATCATCAATGCTGCGGTCTTGACTTCTGCTTTCAGTGCTGCCAATTTGAGTCTTGTTTCAGGTTCAAGAACTCTGTTTGCATTGGCCGTTAAACATCAAGCACCAAGAGTCTTTTTGAAAACTAACAAAAGAGGTCTTCCATGGGTTGGCTTAACTTTTGTTGCTATATTTATGCCTTTGGCTTATATGAATGTTTCTAATGATGCTGCAAATGTTTTCAATTGGTTTCAATCTTTAACTTCTGCTAATTTATTGCTTGGTTGGATTTTGATCTCCGTTAATCACATTCATTTAACGAGGGCTATGAAAGCACAAGGCATTCCTAGAGAAAGATTACCTCACAAGTTTAAATTTGGTGTTCAGGCTGCATGGGCATCAGGTATTGCTTCATTAATTTTGTTGTTGACTGGTGGTTTCAAAAATTTCATTCATGGTGAATTTTTGATAAGCAGTTTCTTTAGTTCATATTTCATTATTCCATTATCGTGGGGCTTGTTTTTCTTTTGGAAATTTTTCAAAAAAACTAGATATTTGAGACCAACTGAAGTGGATCTAGTTTCATTATTCAAAGATGCAGAAGAACATCCAGAAGAACCTGCTCCAAAAATCAGAGGCTGGAGACTTCTCACTTTACTTTGGTCTTAATTGATAAAGTTGTTTTCTAATATATATATTGTCATTGTTGCTTCAAAAAATTCGTATTCCCTCACCTAAGTATCTTGTAGAGTCTAAAGATCCGAAATTTGGTTTTATTGAACCTCTAGGTATTGTGGTTGGATATTCGCGAAATTATTGATACACAGGCGTGGGCGGCGCATTTTACCGAAAAATTCTTTAGATTAAAATAACTCAATTTTTTCTTAAGCACGGGTACCCAAGTATTAGTTTGTAAATATTCAAAATTTCCAGGCTTTCTTATGATGTATTTGCTTTTACATTCTGAGTCAATTTTGAGTTAATCAATTTTAAAAATTATTTGAAACTAAGATTTAAGGGACCCTCTAAATGATAATTTTGAGTCAATATTTCAACTATCATAAACAATTTTTTAATTTTTTATATTATGAGACTCAAAATTTCATATTTGTAGAGAGGAGACACTTTGAAATAATTTGAGCTCAATTTTGAGCCTCTCAGCTGGTACTGCATGTTGATATATCAGCGAGAAGTGACTGGTGGTAGATTTATTGACACGTATAATAATGGCAGCAGCTAAAATTTGATCCAAGAAAATTTCGAGAATGTTTCTGGGGTAACGCCACAGATAAGAAAACGAAGAACGTATACAGATCTTCAAACATACAAATCTTTCTACCCAGCTCATAGTACACTCCACCATCAGGAGTCGAAAAGAAGTAAGATCTGAAAGATTTCACGCTCATTTCACTTTCATCACTATTTCACCCGTTCACCACCTAGTTGCGAAACAATCCCCTTCAGATCAGCTTTTTGGATCCCAGTTAAAAGGAAACTCAATGAATACAAAACAGACGACCAGCTTACTGGCTGGCGCTGATATTGACAGCCCCTCAGTGAACACAGCCGTTGAGTCTTCCCTCTTTCAAGAATCAGAAGACATAGAAAATACAAAGACAGGTCTTTATTCCACCTTAGTTGTTTGTTCGGCTGCTGTGGGTGGTTTTATGTTTGGGTATGATACAGCATGTATCTCCAGTATTTTAATCTTTTTGGACCAATCACAATTTACTCTCACTTCAAAAGAGAAAGAAATTATAACAGGCATCACGTCAATAGGCTCATTTTTTGGAGCTATTGGTGCAGCTGTATTTTCTACAATGATTGGAAGAAAACTGATCATCACATTATGTTGTATTTTGTTTGCATTATCAGCAGTGGAGCTAGGACTTAGCAATACTGTGCCACTTTTAATCATTGGTAGGTTTGTTGTTGGGCTAGCTGTGGGTGCAGCTTCTATGATAGTTCCCGTTTATATATCTGAAGTTTCACCATCCAAGAAAAGAGGTCGCCTGTTAACGTTGAACTCTGTGTCGACAACTGGTGGTCAATTCATTGCAAATTTAATTGCGTATGGCATAAGAAATACTAAAAACAACTGGAGGTGGATGTTTGTTGCAAGTGGAATCCCACCATTGTTGTTCCTATGTGTGGTGAAATTTATTCCAGAATCTCCAAGGTATTTGTTACTCCATAATGATTTTATTAAGGCTCACATGGGACTGTCTATGCTATACCCCAATGCAACAAAACAACAAATATTAGATAAAATCGAGTCGATACAACACGATATCAAATCAAATGAGGTACAAATGAAAAAACCCGTGCATGAAAGATTATTTGGCTCACCAATAGTGATAAGGGCTTTAACAGTTGGATGTGTATTGATGTTCTTCCAACAAGCGGTCGGATTCAATTCATTTATGTATTATGGAGCCACAATTTTCAAGATAGTTGGTGTTGGAGACCCATTGATTGTTTCAATTTTGATTAGTGGTACCAATTTCTTGTTCACTTTCGTTGCTCTAAAGTTCATTGATAAAGTTGGTAGACGGAAAATGTTATTATCAACGGTTTGGATAATGGGCCTGGGGCTGTTCTTTGCAGCATTTGGGTTTTATAAAGCTCAACTACCAACAGACAAAAATATTGAATCCACCTCACTGAACTTTTACTCCATCCTTCTTGTGGTTTCTGTCCTAGTTTACGTTGGAAGTTATGCCTCAGCATTAGGAACTGTACCATGGAGTTCCGTTGAGTTTTTATCGCTCGAGGCTAGAGCTCCAGGAGCTGCTATGATAGCATGTACAGGATGGATTACAAACTCTATAGTCTCTGTTACTTTCTTATCGTTGATGAATACGCTTTTGCCCTCGGGGGTTTGTATTATGTTTGCATCGGTTTGTTTCGTTGCCTGGGGATGTATATACGGTTGGTACCCCGAAGTTGCAGGATTATCATTGGAAGAGATCAGGGAAGTTTTCAGAAATGGTATTGATATCCATTATGTGAAGAGAAGGAGAGACTCTGAGTTGACAGCGAATACGCAAATATGACCTTTATGCATCTCATTAATTCATTACTTTTTAAACACATCAGCAATTAGTTCTTGTACCCTTTTCCCATACTTCTTTGCAAGTTCAGGATCTTGCCCGTCGAAGTTCCTGATAAGATCCTTTGGGGTCTTGTAATCTTTTTGAATGGCTATAGCCTTTTCTAATGAAATCCCTCTAATTGTCATCAACATTCTTACAAACATTTCTCTCACTGTCATAAGTTTTGTTTTGGATAACATCGTGTCAAAAGTATAATATTTGTGAGCACATTCAATATTCCCTCTGCCAAACTTTTCTCTAAATTCATCCAAAACCCTTCTATAATCTTGTTGAAATTCAAGATTTCTTGGTTCCAATACCAAAAGTCTTTTCCCTGTATAATATTTGACGACTTCTTTTGTAATCTTTGCAATGAATTGAATAGTGTCATCTGCATCTTTAGTCCTTTTCACATGGAAACTACTTGTTGTCATCGCCATACCCATTGAAGTTTGAATAGCATCAGCCATTTGTTGCACATCAGAACTCATAACTTCTTCAATAAGATAAAATACATTCTTCACAGCAGATCTTTTCAAACGAACTTTTTGTTCATTATAACGACCATCTTTGATACTTGAAGCTAAATCATCTAATCTTTTACGTTCAATGATATAGTCAAGAACAACTTCTTCATTGGTGGTTTTATTTCTAGCAATCCATAACCCATCTCCAACAGTTAACGGTCTTGACTCTGCATCCACACCCAATTGCTGAAGCTTTCTATGGAAGAAATCACGATCTGTAGAAGACCTCACTTCTCTATTATCAACAACAAACCGCACTGTATAAGTACCAGGTTCCCAAAAATGATAATTGACACTATTATAATTATGAATAACCCTATTCATATCTGGCCTGACCTCTGGGATAGTATCCATGACGATTGGTTCATCACCAACTCCAGGGTTTCTCAAAGCTGATGAAGAGGAAGACGGCCTTGGTGCATCAGTTCTGAACACAATCTCATCAGCAAATTTCAAATTTTCTGCTAGGTCCTTCCCTTCATCAGTTAGATAGTAATGTGCTGGTATTCCCTCAACTTTCACCAGTTCGTTATTTAATAATGATTTGACACTACTCCAAGCCGAATAAAATTGGTTTGTGCTGGGATTTGCAGTGAAACTCTTATCACAATATGGGGTACAATTCTTAATGATGGCATCTTTTGTCATCCCACTACATCCCGGATCAAACTCTAGTAGAACAAGCAATATAGCATACCCACCAGATCTTTTCACAGGGACATATTTCTTCTTTGCTCTTTTCTTCTTTGGCTCAGCTGTATCATTTGTGGGATTATCATCTAGTGTAGCCTTAGTTCTTTTCCCACTAGAGGCTCTCTGAACAGAATTAACACCAATAGGTAAATTATAGCCATTCTCTTTACAATATTTCTCAAGTCTTTTCTCCATTTGGCCCACTATTTTCTCACCGATAAATGGGACTCTAATCAACTCTCTTGGTGTCAACACTGGTTCTGGATAGTTCCGTAGTTTCTCAAGTGCACGAGTATACAACAGTGCAGATTTTTGAGCCCTCAACGAATAAGCCAACACATCTTCCTCCAACCATGTTATATAGAGGTGCTTGATATCATTGGGTAGTTCCATGGCGCCTTGATGACTTGACCTAAATGATTGTAAAGATGGTGTATCTTTTTTTTTGGCCATTTTGTATTTTTGATTTTCGCGACAGGCTTTTTTTTTTCGCGTCTGTGATGAATAAAACTACAATTACCATTTTTTCAAAACAAAATATTGTTAGCTTTTTAGCATTTCATTATTCATTAAAAGACACATGTGGCTTCGTGTGGTCTCTTTCAAGACGGTCATTAGATCCTCTTGGGGCAATCACATCTCTGAGGGTAAGAGGACGCTCTGGAGTACTAGGAACATAATCAATGGCATCAATATCTTCATCTGTAACAACTCTTCTTTTTCTTCTTCTTGCAACTGAATTTCTATGCGCTTCATGTGGTTGAATGGCATCAAAAGTATTGAAATAATTATCAATCAATTCTTCATTTGTTGGAGGAGAGAAATATTTATGAGTACCATCAATTCTTTCCATGTCAAGTCTTGATAGATGACTTTGAGGGCGGTCTCTCGACTGTGATAGAGCTCTTGAGCTTGAAGGTCTTGACAACTGTGATTTATCTGGCCAGTCAGTGACCGTTTTGGTAATGATGAGTTCATCTATTGAGTCAGCATCTCTATCTTCAGAATAGCTAATTGGTTCTGGGAATTTACTTGATTTGGGGACAATTTCATAATCATAACCATTATCATCAGGTTCTTCAATGGCATCTTTAACAAAAGATTTGATTTTTTCAACGATTGCAAATGGTAAGCCTTTGATTTTGAAAACAATTCTTTCGGTGTCTAACCACATTTCATAAAGTTTCTTGATTGTCCACTTGATCTTCATTACAAAATATTTCTTTAAAGATTTCACTTTAACAAGAAGTTTCCAGCCAAGACTCCATACTTTTTTGATGAGCATAACAAACTTCATCACAATCTTTTTCAAAAGTTTCATTTTGACCTTTTTCTTCTTCTTTAACTTTGATTTCGAAGCACCGCCATTATCATTGTCATCATCAGAAGTTGGTTCAGCATCATTATCAGGATCCTCTAAAGTGAATTTTTTAGCCTTTCTATAATACTTTTTGGATTTATAGTAACTTAAGCTCAGCTTCTCCTTGATAGAATACACCGTTTCTTTAGGCTTGATAATCAAGACAGTCTTCAAAAAAACATAGAGAACATAACCTGGATAGATCAACAATCTTAAAAACAAATCCAAAATCTTGAACAACTTGGATTTTGAACTTGACTTTGCAGCTTTCCTTTCTCTTCTCTTTCTACCACCACGTCTCCTATGCTTAGTTCCCATGTTAAGCGCCAGTTTAGATAGCGTTTCAAAAGCTTGTGCAAAAAGTCAATGTATTCAGATGAAACTTTTCTTCTGTTTTCAACAACCGCTGAAATCAAAAAAAAATATGCGATTTCACAAAAACCATGAAAAACATGAGACACAGATCAATTGAAAAAAAACTTTTGCTCCACATGACGAACAGCATGAGTAAGCTGACTTGTGGTGACACCGAAATTCGAAATCAAGTTCTCAATCATGAATTTCTCCAATTCCATAACTTCTTCATCACTGAGCTTTTCTTTATTGGAACCTGATTCTATCAATTGTGTATAGGCACTCTCTATACTCTTGACATCCTTCCCAGTGAATTCAGAGCTTTGCGGTTGTTGTACTGGTTGTTGCTGTAGGTTCTCTTCTTGAGAATCATCCTCTGGTAATTTGAAGATATCAAACAATCTTTTCATTGCAGCGGGGCCTTCTTCAGTAGCTTGGGTATTCACAATCTTGTGAGTAAACCAATCCAAGTATTTATTTGTCTTTTCTTCATCCCAATCGATAACTTCCAGACTTGAATTCTTGGATAATAGTAATTGTGTTAAAACATTATGGAAATTCTTGTTATCATCATCTTGGTCCAAATCCAAGTTTCCTAATAATTCTTTCCACTTTTTCCAATCATATGTGGGTTGATTTTCGTTAACCGAACCATTTATGAAGTAAAGTTTTGTAATGGAGATGATTATACTGATTAGTTTAATCTCTGGGAATTCATTAATATAGGATTGTGCAGTTTTAGTACCTTTGAACGGTTTTATATCCAATTTGATTAGTTTCAACTTTAAGAATTTCTTAGTTGCAAAATAAATCTGTGGTGATAATATCAACTCTTTAATAGCCTTGAACAATAATGGTTCATAATTCAATTCCAAATGGTTTAAATTCAAAGATGTGGCAACTTTGGAAATCGCAAAGCATAAATCACCTTTCAATGGTGGCCTTTTGGGTTCAAATGATCGTACTTTACCCATGGATAGCTTATCTCTCAGGACTTTTGGGACATTGAAACTTGCTCTCATATATGGAATTCTATTTGTTGTTGTCCATTGAACAAAATCATTGATAAATATGGGTAAATTTAAATAGCGACACCCCAGATAACATAGGGCTAAACTATCAATATGTGTAGGGAGTTTAGTGAAGCCGAATTCATGATCTTCGTTTGATGTATCATTAGTAAATGAAGTGTCTTGTGTGGTGAAACCTTCACTATCTCTATATTCTCCATGTTCTTCTTCTTCTTCATCATCATCATCATCCAGCTTACCATTGCTCTTTTCAACAGTATCTATATCATTCAGCATTGAAATGTACTGAACATAATATCTTTTAACAACAACCTCCAATATTTCAGGTAATCCATGGTCATTAATCAACGATTTGATCTGGGATTTCAACACACACTGGAAACATTTGTAGTATAGTTCTCTACCAGCAGCACCATACAGTTTCCTTTTAGCTTCATCTTTTTGCAAGCCTGGTGTAATCTGTGAAGCTTGTGATAACCCAGTAGTCACAGTTGGAATATTCAATCTTCTAGTAACAATAAAATTATCATCATCGTCATCATTGAATTCTATATGACCTTCATTAACATGACCAAATTGACAGATCCGTCTCCCATCCACTGACCTATAGAATTTTGAGCGACAATTGTCCACACCACATCTGGGACCTCTTATCCAGGAGTTACTCATAAAGTTTTCACAGTGTTATGTACTCATTGTATTTTTTTTCGGTTCAAGTAGCCATCAAATTTTTTTGGATCAAACTGTTTTCGCGTTTCGCGAAACTTCAATATATGGTTATCGCACGCTATTACATTTTTATGCGACTCAGTATAGAGCGAAGCGATTTCTTTTGATAATAGTTGTGTGTAAGTCTCTATAGATTCTTGAAGGCTAGTCTTGAGCTGATTGGTAATTGAATGAGTATGGTTTGCGGTGGTTGTGGACGTCCAACGGTTAAACTGATTGATCTTTGATGTATCGCGACTGAATTGTAGCAAAGCTTTGACAGCTCAATTTGAACAATATTTTTATCAGGCCAGGTAAAATGATATGGAATGCACTTTCCGAACTCGTTAATGATAGCCTACAACCTATTGGCTATTGGCATCCCACCCATTTTACACGGTTTCAGCTAGTGAAAGTTGTATTGTTACAAGCTGTTTTCCAAGATGGAGAATCGGAACAACTCATTGTGCGCTAAAAATCAAATTCTGAACAGGAGCGCGAAACTGAGATTTGATTTAACCAGAGGAAACAGGATCATCAAGATCAGGCTAGTGGAGACCGTTAATAGTTAGCTAGTACGATGTTAGCTATCACCATCCTCTACTCTATAGAATCTCTCATCAAAACCTGGTCTTTTCTCTTCTTCAGCTCATTCTCCCACTACAATGAAAACTCTGTCCCCCCACCGCTTTCCCACTGTGACCACAATCTCGTGGGGGGCTCTTTTTCTACTCCACAGTATTACGTAATCTCAGTGCTTATTTTAAAATGACTTGGGATAGGCCGGTTTCACTAAAACCGAAAAGTTTTGGTGAAAGCCTCGAGGAAGTGTGATATTCATCATTCTTGATATATATATTTCAAGGACTGACCTCCCACAAACTTTTCCCTTCACTTTTTAAATATTCATACAATACATAAACAAGTGTCAATATTCCACTGCTCAATGTTCAAAGGTCAATTGAGAACAGCAACTGCTAGATCAAGCTTTAGATCTTTAGCTAGCAAGCTAAACCCCCAGAGATTCAATTCTTCAAAGACTCCACTTCTCAATGCTACAAGGGGTTCAAATCGTTCCAAAAATTCATTAATCGCATTAGCCATCTCTTTATCAGCTGTTTCATCTTCTTATTATCTATACCAAAAGGACAAATTCATTAGTGCAGATGTTCCTCATTGGAAAGATATAGAACTAACACCAGAAATTGTTTCTCAGCATAACAAAAAAGATGATCTATGGGTTGTCTTGAACGGTCAAGTTTATGACTTAACAGATTTCTTGCCAAATCATCCAGGTGGTCAAAAAATCATTATTAGATATGCTGGTAAAGATGCTACAAAGATTTTTGTACCAATTCATCCACCTGATACTATTGAAAAATTTATCCCACCTGAAAAGCATCTTGGTCCATTAGTTGGTGAGTTTGAACAGGAAGAAGAAGAATTGAGTGATGAAGAAATTGATAGATTGGAAAGAATCGAAAGAAAACCACCATTATCTCAAATGATAAACCTTCATGATTTTGAAACTATCGCAAGACAAATCTTACCACCACCTGCATTAGCTTATTACTGTTCCGCTGCAGACGATGAAGTCACACTGAGAGAAAATCATAATGCTTATCATAGAATCTTTTTCAATCCAAAAATCTTGATTGATGTTAAAGATGTTGATATTTCTACTGAATTCTTTGGTGAAAAGACATCAGCACCATTTTATATATCTGCCACTGCATTGGCGAAATTGGGCCATCCAGAAGGTGAAGTCGCTATTGCAAAAGGTGCAGGTCGTGAAGATGTCGTCCAAATGATTTCTACATTAGCTTCATGTTCATTTGATGAAATTGCCGATGCAAGAATCCCAGGCCAACAACAATGGTATCAATTGTATGTTAATGCAGATAGATCAATCACTGAGAAAGCTGTGAGACACGCAGAGGAAAGAGGTATGAAAGGTTTATTCATAACAGTTGATGCGCCATCTTTGGGACGTCGTGAAAAAGATATGAAGATGAAGTTTGAAGCTGATAGTGATGTCCAAGGTGATGATGAAGATATTGATAGAAGTCAAGGTGCTTCTCGTGCTCTTAGCTCCTTTATTGATCCTTCTTTATCTTGGAAAGATATCGCTTTTATTAAATCAATTACCAAGATGCCTATTGTTATTAAAGGTGTTCAAAGAAAAGAAGATGTGTTACTCGCTGCTGAACACGGATTACAAGGTGTTGTCTTATCAAACCATGGTGGTCGTCAATTAGATTACACTAGAGCCCCAGTGGAAGTTTTAGCTGAAGTTATGCCAATCTTGAAAGAAAGAGGCTTGGATCAAAAAATTGATATCTTTGTTGATGGTGGTGTTAGAAGAGGTACTGATGTCTTGAAAGCTTTGTGTCTTGGTGCTAAAGGTGTTGGTTTGGGTAGACCTTTCTTGTATGCAATGAGCTCATATGGTGATAAAGGTGTTACTAAAGCGATTCAATTATTAAAAGATGAAATTGAAATGAATATGAGATTATTAGGTGTGAATAAAATTGAAGAATTGACTCCTGAATTATTGGATACTAGAAGTATTCACAACAGAGCCGTTCCAGTTGCTAAAGATTATCTATATGAACAAAATTATCAAAGAATGAGTGGTGCTGAATTTAGACCAGGTATAGAGGATTGAACAAATTTTGTACATTATGAAAAAAAAAAATTAACTTGCTATTTATTTAACGGACATATGTAGCATCAATTTTGTTGACTTGTGGTAGGAACATTATTAGTTTTCTTCTATAAGCTGTTGGGTTTGTTAGTTGTAATGGGTTACCTTCAAAATAAACAGTATCTAGTTCTTTCAAATCTTTCAATTCTTTTTCAACATCTTCAAATGATGAGATTTGATTATATGAAGCCCATAAATCTGTTAATTGTTTTAAATGTGATAAATTTTCCAATTTTGTTATTCTGTTTGATGTTATATCCAACGTGTTCAATTTCAAGTTTTTATCTAATCCTTCAATCTTGCTTATACCATTATGTGAAAGATACAATTCTTCTAAATTGGTTAAATTCTCTAAACCTTCAATCTTGGTTAATCTATTTGATTGAATAGATAAAATCTTTAGGTTTTGTAATTTTGTCATATTCTCCAATTTAGAAATTTTGTTTTTCCCCAACCATATTTCTTGTAAACTCACTAAAGTATCCAAATTTTCAATTTTAGAGATTCTGTTACCACCTAATTCCAAATTAATCAACTTTGTGAAATTTTCCAAATTGACAATCTCACTAATTTTATTTTGAACAAAATATAAATTCTTCAACTCTTTTAAATTTTCAATATTTTTAATATTACGGATCTTATTGAAACTTAAATCCAAATTAACCAACTTAGTCAATTCATTCAAATGGCTACTTATATGTTTTATTCTATTATCATAAAAATCCAACTCTTCGACATCTTTATTCAAATATTTCACTTCAGATATAGAATCCAATAAATTTTGTCTCAAGACTAAACTTTTCAAGTTTTCAAAACGACCTAGGTTCAAGTCCTCCATAGAGCGGATCTTTAGATGTACCAATTCAATGTACTCTGAGTCATCTGGGTATTCATTAGCTAAGTCAACATCTGCATCAATTTGATCAGGATTCTCATCGGGTATGATCTGGCCTTGGATCCCCGAGGTTGGTTGTTCTTGTTGGTCTTGATCTTCTGGTTCAGTATCTTCAGCTTCTGAGTGGCTCAATGGATCTGGCTGATCCTTGAAAGTTTGCTCATCAGTTGTCATCGTGTGGAGGATTGACTGATTGTGATTTGTTGTGAGGCAAAAAGGTTTATCGTTTTTTGTTTTTGTTTTAAGTCATTCGCGAACATACAAATGAGCTTTGAACAAATGATGGCACAATTAAATTCATAAGCCATGATGATTTGGATGATTTGGATCAAATTGAAAGTGGTAGATGTTGAAATCGTACAAGTTTGATTTTGAAGATATCTTTTTTCGTTCTTTCAAATAGTAGAGAAAGTGATGAATGAATTAAAAAACTGAAAGATGGATCTAAATTATGACCCAAATGGCTGTCCTTTACCTTTAGTTAAACAGTTGATTCAGTTGATGCACAGTTAGCTTGAATATTGATCGATATAAGGCTTGAATCATGAGGAATTAGAAAGCCGGAAACTTGTAATCAACATTGTGATTAGTCGAGTCACTTTTTGAAACATCAACTACATTTGAAATCAACACAATAAAAACTACCGTGGAATAAGAATTATATACAATGGAATAACAAACATCTTTCATTCATAAAAGAGCAAAATGCTCCTTTTCTTTGTTTTTAACTTTTTTTTTACCTTTTTATTATTATTTTCATTTCATTAGCTTTGATTATTAATTAGTCATAGTTCTTTCAAAATACAAATATCTATGAAGCAAACTAATTAGCATCTGGATTGTTGATTATATATTCAACAATTTGACCAACAGTTTTCAATTGGTTAGCTGAGTTTTCATCCATTTCAATATCGAATTCTTCTTCAACAGCAACCAAATATTCAACAGCATCTAATGAATCTAAACCCAAGTCAGTAATGATGTTTTGTTCTGGTTTCAAAGTAGTTGGGGTGGCAAGTAATTGGACAGTAGCATCTTGAATACGACGTAACACTTCATCTTGGGTCAATTTACTTGAATAGAAACGAGGTTGGAAGAATGAAGATGCTCCTGGTCTGTAAGCGACAGCGACTGATGGGGCAGCTGATCTGGCAATGGATGATCTGATAGAAGCACGGACGGCTGATTGAGTTGCTAGTCTGAACATGGTTAAACGATGATTATTGAAAGAATTAAATACTGCTTCAAATAAATTTCCAATCAAGTTTTATTACAATTGTTCAATGGCATCCGTCTTTTTTTCTCTCCCACTTTGAATTTTTCGCTCCTCACGGTTTGGCTAGACTTCCCGATTCGGAAGTGAAAATGCTTACAAGGCATTGAGATCATAAAAATATATAGACTTATATTAAAATATTCATTATTCTGCACGAGATTGTCTCCAATTTAATAGAGATCTTTTTTTACCACCATTTCCCGAAGTGGCTTGTGATTGTTTTGAACTGGACTTGTCTGAAGATTGAGTGTCAACTCTGCTCAAATTGGCTGAAGACATTGATGTGAATCTTTGACTAGCTGCTGCTGATGGTGATGAATGGAAAGTTTTCCCACCGTTTATACTTGATGCTGACGAAGAAGGTATGGAAGGCAACATTGCTGGGGCAGAACGTCTTAAATCACTAACATCAAGATGTGTTCTTTTGATTTCTTGTTCAAAGTTCTTTTCAAACAAATTGATTAAAACTGTATGTGATTCTTTCAAAGTGTCTGGCACTAATTTACCATGGACCATCAAACAACGGAAAATACAGATGGATAAGTTATCAAATGCACTTTTCAAAACGTTCAAATCGTTTTCCAATTCTTCATCATCTTCTCCAACTTCAACATTGAAAAATTCTCTATATTGACCAATACCTCCATTAACTGGTGCATCAACTGTACCTGACAAGTTTCTTGATAACTCATTGAAACTGGTTGACTTTCTTTCATTATCTCTCAATGATTTTTGAGCACTGATCTCAGCGTTAACCAAGTCTTGAGTTTTTGCACTTAACGTTCTTAAAGCATTTTGAATTGGCGATAATTTAGTTGTTTGCACTTGAACAACTTCACTTCTGTTCATCAAAGTTGGGAATGTGTTCAAAGTTTCATAAATGGTTTCTTCAACCCACAAGTCTAAAACTGAGGTTGATTTTTGTAATCTTTTGGATGTGGTGAAATATTTCAAATCTTTGTTCTCCATATATAATCTTGCAGCACTTGATAAATTACCATGGTTATTTGCAAAATCCATTTGTGGTTTAACAGTAACAATATGTAAATATTTACCATTTGGAACATTTTCAGTCAAATAAGCAGCTTCATCATCATTTGATATGATTTGAGCACCGATATGTAATCTTAATAATCTGTTATGGATGGAATTGATATGCTCAAATGTAAAGCCTTCGTAAATAAAACTTCTTCCTCTGACAGTCTTTGGGAAACCAAAACCCATAAATTGAACTTTGAAGTACGTTGGTGTTGATCTATCAGCTGTTGTTAAATCCAAATATAGCTGTGACAGTTTATTATGAACAAATGATAACCCTTTCAAGTTGAAATTAATCTTATCATAAGCTTCAGAAAGTTCTTTATAAATTAAAACAGCCTTTTCCAGTTTGTTGCCTTTGACAAGATTGGCTGCAATGTTTTTATACAAGTTTTCCTTTCTTTCAAAAGCAGTTTGAGCAGGGAATTTTGGTTTAATTGAAATTGGTAATTCTTCTTCAACATTCCAGTCATAAGTTGAAGCCAGCAATTCTAAACATAGAGCAGCCTGAACATAATTAGACTTGGCAAGATTTCTTTCATATAAATCGTCAAGGGAAGCATGAAATTTCTTTGCATTGTTAACACGCATCAAATGACGTAAAATATCAAGATCATGGAATGTTCTTTCATCATCAAATTCATCACCTTTTGGAACTGATGTTAAATCATTTTGAATATCCAAAAATTCACTTAAATTTTGGATAAAATTATAAACATCCGGGAATGATTCATCTTCTGGATCTAATCTAACAACCATCTTTAATCTTTTAATGAAATTTCTTTGTTCATATAGCCCAGGAATGTATCTTTCAGATTTGAAAAATTTATCCAATCCAACCATACAACCTTTTTCAATTGCAGCCAGTTTGTTTTGAACAGGCTCATCACTTGTTTCTTGAACCAATAATTCTGCAATCATAATGGTCCATAAGACTTTAACACCAACAATTTGACATTGTGCATTTCTTTGTAAACAGAAAACAACCAATTCTTCTAAAATACCATAATCATCTTGAATAAATTCAACATGGTATCCTGAATTCTTCTTGACATTGAAACGAACATAATCCCTTTTCAGAGAATCCCAACCCAAACAATCCCAAGATTGGTTAACAACTGAAGCACATCTACTACGAATATCTTGTGTGATTTTCCATGTAGCTTTTCTTGGAACTTCAGCTAAATGACAAATTGAAGCAGGCATGGATGAAGACATCGCTAACAGTGATTTCAAATATTTACTCCATAATGACCTATCAAAAGTCTCAGGATTGGCTGCTGATGGGATATGATCTTTAATCAGGATGAATTTAATCAATTCTGATGCACTTGTTGTACTTTCGATAAACAATGCATGTAATGAAATCCATTTCTCAGATGGGAAGAATTTACTTTGAACAAGTAATCTATTGGTTTGAATGATCAATAGCAAATCATCTTTGGTGAATGATTTGACAAAATTTGGTGAAGTATTGAAAATATCATCTTTAGATGAAGCTTCCAAAATTGAAACAAATCCTTGAGAATTTGATGCAATATTTTTGGAGATTTTGGTAATGAATGAATAAATAACACCCAATTCAATAAGTATTTCGACAACTGTAACATCATTGATAACTGAATCCATGATTAATTCTGGGAACGGATATGTGTTTGGGAAAAGTTGTGTATATGTTCTCTTTGGGTCAAATAATCCATTATTTCTAGCATATTGATGAATTTTATAAAATAATTGAGCAACAACTAGCAATAATCTTGAAGCACTTCTTGGTAATGTATAATTTGATTCATTCTTTTCCACAATAACTGTCCAAGCGATTGAACATAGAGAAACCAGACAAGAATTTGCTAATCTTAGAACATCAAGTTCAGTGTTTCCATCATCATAGGCCTCAACAGCCCAGTTGATGGCACAAAAGTAAAACTTCTCAGTGGAGCTTTGAATTTCAGCGTTTTGGAAAATCCAGCTATTCAACAAACGACGAATCAACAGCAACTTTGTGATGAATATTTTGGACTCTTTATTCTTGATCGTAGCTTGTTCATCTTGGAATAAACCTCTTGTACCAACTGAATTGATCAATGTGATACCATATTCAACAACGTCACTATCTGGGAACAAATCTCTTAGATGCTCCAATAACAAATCAACATATTCAAGAACCAGTAATTGATCAGGGATCATACTTTCAACTCTTAGAGCTAAGAAACTACTCAACACTTGTGCCAATGCCTTCCATGAGCTTCTAAATTCTTTCAAATCAGTTTTATCCAACGTCATAATGGAAACCTTCAATAACAAGGGCGAGATACGACATAATGTTCTACCAACATAATTCCATTCAGTATCTGCTTTACCAAAATAACCAGCAGTCATGAATAACAAATCAGAACCAATTTTTGGTAATTTATTTTCCGAAGCTGGGTGCATTGAGACAAAATCATGAAACAAGTAAGTGTATTGCTCCTGTCTTGCAACAACAACATCCAATAAATGGATAAATGCATAAAATGAAGCAGTTTTCAATTTTGTCAAGTTTACTTTTGTTGAGCTTTGGAAAATCTCCAATAATGATGCGCATAGTTCCTTGAAATATTTTATGGTTTGTTCCAACGGTGTTTGATTCAATAACTTCAAAGTTTCAATAAGTCTTTCTTCATGTTCAGGTAATGAATATAATCTTTTCCATGACAAAATATGTTGGAAGGCAGTTTCAACATTATAAGCCTTACCAACATAGCGCGTTGTAACTTCTAAAGATGCAACAGTTTGCGGACCAACTTTGAACAAAGTTAATTGACTTTTATTTTGTTCATGAATCAAACCTTTCTCACTGACTACTAATTCAGCTTCAGCCTTGTATTCAAAATTGACAAATAATCTCAATTTTAATGATTCGTTCTCACCAATGGATTCAATACCACTGATTTTAATAGTTTCACCAACAACTTCATTTGAATGAACAGAAGTGAAATCCCATTGTCTTCCAGGAGTTTCATTAGTTGCTTTTGAAATCGACACTTTGGACTTTGGGTTACTATTCACCAATTGAATAGAGATTAAATCACCAGGGAAAGGAGTTGAATTGAATGTCAAGTTAACTTTACCCAAACTTAGATATATTCTATCATAAGATTTAACTAACGGATCAAAGAAGTTTGTTCTAATTTGATAGATTGGTGTCTTTATATTGGAATCAAAATCTGAGGCAACTGACTGTAGATCACCTTTAAATTCTTTGATTGAAACGATCAATTTTTCAGCTCTTGGATTCACAGCAACACCTTTTTTAGAACCTGAGATAACTCTATCAATTAATTCACCCCAACCAAAATTCATATTCTTAGGGTCTAAAGTAGTATTATCAGATTTGTTAACATAAGAACCAAATAGTTTAATAATGAACTGATGAGATTCACCAGATTTTAAAGCACCAGTATGTCTTGAGAAAATTCTTGAGATATCAGCAACACCTGCAGCTATACCTTTTCTAACCTTTTTCACTGAGCTTGATGTGGCTTCAGCAGTTTTAGAAACATCAATTTCCTCAGTCAAGATTGCAACAAGATAAATTCTACTTGTATCAACCTCTGTACCTGGAATATTTCTGAACAAGGCCGCAGATATTTTATCCAATGAGAACTCTGAAGAGGAACTAATATGGATGGCAAAAGCTTCTGTTAATCTTCTCTTTGCTGTTCTTAAATATAAATAGGCAGTCATACCAACAAATCCTTTTGGATTTAGAGATGAAGTCCCATTAACATCCTTAAAGTCAACCAAGATCTGTGATGGTGTAACTTTATCAAACTTCGTTATCTTTTTTGGTTTCAACTCAATGTCTAAATTTTCATTAACAGGGAAATTTGGAGCAAGAGTAGCCGTCAACTGATTAGCTGCAATTAATTTAGGGATTGGCTGCTGTGCTAATTCTGCGTTTTGATAATCATATAATTCACCAGAGTTGACATCTCTAGCTGTGATAGATTGGTAACCTGAAGAGTCATGTTTTAATTGAGATCCTGTAGACTTATCAAATCTATTGACACCTTTTGATGATAAAAATTTCGAAATGTTTGTTAATAATAACGAAACTTGTTTTTTGGCCAAAGCTTGTTCACTTCTTGTCAACAAATTATGTGTCAACCTAAGTCTCAGATTGTTCAATTCATCAAATGATTCATAAAGTTTCTTGAAGAGCACATATTCACCAACAGAATAAAACGAATATATATGTGAAGCTAATAATGCCAATGATGGGACTAGTTCATCTAAAAGATTACCAGTATCTAATCTCACTAATGGTAAAGGTGGCTTTATCTTGATGTTTGCAGCTTCATCTAACAAATCACCATTTCTGGCTTTGGAATTGGACTGTTGGAGTTCATGAATACTTGGAATCGTGCTTTGACCATGTTCGAAATCTGTTGCACTTGGAGCTGCAAAATTGGATGTCATTGGTAATCTATCATTGATATGAACATAAGATAAAGGAATAATAACAACGCTGACCTTTTGTTCAGGTAATTTATCCAAATCACTTGATTTTGCAATGAAATCTGATGGTAATGGTTGAACAATTAGATAACCTCTTGCCCAATTTGCATTATTGGTTTCAAATAAAAAGACTTCATCACCTGGATATAAATTTTTGTAGAAGGCTGATAACTTCAAGCTTGGAAACTTATCAAGCGGTAAGAAAGCTTTCACAACTTTACCATGAGCCAGCATGGGTAAAGGTGACCACTGTAATTGTGGATCTTGAACTTCACCATTTGATCCCGACATGATTGAATATCAAAGGGAATGTTGAGTTATATGTATGGCTGCGAAGATATTGTTAGCTATAAACCTTGAAATTAGATGGAATTCAAGATTACTTACCTTTTCAAGTCCTCAAAATGAAACGTATAGGGTTTAGATTGAGAGTAGTTTCCAAGTTTAAAATCCATGTCTCGATCAGGAATTTTTTAGATTGGGCGATTTTTTCAACCTCGACCAAAGAAGGATTTTTGAGATCAACACAGGCCAAAAAAAACCGTTGAAGGAAAAGTTTATGAAACGGTTAAGGAATTGGGAGAAAAAGTAAAGCTTAGGAGAGACGGTCTGGCTACTAGTTGTCTTATTGGAAATCGCTAATTCTCTAGCTTGAAACAGAAGAAGACCTCGCTACTGTGCTACAACTTGATCCTTCTTCAATGTCTCGTGTTTTGTCGTTGATCGGCTTTAACCCAACTCATGCAAGAAATTTGTACGCTTCTGGAAATAGGCTGACTTACAAGGCAAAACAACATCAAATAATTGTAATTTATAAACTTGTTTTGTATTGTCTGTATGTTTAATTTACAAATGGAACAATTCACAAGAAGTCACCACTTGAAGCTGATAGCAGATTAATCATGCTTTTCCCAATGTTTTACTGTGCTTAGTCAACCGGTGAATGCTTTCAATTATCTCTGTGTGTTCTGCTGGTTGACAGATTGATATTTCAAATTTCAATACCAAGGGCAATTTATGAAGAATAGTACTTAATTCATTAGCCATTATCAGCCATGGAGTACACTACTCAGACCTTTTGCTTTTTTTCCTTGTGCCCATTCTCAACATTCTCTTTGTCGCTCTCTTTTGATTCATTAGCTTCAAGCTTCTTCAATTCCTCCAAGAAAAATTCCAGCCCAGCTTTAGCAAACTCTTGCATGTTAAAAGATCTATCAGCTGAAGTAGTCTTTTTGAAAGTGGATACTTCGCCTCCTGGATAAGCTATACCAAGGAAGACGGTTCCAATATCATCATTGGAATAGATAGATTTTCCTTCTTTATCTTGTAATTGTAGCACTGGACCAGCGATACCAGTTTCTGACAAAACATAAGTTGAACCTAAATCCATTCTCAAATTTCTAGCTAATCTTAAAACAACTTTTTCAGAAGGACCGGTATAGTTTAAAATATCTTCCTCGGACCAGCCTGATAGTTTCAGTCTAGATTTCAGACTATAAACCAATGTACCACCGTGAAACCATTCAGAAGCACCTGGAACAGAAACCAAGTAAGCAGAGAGTAAACCACCACAAGCAGCTTCAGACACGGAAACGGTCTCTTTTCTTCTTTTCAATATGTCAGCAATGCTCTTCACTGTCTCCGTCACATTAGAAGGCGGAAATTCCGAGGCCATCGTCACTCAATTGATCAATATCAATGGAACTGCTGACGGAACGTTTATGTAGTTCACCAGTTTATTTGAAATGAGTTACGCGAAATGCTATATTGGTACGAGCCACACAAGCCTCTCGAGCCGGGTGAATTTCGCGAACGTTCGACTTAACAAGCTTCAACAAAATTCAATCAGTGGCAATTGGAAAGTTGAAGCGTTTGAGTTGAATCAACACAAGTCCAACAATTAACCATCAATTGACCCCATTTTTCAAACATGTCCACTATCAAATTTAGAGCCGGTAGAGTGAATTACGATGCTGAAAAAAAACTAGCTATTCCACAGAAAATTCAAGGTCAAATCACAATTAAACAATCAGATGAAGATGAGTCCTTCTATTCCTTCGAATGGGCACCAAAAGATAACGTTACCAATGTTGAGCCAGAAGATTTGCTAGTCATACCCGGGGATGTCACTTGGAAACAAGTTGAAGAAGCTAAAACTGGTAGAGTCTTTGCATTGACTTTCTTATCATCAGGTGCAAGACATTTGTTTTGGTTACAAGAAGTTAATGAAGATGAAGATGATTTAAGTGCATTGAGTAAAAAAGATAAAGAAATCTTAGCTAAAATTGAGAAAATATTTGAACCAGCTGAAGAAGAGGAAGAAGAAGCTCCACAACAACAAGATGTTGAAATTCCAGATGCTGCTCCAGCCACCACTACTACTCAAGAACAACAAAACTCACAGTAAGTAGATAATGAGACATGAATAGAACAAAAAACTTTAAAAGATTCTTCATCATTTGATTGTAATATATTAACTAACTTGCAAGTCAGGCCAATTTATGATTTGAATGATGTTTTAACACCTCAAAATTTGGAATCTTTGATAGATAATGCCGATGAAGAACTTCTTGAACAATTATATACACATTTACCTGAATCATTCGAAAAAAATAAGGAAAATTTAAGAACTGTGTTGCTAAGTGGATTTTTCAAAAGAAGTGCTAGTAACCTTGGAAGTGCGTTGAATAATGGTGGTGGATTTATTGTGTCCAAATCGCTAAATTACGATTATGAAGGCGAGGGAATTGCTAGCTTTTTGAATGCGATTAGAAAGCAAACCAAAAAAGACAAGAAATAATGAGTACACAGATACAAAATTCTTTATAGTTACCAGTAGATCTGATTATTTGCCCTTTTCATAACTTCAGTAATGAGTGCGTCAACCGGTGGGCACCGAAAAAATGTAAACAAAAAAATCGTCTGGAAAAAAAAATCATGCGTAACCAAAAGTTCAAATCAAAACAATAATACCCTGTACTATAAACCATCAAAGAAACGCTATAACTGAGGTTATTGATAGGAAAGGTATGTTACTATATGCTGGGAACACGCTGGAATCTGCTGATTGAGGCAAATAAGCCACTTTGAATCCAAGATCTCACATTCTTGTTGTTGCTTACTTTCCCACAACCGCGATCGATCAACAACATACTAACTATTTCGAAATAGTGAAGTTCTTATAAGGAACAATAACTATCATTTTTCCAAAATGTCGTCGTCTTCTGATCATAATTTGAAGTCGCAACTATCTGACCTACAGAAAAGACTATCACAGTCTACACTAAATTCCCCAAGGAGACCAAGTCCAAGAAAGGAGTTAAATGATCAACATAATAGAGTTGAAGAAGGGAGCGACTCTAAAGCACCAAAGAAATCATTATCCAACTTCTTGACCAAGAAAGAGAAAAGGGTCTCACTCCCTAGTTTTGACAATTCAAAATCCTTATCAACACCAACAAAGAACAATGGGAAAGATATGGACTTTGTCGTTGGGTTAAGTGAGAATTTACTACTGGAATGTAGAAAACTTCAAGCTGAAAACCAAACCAAAAGCAACAAATTGAAATCACTTGAGGAAGAATTTGAAAGAATCAAGAAGTCAAACGGTGCATTAATGGCCAAGCTGAGTGAAAATGCTCAAAATGAAGAAAAATTTAAAGATTCTAATTGGGAATTAGAACTAAAATTACAACAACTTTCACAAGATTTCAAAACAGTTACGGACAATTACAATAAAACCCAAGCTGAATTGAACAAACAACTGGAAATATCTCATGATATCAGATCTGAATTGGATGAAATTAACATGAACAAAGACACATTAGAGAAAGAATACTCAACAAATAAAGTCTCAAATACCACCCAGATCCAAGATTTGAAATCACATATTGATGAGTTGAATGATGAAAACTATAAGTTGAATGATGAAATTGATGAACTAAGAAGACAATTGGACGAATCAACTAAGAAACCAGCTGAACCAAAACTTTCAAGTATCCCAATTTTGAAACCAACAGAAGATGAATCATCAGATGAAGAATATAAAGAACCTCCAATTTCTCCAGTTAAAACAATACCCATTAATAATACTGCTCTGGAATCAGAGACTTTGAGAGGGTCTTTAAGTCAAGCTCATCACACTATTGCTAAATTGAGAGCTCAAATATTGAAGTTAAGATCTAATGAACTTTCGAACAAACAATCATCTCCAGCTGTTTCCAAAAAGACAAGTCAAACTCCTATCTTGAAAAAATCTTTAAGAAATTTGAATGAACCTGGTAATAGATCCTTCCATGTCTTGAAACCTTCTTCAAACAGAAGCTCAAAGAATGTATATGAGGATTCAATGGATACTTCAGATTTTGATGAAGATTGGGAAAATTTTGAAGGTGATACAACAAGTTCACAATTCATCGGTAACGAATCATCTCCTTCAAAATACTCGAGACCAATTTCAACTTCACAAGATTTAATTGAAGATACTGAATCTGAAATTGATGAAAGTGAACTACTTGCCCCATTATCATCAGAGTTAAAGACATTGACTGAAGAAGACGTGAGAACATATGCTGACCAACACGATTTGGTGTTGATACCTAGTGATGAATACAACAAGCTGTCCAAACGTGGTTCCAATGATGATGCTATAATCACACCAGCTAGAGACTTTGGATTCGTTTCTTTACCAAATGATAATGAAGACACTAAGGAGACATTCAAGGAATCTGAATTTTACACATTTGCTAATGAAAGAAACTTGATTGTGTTGACAAAGGATGAAGCTGCTGCACAAGAGAAAGAATTAGCTGATAAATCTCAACAAATTGTTCAATTGAAATCAACGGTTTCCGATGCTGAAAAAGCAAGAATACAGTATGTTGAAGAAGCTGATCAGTATAGAAAACAGTTAGAAGATGCTTTAGCTAGAGTTAAGAAAGGTACAGATAAAAGTAAATCATTACAAGATCAACTCTCAAACCCTTCAAAAGACTTTGTTCATGAGAAAGCTTCAAGTCACGGGTTACATGTTTTGCCAATAGTTGAACACGAGGAGCTACAAAGTCAGTTATCCCATTTCAAGGCCTCATATGAAGACCCATCTCATGATTTCTTGCATGAAAAGGCTTTATCTAAGAATATGAAGTTGGTTGATGACAAAGATCATTCAAACCTATTGTCTCAACTTGATGCTTTGAAACAAAATTTGGAAACAAAAGAGAAGGAAATCAATGGGTTGAGTGGTCGCTTATCTGAGCAAAGCAAATTGGCTAAAGAGAAGGAAGATCAAGCTATTGAAACTATAAAAGAATTGAAGGCTAAGATTCAAACTGCTGAAAATGATAATGAGTTGTATAAATCAAAAGTGGATGAACTTTCTAAATCTGTTACCTCACTACAAGAGAAATTGGCTCAACCTTCAATTGCTTTCCTAACAGAAAAAGCTGGAGCTCATGATTACAAGGTTATTCATTCAAAAGACCACGAAAGACAAATTGCTGATTTCAATGAATCATCTACAGCATTGCAATCCACGATTGATGAACTCAAAACAAAACTTGAAGCTGTTGAATCCGATCTTCAAGATAAATCTTCTCAAGTTGAAGAACTCACCACCAAAACCAATGATTTACAAAAATCTATTGACGAACCTTCCGATGCCTATATAAATGAGAAAGCGTCAACTAAAGGATTCAAAGTGCTTGAAGTTGCTATCTATGAGAAAGAATTAGCTGAACTCAATACAACCATTGTTTCATTAAGAGATGAATTGAAAACTCAAAAAGATGGTGCTGAAAAGAAATCTGAAATTTCCAATAAATTGATTCAAGAATTAAAAGCTAAAGTTGATGATCTACATGCTGAACGTTCAGAATTGAATAAAAATATTGATGATTTCAAGCAACAACTAGAGCATGCTAATGGTAATCTTTCAATTTTGAAATCACAAGTTGATAACCCAACCCATGAATATTTGTCTGAAAAGTCAAGTAAACAAGGCTTAACTGTTTTGCCAAAACTTGCCCATGTTAGTCTCTTGGATAGGGCCAATAAGTCAATCCATGATTTAGCAAAAGAGGAGAATGCTGTGGTATTGAAAGAAGATGAACATCGTGAATTGACATCAAAAGCCCATGAACCAACATTGGAACATGTGACTACAAAGGCTCAGCTACACAAACATAAAGTTATTCCAACTGAAGAATATGATGATCTTTTCAAGAAAGCCAATACACCAATTGAAGAAGCTGCTACTGCTAAAGGATTGGTTTTGATGTCAAATGATGACCACGCTGACATTCAATCAAGGTTACAGAGTCCAACATTGGATTCTTTACATTCTCATCTTCAATCTCATCAACATGTTGCGATCCCACAAGATGATCACAAATCATTAGTTGAGAAGGCCAACAAATCAATCGAGACACAAGCAAAGGAAAAAAATCTAGTATTACTTCCTAAAGATGATCATGATGAACTTGTTAGAAAGGCTGAACAACCATCATTGGATGAATTGAAAGAGTTTGCTGCTTCTCAAAGCCATGTTGTTATCACCAATGCTGATCACGAGGCTCTAGTAACACATTCAAAGAAATCAATAAAGGAGTTGGCTGAGGAGGAAAACCATGTTGTTCTATCGAAAGATGATCATGCAGAACTACACAGAAAAGCTAATTATCCAACAGTCGATGAGTTGGTTGCTGGTTGTGCTACTGCTGGCTACGTTGCTTCTCATAAGGATGATCATGCAGAATTGAAAAAGAATGCTAATAGATCTGTTCATGATTTGGCTAAAGAGCAAAATTTTGTTGTTCTACACCCAGATGAACATAAGAAGCTAGTTACATCTCTTGAATCACCATCCATTGAGTACTTGTCTTCCAAGAGTGAAGCTGCTGGCCACAAAATAGTCAAAATTGATGAGCACGATGACTTAGTTGAACGTGCAAATAAGACCATTGATGAACATGCTAAAGAACTAAGTTTGAATGTTCTTTCAGAAGCAGAGCTTGATGCTTTAGTTAACCCATCTGAAGAGGCTTTATCAAAGAATGCAAAGAAGCTGGGATTGGTGGCAATTACTAAGGCCGATCATGAAAAGCTAGTCACTGAATCCAAAGCACCTACTCTTGAACACATTACAGAAAAGGCTAAAGTTTTGGGATATGACGTTGTTGATTCTAACGACTACCAATCACTTGTGAAAAGTAGTGAATCACCATCAAAAGAATTTGTTCGCGCAAAGGCTGCCACACTTGGTTTGATTGCCGTCCCTGAGGTTGACTACTCAAACTTGAAAGAAGAGGCTGCCAAACTAAAGAAAGACTTTGCTGATAAGAGTCTGTTGGTTGAAAAAGTTTCATCTGATGGGTCTGTTGTTTTGAAAAAAGAGGATTATGACACGCTTGTTAACAAGGCTAATACGTCTATTGAAGATTTGGCTAGCTCCGAAGGAAAAGTCGTTCTTACTAAAGAAGATTATGATGTGTTGTTGGAACCTTCAAAAGATAGTGTTATTGACCATGCTGCAAAACATGACTTGGTTGCAATTCCAAAAGATGCTCACCATACCTTATTACGCAACCATGAATCTCCATCTCTTGACCATTTGTCATCGAAAGCGTCTGTTCATGGGCATGTTGTTGTTCCAAAAGACCATTATGATGAAATCAAAGGATTAGTTGAGTCTCCAAGCTCTTCCTTCTTGTCAGAAAAAGCACGTGATATAAACTCAATCTTGATTCCAGTTGATGTTCACGAAGCGTTGAAGGTCAAGGCTAATAGAACAATTGATGATCTAGCTAAGCAAGACAATAAGGTTGTTATTGATGAACACGATTACGAGAGTCTACAAAATCCATCTATTGAAAAAATCAAAGATCACGCTGATCGTGCTGGTTTGGTTGCTACAGCTAAAGATGATCACGAGGAAACTCAAAAGACTCTGAATGAACCACCCTTGACATTCTTGCAAGACAAAGCTAAATCTCATTTTCATGTTTTAGTTCACCAGGATAACTTGAAAGACCTTGAAGACCATAAAGAGAATCCATCAACTGATTTCTTATCCACGAAAGCTGCTTCCCAAGGCATGGTCGTTGTTTCTAAAGCAGAATTTGATAGATTGAAAGAATTTTCACAAAAATCTGTTGAGACTATTGCTTCTGAAAAGAATCTCGTTGTTCTTCCAAGTGATGAATTTAAGGCACTTGAAAATCCTTCAATAGAAATCTTAAACACAAAAGCTACTGATGCAGGTATGGTGCTAATAAAAGCGAAAGACTACGAGCAATTAGTGCACCCATCCAAAGATGACTTGACTAAATCTGCTGCTGAGAAAGACTTGACAATACTGTCTAACAAATCTTTTGAAGACCTGAAATTAAAATCAGAGAAAACTATTGAGTCATTAGCTGAGGAATCTGGCAAGATAGTGCTTACATCTGAAGAGCATAAAAAGCTGGAACACCCATCTAAAGAGAGGATTGTGTCGTTAGCTAGTGAGATGACAATGGTTGCATTGCCACAAGAGGACTATCAAAAATTGATTCACCCATCTGCTGAGTTTTTGAAAGAGCACTCTGATAATCTTGGTCTGGTACTGGTTCCAAAAGAGGAACTTCTGGCCATTAAGGAGAAGTCTTCAAAAACTATTGAGGATCTTGCAAAAGAGTCAAATTCTGTTGTTTTAACGAAAGATCAACATTCTGCCTTGAAAAATCCTTCTCAAGAGTCCATTGTGGAACATGCTGCTAAATTTGGTCTTATCACACTTTCTACAGACAACCATTCAACACTGTTACATCCATCAAAAGAAGTTCTTTCAGTCCATGCTGATCGTGAGGGTCTCAAACTGGTTCCAATTGAAGAGTTCAAAACTCTTGCTAACCCTACCAAAGATATAATCAAGGAAAAAGCTCTTGAAAATGGTCTTGTCGCTATTGAAAAATCAGAGTATGATGACCTGCATTCATCAGCCCATTCTCCTACAGCTGACCATATCACACAGAAAGCTGCTGCAATTGGCTACACTGTCATTTCATCTTCAGAGCATGAACATTTATCACGTTCAGTTTCAAACCCAACAAGAGAGTTCATAGAATCCGGTGCTACTAAACATCAGTTGATCACTATAGACGAAGCTAAAAAAGATGACTTTGTTGAGGATCATTTGAAGAAAAACAACCGTGTTGCTTTGACCAACGACGAACTTTCAAAGCTAAGAGACATCAATACAGTTGAATTTTCAGAAATAAGCGGCCGCTTGCAGGAGTTAGGTTATGTTGCTGTTGATAAATCTACCTATGAGAAGTTGACTTCTGATCTCTCGAAGGCTGAAATCATCAGCTTAGCTGAAGCTTTGGGAATGACCACTGTCCCAACTACACAGTATGAGAAACTGTCGTCAGGTCCGACTGAAGAAGAATTGAAGGGAATTGCTGAATCATACAATATGGTATTAATCTCACGCCCTGACCTTGATTTACTCAAAGCCCAAGCTGAACAACCCGACAAAAAGTTGGTCGAGTCTCATGCTGCTACATTTGGTTGCTCTTTAGTCACTAATAAGGAGTATGAATCTTTGAAAAATTCTTTGAGCAATATGTCTAAACCAGATTTGGAAGCTAAAGCTGAAAAGATCAATCATGTTGTTATTCCAAAAGAGGAATACGAAGAGTATGTGCGTGTTGATCAAGAAAGAAGCTTGGATGAACCATCAACTCCTGTTAGTAAAGTAGCTGCCAATAAGGACTACTTTGAAAATATCCACAAGAGTGCTGAAAAAGAATCACAAAAGGTCAAAGTTTTTGAATCTGCTAGATCTCTTGGTTTTGTTCCTGTTGCTGCTGATGAGTACAAACATTTAATTGAACACCAAAAGGATCATGTCCTCACAAAGTCTGATATTCACAAAGGTGCCAAGGACTTCAACCTTGCCATTTTGCCAGTTGATGAATACAAAGGCTTATTGAAAAATCGTTCAAATAGAGATGATCTGACCTATGATGATCTTGAAGCTCTTGCTAAGCGTTTCAACTTTAAGCTCACTAAACCAACCGAAGGTGTTTCATCCTCCAGATCCATCAATCCACTCACACTTCATAATAATGAGTCAATGGCCACTTTCTCCTCCACTGCAAATGAAAGTGAATTTGCAGATGCTTTGGATCGTGTTCCTTCGAATGCATCAACAATTCGTGATAATTCTACTGTTACAGAGGATGAATTAAGAGTTCAAGCAATGCGTCTCGGTTTCACTTTAACACCATTGAGCGCTGGGCCAAATGTCAGCGAAGATGTACCACATCTTGAAAATGATGATGATAGTGTTGCTGATGATGAAGATGATCAATATGATACGATTGTTGAGAGATCGCACGTTGCTGGCGAACCTTTTGATAGAGATCAATTATCTTTGAGAGCTGGTGAGTTAGGTTTGATTGTTTTGGAAGAACAAGAATATGAAACGTTGCAAAACAGAGAGCTTACCATAAATGAGTTCATGGCAAAGGCTGACGGTTTCGGTTTGAAAGTAATGGATGGTGATGAATTTGCTACTTTAGAATCATTCAAATCCCCAAGCGAAAGTTATATTCGTGATATTTCAAAAGCTGCTGGTCTTGTTACTTTATCTGAACCAGAGATCAAAGAGATTGAGGATAGAGCCGTTGCAGCTATATCCCCAACTGACCTGATAACAGAAGCTAATGTTCGGGAATACGCCAATAACCTGGGTTTGATCTTGTTGAGTAGAGATAGATTTGATGAACTGGTAGAGTCTGCTAAAATTACAAAAGACATGATTGTTGATAAAGCTGGTGATTTTAACTTGGTCGCTGTTGATGTCGATGAATTCAATGCATTAAAGACTAAAGTTACAGGAGGCACAGGTCTTTCAAAAGAGGCCATTTTGGCAGGTGCATCTGCTCTTGGATTATCCGTGCTATCGTCACAAGACCTCGGTAGTCGTGAACCAAAACCAGCCTCACCTACTAAAGAAAGCTTGACTTCTGATGCTGATGCTTTAGGATTGAAGGTTATTGGAGAAAATGAATACAAAGAGGTCCTGGCAAAGTCTAATAAATCTATTGAAGACGATGATGTTAAACATTATGCCTCTGAAAACAATCTTGTGATTATTCCAACTGAAGATTATGAGAACTTGAAGCATGCCTCTTTCAAACTCTCCAAAGAAACCGTTGAACAAAGATGTCAGGAACTCGGTCTTGTTACACTTCCAGTAGCTGAGTACAAGAAAATCACATCATCACCAAACTCTAATGCTTCCCCATTATTATCAAAATCAGACGTTGTTCAAAAAGCTACAGAATTTGATCTTGTTGCTGTGTCCAAGGAAGAAATTGATATTTTGAGAAACAAAGCAGCCGATAGAAATAAAGAGGAGCTTGACAAACCAAAGGCACAACCTCCTGTATTGTCCAGAGAAGAAATTGAAGCTGGTGCCAGAGTTCATGGTCTGCTGGCAATTCCAGAAAATTCATTTATTGCCACCAATATCTCAAGAATTCCAGATGTTAACAATGTCGTTGTTTTACCTGTTACTTATTATAACAAATTGACTAAATCTGAACAATTGAACTTGGATAAGATATCTAATGATGAATTGCAAGCTCAAGCAAGAAAAAGAGGTTTCCACGTCACGTATGGTGAAGTTGATTTCAACAGGGATATTCCACCATTAACTAGAAAAAACACAATCACTTCGTTGACTAGCTCTAATTCGAGAAGAAACCTCGCCGAGGCCGCTGCTTCTGCTGCTTACCAAGAATATGAGAATCAGCCAAAAACCATGTCACGCTCAAGCTCAAGAGCTCGCTCAATTTCTAGATCAGGCTCTGCTGCTAACATTCATCAACGTGATGTTTCAATTGATGGTGGTATTTCATTGATGACAGATGCTTCATTGTCTGAACCTAATATTATTCCAGCATTGACTCAAACAGTTATTGGTGAATATCTATACAAATATTACCGTCGTTTAGGTCCTTTGAGCTCAATATCAGAAAGCAGACATGAAAGATACTTCTGGATTCATCCATACACTTTGACATTATATTGGTCATCAACCAATCCTGTTTTAGGTAACCCATCTACACACAAAACCCGTGCTGCTGCTATTATTGGTGTTGAAAGTGTTGATGATAATAACCCACTTCCTGCTGGTCTATATCATAAGAGTATCATTGTTCACTCTCAAACACGTTCTATCAAGATCACTTGTCCAACAAGACAACGTCATAACATCTGGTACAATTCATTGCGTTACTTGATCCAAAGAAGTATGGACGGTATCAACCTCGAAGAGGATTTGGACCTGCTCAAGGATAATGCCACAAGACATGTTTGATTTATTTTATGTTTATCTTTATCTGTTTATATATTATTCTATTCCACCCTTGAACATTTTAATTTTAATTTTATTTGTTGTTTGTTTTTAACTATAAATGTAGGTTATGGTTAATCGCACTGGCCTATCATGTGACCATTACATAATCATTGAGGTGATCCGCGAAATTTAATTGTGTCTGTTTTGAATTTAGGTGCTCATTAGATCAAATTGTACGACCTATTACAAATTGACAATCAACCACATTTCCCTTGAATAACTACATCAAGCCTCAGATACCAATCGATCAAATCAAACTTTTTTGAAAGCCCTTCACCACAGACCAAAACCATTTCGTATCAGCTTACGTATATTGAGTTTTGTCTTTTAGGACTCCATTATTAAGACCAAACAACATTCAGAATAGGATATTCTCATCAAAAAAATGAGCCACAGAGGTCTTTCAATGAGAGGTTTCATGCCATCAGCTATGAGTCCTAATGCGCATGCAACCAGAAGAACTTCCTTAGAAAATTTGATGGAGCAGACAAGAAATGTTGAATCCCCTTCAAAGGAAACGGGAACTGCTTATGATAGCGAGAATCCAAGCGCAGACGATGGTGATACTTGTCCTTATGGGTGTTGTGAGAAGGAAAGCTTGAGTGACTTCATATTGAAGAGAGGTTTCTTTGAGGGTGCTTGCTCAGACATAACTATTAGAGCATTTAACCAGGATTATCGCTTACACAAGTTAATCTTAGATAGAAGTGGTTATTTTTCTTCCTTATTCAATGGTCCTTGGAATGATCCTTCAAACACAACACATGAACTAATATTTGAGGATGATGAAAACATTACACAGGAATCATTTGAGCTGGCAATTGCACGCTTGTATGGCGCTGTTAAACCTAAAGCAGAAATACAACACACATTGAGCATGATCGCTATAGGGCAATATCTAGACATTCCAGAGGTTGTTTGCAATGCTACAGATAATATTGTTAACTCTTTGAACTTTGATAACATTGCAAGGTTTACATCTTTTGCTTCTATGAATGATTATGGTAAAGCTAGCGAGAGAATTATAGATAGTGCTAAAGGGTTATTATGCTCTGATGGTTGGCAAAATGGGTTTGAGAAATGGGATGGTGTTCCTGTCTCTATTATTGCGTATGTTGTAGGCCATGATGCCTTCTTTGTTCCATCTGAATGGGAAAGAGCTTTATTCATAATGAAATTGATTGAAAGACGTCAATCAATGAATAGATCATCATCATCAGGATCGGTCAGTGAATTGGATGATGAAGAAGATGTTGAACCTTTGATTAATGCCTTGAACACGAAAGTTCATTATTGTCACCTTAGTGCTGAGCAATTGCATAAACTTGAGACTTATGTTGATAATAGTGGTAAACCTCATATTGACCCTTCTGTTTTGAAAAATGCATTATGGTTGAGTGTTTTGCTTTATAGAAAAGTCGCAACAGCAGAAAAGAAGTCAAATGAATTAGGGTTGGTGACTACTTCAGAAGCACCACCAAATAAAGAAAATACGTGGTTCATACCAACAAAAGACGAGACGTTATATGGGACTCCTCAACAACTTGAAGAATCAATAAAAAGTCATCATCATATACGGGATGATATGCCTAGCGGAAAAACTACTGAGAATGCTGGAGATGCGGTATACAAAGTCACAAAAGTTCCACCTTTCAGATTTTCCATTGCTTTTAGCCAGGTGTGGGAACTCGAAGCGGAAAAGAGAGTTTATGCAAAGACACTATGGTACGCTGGCTCGTATTGGAATCTGTATATCCAAAAGATAAGACACAGAAAAGGTTACCAAATGGGTGTTTATATTCACAGGGCGTCAAATTCCGCACCTTCAAGATCTGCTCTGTTGAACCGAGACGTTTTCAAAAACTCAACTTATAGTTTAGATAATGATTCAAGCTTATCAAATATAATTGGTGATGTGAACAACTTGATGCTAAATGATGAGCCAGAAGCATCAAATGATACACTTTCATCATTCACAAAATCAGAGCTGAATGCAGCACCAGATGAAGAAGAAGAGGAAGAGGAAGAAGAGAATGATAATTCGTTTTTGAGCTATGAAGATAATAGAATAAAGACATCGGTTTACTATGTCATATATACACCATCAAGAAAAGTGAAGACTTCACTAACATGTTTCATATCAACACCTGATCTATTCAATAAATCTCAAAGTTGGGGCTGGAAAAGCAATAGCATGTGTTCATTTAACGATGATGGTACTTTAGCAGATGGACAGGATAAATTGTTGAAATTTATGGTTGTCTTGGGAAACACTTGATGTCGGCATTGAAATACAAATGAAAAGTTAATGAGTTATGGGGTTTATAAAAAAAAAACAATTATATATTTACATTTTGGTGGAATAACAAATTATGTTCGAGGTTCTAATCAACTCTATACTGATTTCCATTCTGTAGACCATGCTAAACTTTCACCTGCCTTGAATGGAGCAACTTGTAGGTCACCTTGAGTTAAAACATCTGGCACTTTTTGTTCTTTCTTTAACAAAATGCAATGATCTTTATTTACGAGATCATCAGAACTAACTTCATAAAAATCTTTACCAAAGTCACTAACGAAACCTTTCAGTTTGTCTAATTTGCCCTCTTTGTCAAAGACTTGGGCAATGTATGGAATAGCCAATGACTGAGTATAGACACCAGCACAAACACCAACATGAACAGCCTTAGCATGTAATGGATGTGGAGCAGAATCAGAACCAAAAAAGAACCATGGTTTCCCTGAAGTAGCAGCTGCGACTAGGGCCTTACGATCTTGTGGTAGTTTAGCAACTGGTTTACAGAAATTGATTGGATTACCTGCCCAATTATCAACAATCAAAGATAAATGATGAGCAGTGATGGATGCAGCAACTTTGATTGGACCAGATCCATTGCCTTGATTGATTTCATTTATAGTATCAACTGCAGCTTTTGTAGTACAATGTTCCAATACTATTTTCAAGTTTGGAAAATCATTATGTAGTTTTTTTAAAGCTGGTAAAAACATTGGTTCAGCATTCAAGACATGGATTTCTTCACCATCTTTATCACTTGAAGGTTTTTCACCATGTAAGTTTAACACCAGATTTTCTTCCTCTAATGCTTTAAAGATTGGATAAAAATCACTGAAATCGTTTGGATCAACTCCGGCTGATGAGTTTGTTGTGACACCTGCTGGATAACATTTAACACCCGCAATAGCTTTAATTTTAGCGGCTTCATGGATTAATTCTGGGGTTAATTCTCTTGATAAGTAGAAAGTCATCAAAAATGTTGTCTTTGGAGCCAAAGCTTGTAACTTTTCTTTATATTCGACAACCCTTTCAATAGTGGTGATTGGAGGCACTAGATTAGGCATGATATAGGCGATTGAAACACCACCCTCACGCACAGTTGGTGCGATTAGCTCCATCATTTTACCATCACGCAAATGCACATGGAAATCAGCAGTGACACCTAGATCAATTGAAGTCATTTTTGGTACGTTGAGGTTTTCTTTATGGCCAGGTTGATGATGACTGTTGGAGCTTTTCTGATAAGTCAAGCCATTTGGACCAAAAAAAAAAAAAAAAAAAATTAACCAGAGTTACGTAATCACCATACTAAAAAAATTAAAAAGAAAATTGTTATAAATCAAACAACTTTCTAGTGCTTTGAAAGGGAAACCGAGAAACTGCTCTTGATAATGACTGAAATAGTTGCCCCTGCTCTTTCAACTCATCAAGATGACAACACTTTTACCTATGACAAGTACCAAGACAAGCAAAAGGATAGAAGTTACCTTGGTCCAAACTGGAACGATGAGCAGAGCTTAAGAGAAAAGCTAATAGAATTCTATTCAATAGACGAGTTAGTTGTCCACTTGGGACAAAGAGCTTCAGATGGCTCATTCAAGTTCAAAAAGATAACACTGCAGTTTCCAGATTCATTAGTTGCAGATGCTGCAATCGTTGTGCAGCTGCTACAAGAGAAATTAGGAAGTCTTCGAGAGCACAAACCAGAAGCACCAAACCATCACAAGAAAAAGGGCCATCACGATGACAAAGATGACTGCAAGCATGAATGTGCTGGTTGTACATGCTCTGATCCACTAGATGCTAGTAAAGCGCAAGATAATACTCAACAAGTTTGGATTTTAGCAGACACTGCTTATAGTCCATGTTGTATTGATGAAGTTGCAGCAGAACATGTTTTGAGTGATATTGTCGTACATTTCGGTGATGCTTGTATGAATGCCATTCAGAAGCTACCAGCTGTTTACGTTTTTGGGAAACCCTATCTTGATATCGATACAATTGTTGGGAAATTCAAAGCAACATACCCCAATGAAAGCTCAAAAGTGGTATTGATGGCTGATACTTCTTACTCTAGACACTTGCCAGAATTGTTTAATATCTTGAAAGAGACTTATAAAGATGTTGCATATGCTGATATTTCACCAGAAAGGGCTTCAAATGCGAAGATCATAGGATTCAAAAGCACTAATCAGGAAGGGTCAATACGGTTTTCAAATCGCAAGCTTATAACATCATCAGATGAAGCTTTAGAAGATGAGAACCTACAGGATTATGCATTATTCCATATCAGCACCCCTGAGCCACCTCATCTGTTATACCTAAGTACTAAGTTTGGATCGGTTACCTTGTTCGACACTATCAATAATTCAATAAATCAGGGTCCATTCCCTTCATTAATGAAAAGATACCGTTATATGCACATTGCTAGAACAGCCGGTACTATTGGTATACTGGTGAATACATTGTCATTGCGCAATACAACTGAGGTCATTAATAAAGTTTCCAGAAAGATTAAAGAAGCTGATAAGAAATACTACATGTTTGTTGTTGGTAAGCCAAATGTGGCCAAACTTGCAAATTTTGAATCTATTGATGTTTGGTGTATTTTGGGCTGTGGTCAAGGTGGTATCATTGTTAATAATAATAATGATTTTTTCAAACCAATCATCACCCCTTATGAATTAGAAATGGCTTTGAGCCCCGAAGTCCAATGGACTGGAAAATGGGTCACTGAATTTGAAAACGTCATAAATGATGAAGAGTCAAATGAGGATAGCGAAGCCAGTACGTCATTGGATGATACAAATTCACCAACTTTAGAGGGTGAAGATGAAGCACCTGAGTTCAATGCAGTTACTGGTAAATACGTTTCAAATTCAAGACCAATGAGACAAATACAACACTTAGAGATTGATGCTGTTGACTCAACTGTTGAGCAAGAGAACCAATTAGTGAAAAAGTTTTCTCAGGCTGTTGCCATCAAAGGAACGGTCTCCACTTCAGCTATTCATTTACAAAATAGAGAATGGACTGGGTTGGGAAGTGATTTCGTTGATAACGATGTTGATGATGAGGGAGCTCTAGTTGAAGATGGAAGAGGTGGTATTGCTCGTGGATATGATTTCGATGTCAAGGGCAGTTACTAATGAACATAATCGAATAGCATTTACATAGAAGAATAGAGAAAATATTTATTTTAAAAGTGAATAGAATTGTACTTACTCGTTTGATTCAAGCTAGTTCATCAGGACACCAGCCAGAGTTCGCGAAATCTCGATAATGCTACGTTTACGCAAACGAGGTCTCTTGATCTTATTAAAAGTAAATCAAATCCCCATATAACAAAACCTAAATATATCCTTATCTGCTCGCTGTCATTATTATAGAGAAATTTCAGCTATTGTTTTGTTGCTCGGTTAGTCGGTTCATTAAAAAAGGTTCAGTCATGAGACTTTGCAAGCTTTTGTTACTAGGTAAGTACTCTCTGCCTCACTCAAAAAACATTGATAAACTAACATACCCAAAGCATCTTCTCTCATCGGAATTACATTAGCAAATGAAGAGCACAATTCAAATCAGCTATTTTCAGAAGCAATAGATATCCTTAGCCACATACCGCAGCAAATTGATAACAGACAATACAATGACGAAAATCAAGTGGTCATAGAACTGCCCATGGATTATAGCTTTGAATTACAGCAAGAGATATACCAATTTGAGATGAAGCACATGTCACCTGAGTTGAAAAAAGCTAGTTTATTGTTAGAAGAAAGCTCATCCTTGAACAATGTTGATGCTACATATTTATTAGCAGAAATGAATCTATATGGAAATTACAGCTTCCCAAGGAATGGAAGTTTAGCACTAAGCTACTACAAGAAAGTTACAGAACTTTCTCAAAATTCAACTGCATATTTTACACTTGGATTCATATACTCAACTGGGTTATTTGGGGAAGTTGAGCAGAATCAAGCGAAAGCCAATTTGTATTATAACTCTGCATTTGATTTAGGGGACCTTAGAGCTGGTATGGTTCTAGGATATAGATATTTGCATGGTATATCAGTACCAATGGATTGTGGGTCTGCATTATACTACTATAGATATGTTGCAAGCCAATTATCAGAATATCTCAAAAAAGGACCAATTGGTGGACCTTCAATTGATAGTTTCTCTATACGGATAGCTGATTTCCAAGGTGGTATCTATGGTAAAAATGTTGGTGAATCTCCTAGCTCCTTGCATAGAAAGGCTTCAAGATATGATGAAGTTTTGATGGGAAGTTCATTAAGCGCTGAAGAGTCATATTACGCTGCACTATACATCAAAGCTCTTGGATACTATGAAGGTAGCTATGTAAAACCAAGAAATTTCAAACGTGCTTTTAAATTGATACTTCATGCAACTGAAAAGGGGTTGAAAGAGCTCGATCTGTTGAGCAAAATTGAACTCAATTATTTGGCTAGATGTTTCCAGAAAGTTGGTCGCATGTATATGAGAGGTGAAGGTGTTGAAATCAATTTTGACGAGGCTCTCAAATATCTTGAGAAATCACTAGAGATACAGCCACTTTCAGCAGCTTATAATGACTTAGGGTTGCTACATGAATTTGGTCCTGAACATTTGAGAGATCCAGCAAAAGCCAAAGATTACTACACTAAAGCATCTACAAACAGCCATCCTAATGGGTTATACAATATTGGTAGAATCTTGGCTAGTGCCGGAAGTCCAAAAGCGTTTGAATATATACAAAAAGCTGCCTTTTCGAGTGATACAAATGCTATCTACGAGTATGCACAAACACTTGAAAATGCTGAAGATTTGGATTCTTGTGATAGAACTGTTATGAGTTATAAAGTTTTTTCAGAAAAGATAGAGCCAGTTATCTCTTCACTTGAATGGGCTTTCAATGAGCTGATCTCCGGAAGATCAGAGAATGCATTAATTGGTTATGCTATGGCTGCCGAACAAGGATTTGAAACTGCCCAATCCTCAGCAGCTTACTTGTTGTATCAACCACCAATGTTGACAGAAGAGGCACCAATTATACCCGAGGAGAGAAAGAAAATGGCCCTTGTTTATTTAACAAGGTCTTCCAACCAATTCAATGTCGATTCCACAGTTTTGATGGGTGACATCTATTTTGCGGATGGTGTGTATGATAGAGCTGTCGCATGTTATGAGGCCGCTTCATCAAGATTATCAAGCCATGCAAGTTGGAATTTAGGGTGGATGTATGAAAATGGTAATGGTGTTGAACAAGATTTCCATTTAGCTAAAAGATACTATGACCTTTCTTTACTTGGACATCCAAAGGCCTATTTACCTGTTCAGTTATCTTTACTAAAATTAAGACTAAGAAGTTTCATCAACAATATCACTGGTGGTAAAGTTAATAGTATAAGTGATGGTGAGGTGAAAAGAACTTGGGCTGACTGGAAGGCTCTTTACAGAAAGATCAGAAGTTCAAGCTCCAATTTCTTTGACGACGATAATGACAATCAAGCAACACATCAAAATGACTTGAATGATATTGGCCCAGGAGGCAACAACAGAGATGCTAATATGATTGATGAAGATACCAGTGAAGACCTGGATGCTATATTAGAGAATGAAGACTTTGTTGTTTTATTATTTTTTGTGATTGTCTTTTTGATCTTCTTTCTTTTGCATATCTACCAACAGAGACAACTTAGACAGAGGCGTGAAAACGGCGAGGCACCAAATGCTCCGAACATTGAGTTCAACTTCCGTGTTGTTGCCATATGATTATTTCTAAAGGATTTTAATGACTTGTATATTGATTTTAATAGGATAAAAAAGATACGCTTCTGTATGTTATGGTTCGCGAATTCATTCTGTATCCGCAGGGTAACCTCTTCGATTTCGCGAATTTTGAACGATCATGGTTTACGTTTTGAAATCGACGTGGTATAATTGAAAATGAGATCAAGAGAAGACAAATTGTCAAATCAATTCAATCACTCACTGGCATTATTAACCTGTGTTACTTCAAAACTCTGGTACTATTTTATTCGCTATTAGTTTGATTTAGTTACAACTTTGATTCCATAAATATATACAAGAAAAACACAATGGTATGTCAACAGGGAATTTGAACACCAATGATGTGAAATACTAACAACTATTAGGTGACGATTGGTAATGCTCATGATGATTTAATCCATGATGCTGTTTTGGACTATTATGGTAGGCGTTTAGCCACCTGTTCATCAGATAAAACAATAAAAATCTTTGAAGTTGATGGAGATGATCATAAACTAATTGAAACATTAAGAGGACATGATGGTCCAGTCTGGCAAGTTAGTTGGGCCCATCCAAAATTCGGTGTGATCTTAGCTTCAGCATCTTACGATGGTAAAGTTTTGATCTGGAGAGAAGAAAATGGAAGATGGTCAATCATTTCAGAACATGCAGTGCATCAAGCTTCAGTGAATAGTGTTTCATGGGCTCCACACGAGTATGGTGCTCAACTATTAGTTACTTCATCTGATGGGAAGATCTCAATTGTTGAATTTAAAGATGATGGTACTACTTCATCAATTGTCATTGATCGTGCACATGCGATTGGTGTTAATTCAGCAACATGGGCTCCACCTGTTTCAGTTGGCTCATCTGTTGAAAGTTCTGTTGAAAAACAACAAGAGCGTAGATTTGTTTCTGCTGGTTGTGATAACTTGGCTAAAATCTGGAAATATAACCCAGATGCCAACACATATGAATTAGAACATACACTAGAAGGTCATACTGATTGGGTTAGAGATGTTGCTTGGTCACCATCAGTTTTAGTTCGTTCATACATTGCTTCAGCATCTCAAGATCGCACAGTTATCATCTGGTCCCAAGAAATTTCAGGTGGTCCATGGAAGAAACAATTATTACAAGAAGAAAAATTCCCAGATGTTGTTTGGAGAGCAAGTTGGTCATTATCTGGTAACATATTGGCGATTTCTGGTGGTGATAATAAAGTTACTTTATGGAGAGAAAGTTTGGAAGGTAAATGGGAATCAGCTGGTCAAATTGATGAGTAACTGGTGTAAATCAGAAAATACAAGTTCATTAATATTAATTGTACAATAAAAAATAAAGCAAACAATGAGCAAAAAATGTTATATTAGTAAGAGTTTTCATATTTCGAATAACAGGTAAAAGTTTCTAAAATTCATTAACTGTAGCTTCGATGATTTTTTGGACATCTAAAGATGCTTGGTTGGCATACTCCAAAACTTCAGCATGACTGGCCATACCTTCATCTAAGGGTTTAGGATTTTCGTCGAAAGCGCTGGCTGGTGGATCAACAACACACTCATTTGTGATTAAACTTAGTGCAAGGACTCTTAATCCACAATGCCTAGCAACAATGACTTCAGGGACAGTACTCATACCAACAGCATCACCTCCCAAGGTTCTAATAACTCTTGACTCAGCTCTACTTTCAAAAGTTGGTCCAGACGCATAAAAATAAGTACCTTCATGGATATTTCTTTCAACTCCTAACTTCTTCTTTTGCTGGAAGAACAATTGTCTCAATTGTAAATCATAAGCATCTGATAATGGTTGAAATCTTGGGCCAAATTTATCAAGATTTGGACCCCTTAGTGGATGCCATCCTGCAAAACCAGGAATATTTATATGGTCATATATGATCATCAAATCACCAGCTTTGAAGTTCGGGTTGATACCACCAGCAGCATTTGTGACAACGACAATTTCAACCCCTAGTTGTTTGGCTAATCTCACTGGAAAAGTTGTTTCATTGAAAGAGTAACCTTCATAAAAATGTAGTCTCCCCACCATACAAACAACTGGGACTTTATTTGATCCGATGAATCCAAATACTAATTTACCAGCATGTCCTGGTACTGTTGATACGCTGAATCCTGGAATCTCTGAGTATGATATCTCTGTTGTATCTTGGAGCAAAGATGAGATTCCACCTAATCCAGAACCACAAATGATCAATGATTTTGGTTTTGATAGGGATTCAGGTATTTTGCTACAAACGAAGGATTTCGCTTTGTCTAATAGATCATAAACTTCTTGGGTGGTAGTCATCTTGAAGCAGCGTTGCTAGGGAATATCGAAGTTGATGTTGACGTTGAAGATAACATTTGATTATTTTGAAGTCTGGTTTTGCAAAACGAATTCGCGATGTTGGGATCAATATGATTTTAGGGCGTAAATAATACTGCTGGTACATCGTTAAGAATAACCATAAGTTGAAGTTTGTTGTGAATTGACAAATAGTTTGTACGTGAGATATATAAGGTATGTCGCAATCAATCCAACGTTTAAAGGTTTCAAGTTTGAGAAGTACTCGATACACTTTCAAGCTTCAGAAATTCAGTGGTGTAATATTTCTGGTTTTTAACACCCCAATATTGGCTCAACAAGACGTCAATGGTGCACACTTCATGGTGCAAGAACACCAATTCACTCTGTATTTCTTTCGTTCTGCTTGGTTTTGTAAGCTGAGCACTGATCATCAGTTTCACACCCGTTGTGTACGTATCTAATCATTACTGGATATAATTTGAAACTTCCAACAACTCAGAAGTTAGGTGTAGTTGTAGATTTGGGGCACAAATCACGAAAATTTAGATAAATGATGAAACGCGTGAAAACGATTTGGATGTATCTGATACTTTTGCAGAAGAGTATAGGATTCAATCAATCTGTGCAGAGGCCTCCAGCCCATTATCATCAACTCATCAACCTCTCATCAACTTCTTCTGGTGTGTCTGATCAGCTCTTGCACAGTGCTAGCAGCCCCATTAATAATCCGCGTCCCTATTTATCAGCTGCGTGTCTGCTTTTGGCGTTGTTTTTGTTTACGTTTTGCTCTTTCCAGACGCGTGTTGACAAATCAAAACACGAAAGTTTCGTGTTTTGTTTTCTTTTGCCGCCCTAAACAACGCGTAAATCGATGGCCGTGATGAAATTTTTGCAAAACACCAAAACACGAAATTTTATATATAAACAAACCGTGTTCTTCTTTTTCGCTCTTTGCTTTGAAACTATTTCCAACACACAAATCTCTTTTCCCATAAACAACAAACAAGAATGTATGTCTTTAAAAGAGATGGTCGCCGTGAACCGGTGAAGTTTGATAAAATCACTGCTCGTATCTCAAGATTGTGCTATGGTTTAGATCCATCCCATATTGACGCTGTTAAAATCACACAACGTATTATTTCAGGTGTCTACGAAGGTGTTACCACTATTGAATTAGATAACTTGGCTGCTGAAACTTGTGCTTATATGACCACTATCCATCCAGATTATGCCACTTTAGCTGCTCGTATTGCTATTTCAAATTTGCACAAACAAACAACAAAACAATTCTCTGCTGTTGTTGAAGAATTATTCCACTATGTCAACCCAAAAACAGACAAACATTCTCCTATGTTATCCCAAGATACTTATGATATCGTTCAAGAATTCAAAGATGAATTAAATTCTGCTATTGTTTATGACAGAGATTTCAACTACAACTATTTTGGTTTCAAAACTTTAGAAAGATCATACTTGTTGAGAGTAAACGGTAAAGTTGCTGAACGTCCTCAACATTTAATCATGAGAGTTGCTATTGGTATCCATGGTAGAGATATCGAAAGTGTTATTGAAACTTATAACTTGATGTCTGAAAGATATTTCACTCATGCTTCTCCAACTTTATTTAACGCTGGTACTCCACATCCTCAAATGTCTTCATGTTTCTTAGTCGCAATGCAAGACGATTCTATTGAAGGTATCTATGAAACTTTGAAACAATGTGCTTTGATTTCCAAAACTGCTGGTGGTATTGGTTTACATATCCACAACATTAGATCAACTGGTTCATACATTGCAGGTACTAATGGTACATCAAATGGTATCATCCCTATGGTTCGTGTCTTCAACAACACTGCTCGTTATGTTGACCAAGGTGGTAACAAGAGACCAGGTGCTTTTGCCTTATATTTGGAACCATGGCACTCAGATATTTTTGATTTCATTGATATCAGAAAGAACCACGGTAAAGAAGAAATTAGAGCTCGTGATTTATTCCCAGCTTTATGGATCTCAGATTTGTTCATGAAACGTGTTGAAAGCAATGCTGAATGGACTTTATTCTCTCCAAATGAAGCTCCAGGTTTAGCTGATACTTATGGTGAAGAATTTGAACAATTATATGAACGTTATGAAAAAGAAGGTCGTGGTAGAAAAACAGTTAAAGCTCAAAAATTATGGTATGCTATTTTAGATGCTCAAACTGAAACTGGTACTCCATTCATGCTTTATAAAGATGCTTGTAACAAAAAAACTAATCAAAAGAACTTGGGTATCATCAAATCCTCAAACTTGTGTTGTGAAATTGTTGAATATTCATCTCCAGAAGAAGTTGCTGTTTGTAACTTGGCTTCCATTGCTTTACCAGCTTTCATTGAAAAATCCACTGATGGTACTTCTCAATGGTATAACTTTGAACGTTTACATCAAATTGCTAAAGTTGTTACCAAGAATTTAAATAAAATTATTGATCGTAACTATTATCCAGTTCCAGAAGCTAGAAGATCAAACATGAGAAATAGACCAATTGCCTTAGGTGTTCAAGGTTTAGCTGATGCTTTCATGATTTTACGTTTACCATTTGAATCTGAAAATGCTAAAGAATTAAACATTCAAATCTTTGAAACTATCTACCATGCTGCTGTTGAAGCCTCTGTTGAATTAGCTCAAAAAGATGGTCCATATGAATCTTTCCAAGGTTCTCCGGCTTCTCAAGGTATTTTACAATTTGACTTATGGGACCGTAAACCAACTTCATTATGGGATTGGGATTCATTAAAATCAGATGTTGTTAAACATGGTTTAAGAAACTCCTTATTAGTTGCTCCAATGCCAACTGCTTCAACTTCTCAAATTTTGGGTTATAATGAATGTTTTGAACCATATACTTCAAACATTTATTCACGTCGTGTTTTAGCTGGTGAATTCCAAATTGTTAATCCATATTTGTTACGTGATTTAGTTGATTTAGGTGTTTGGGATGATGCTATGAAAAATCATATTATTGCTGATAATGGTTCTGTTCAAAACTTACCAAACTTACCAAAAGAATTGAAAGATTTATACAAAACAGTTTGGGAAATCTCCCAAAAAACAATCATTGATATGGCTGCTGATAGAGCTGCTTACATTGATCAATCTCAATCATTAAACATCCATATCCGTGCCCCAACTATGGGTAAATTGACAAGTATGCATTTCTATGGTTGGAAGAAAGGTTTGAAGACTGGTATGTACTATTTGAGAACCCAAGCTGCTTCTGCTGCTATTCAATTCACTGTTGATGCTGCTGTTGCTGCTACTGCTTCATTAAATGTTGCTGATTTATCAAACTTACATCGTCCAACTTATGTTCCAAAAGAAGTCACTTTTGAAGAATCAGATGTTAGCACAAGAGATGGTTCTTCATCTCCAAGAGATATTACCACTGCCGCTACTAGTGTTGCTTCATTATCCTTAGAAGATTCAAAACCTCTTCCAGTTCCATCTCCTCAAGCCCAACCAATCGCTGAAGAACCAAAAGAGGAAGAAAAAGCTGCTACTGATGCTGATGCTGAAGAAGACCAAGATATCTTTAGTTCAAAAGTTATTGCCTGTGCTATCAACAACCCAGAAGCTTGTGAAATGTGTTCCGGTTAAGCACATATAACATACTGATGATGAGTTTTTGTATTTTAAGGTTTTTTTTTCACTATTGTTGTCTTTTATGGTTGATTTGTTCGGTTGTTTGTTTTTCACACTCTTTTTCTAAAAATAATGTTCACTTCCTCTTTTTGTCACTATTTGGATGATGATGATATTATCCTTTGTCATTTGGATTACATTTAGGGTCTTATATAATATTTTCATAAATTTAATGGTCATAATTAATTAAAACAGTACGTAGAATTTCTTTATGATCTGCCAAACAGCCTGGCTTTTTCGCGGAACCCTGGAAAGTGAAAATTATACCGTACCTACCGCGAACAATAAAAATGGAACTGCAAAATTGCTGGACAATAGAAATTTTTCAAGACAAGCTGAAACTGACATTGAAAAGTAATTGATATCGGATTGAAAACCTATTTGTATCATCTATAATTCAAGTGAAGGAGAATCGAATCATGTCTAGAGATGTCGAGAGTGGCTACATTGAGAGTGAATTACCGAGTAGCAAAGACTCTTTCGAGATAGAACTCGAGGAGTTGAACAATGATCCAAATAAACCAACCCATTCAAAACCAACATCTAGTCGAAATGCTGGCCATATAAGACTAGATGATAATACATATTCAAATGATCAAAAGACAACCGTCTCAAAGTTTTTACACAAAGTTTGGTATGGTCCTGATGAACCTTCAGATAATCCACCCAATTTTACTAGCCCATTACTAATAAAGCTAGAGGAATACCCAAGATATTATAAAAATAGATTCAAAAGAATGAGTGGTCTCATATTGGTTATTTATTGCTTTCTATGGGCGAGTCTCGACTATTCAATCTTACTTCCTCAATTTACAATGTCACCAAGTTTGAAAGGAAGCAATGAAACAATAGTTACATTATCATGCACGGGCCAACAATACTTCTGGAAAGGCAAAAATGGCAAGTGTGGTCTTAATGGTGAATTATGTACCCCTTTTGAAGATAGAGATGTGATTGTGAAATGTCCAGCACTCTGTGATCGTGGTGGTTGGACTTATTCTGCTACTCCAGTGGGCGATGAAATGGTCAAGTATACAGGTTATACAATTGGTGGTGGTAGTAAAGAACCGGATGAAAAAGATAAAGATACTTTAACATATCCATACAGAGCAGATTCTTTCCCATGTGGTTCCGCTGTTCATGCTGGTGTTTTGTCCCCTTTCTTTGGTGGTTGTGTCAAAGTTTCATTTGTTGGTTCACAATTGTCATTCAATTCCACTATGGGACATTATGGAACCGATTTTTCAGTTCCATTTCCATCATTTTTTCCATCTTCATTTGTTTTCAAAAATTTACCTAATGGGTTGTCGGGCTGTTATGATTGGAGACTCTTGATCTTATTTATAAACATCATATTGGGGGGTCCAGTTGTGTATTTAGCTGATGGGTTGGTCAGTTATTGGATTGTCAATCTAGTTGGATATTGGACTATTCTACTTTCACTGGATCCCCCTGTCATTGTTGACCCAGAAGATCCAGAAAGCGTTGCCACTCTTTTCTCTATTGGTTTCCAAAGATTGCTACCTTTATGTTTTGTTCTATATACTCTTTGGAAAATATGTACAAAGAGAACATTCTCAGAGCCAACTTCCCCTGTGGTCAAGCTGTTCTTGTGGTATCCTCTCTTTTGGTTAGGTGTTGCTAACAATTTGACTTTTGATAGATTACCAGTTGATAGACTGACTCCTAAAGATTTGAAAGAACAACCCGGAGGATTGATTGCAGTACTATCTATTTTCAGTACAATCATCACTTGTGCTATAATCCAAGCATATAAATTATGGAAATCTGGAAGATTTCAAAAATACTTCAAGATTTATATTACTTTTATCATTAGTATATTGGTGTTTGCAATGCTCCCTGGACTTTCTTTGAGAATACACCATTACATTTTGGCACTGGTGTTGATTCCTGGATGCGCAACTAAAGGGTTCTCGGCATTTATGTTTCAAGGCGTGTTGCTTGGATTGTTTTTATCTGGTATTGCAAGATGGGATTTTGCGTCAATTTTGGAAACTGAAAGATGCTTACTGAGAGAGGAGGCTGGTGGATCTTTGGAACCTCCAACATTCAACAACTATACCGATGGCTTAGTTTCATGGACTGATCATAATGAAACTGCGGTCATCATAAAAGGAGAGCCAAAGTCACCACATGACCAATTATTTGGATACTCATTAGTGATTAACGATATTGAAAGATACGTCGGGAACCAAACAAAAATCAATATTGATGAATTGATCAATGAAAACCAGGACTTCAAAGATCTTGTCGAAGATTCTTTGGAGAAAAATGCTGATTCGAATGGGGATATTACGCTTTTCTTGAGATTAGGTAAATCAACAATTGATTCGCACAGAGAAACTAGAGGTGATTATACAAGGGCTGCTATTCTTAAATGGCCAAGTGGCAACTGGACTGCACCATGTGAGGGACTTTCATGATGGTGTTTTTATGGTGAATATATAGATTAAAGGGTTTTGATTTTGGTTTGATTTTGTAATTGGCTATTATCTTTCTGGCCCTAACACGTTTTCTTGCGGTCCCAACCAGTAAGTTTTTTTTTCGCGGTATTGTAATGGTGTAAAGTTCAAAATTTACTTTTGTAGTTCATTTGAGTGTTTACTCAACCAGAAGTGAAGCCATATGAGTTTGTTCAAGAAGCGTAAAGATCATAGACAAAGAGATAATGATATTTGGGAGAAAAACAGGCTTCAAACAGCCGGTACGATCCAAAAAGGCGATCTAGATCTGGATTTTGAGGATACTTCAGAACCAACAGTTCAACTATCAACACATCATTTGACACCTCCTTTCCTTACAGGAACCAATGTTTTCACAACCCAAAGAGATCCAATATCGCCTGTTAGAGACCCTCAGAGTGATATTGCCATAGCAGCTAAAAGAGGAAGCGCCTTGGTTCAACAGCGAAGACAACAAAGAGAACGGAAAAGCAAGGCGAAAGATGCAGCTAGTTTAGTTGGATCGGTTATTGGTGAAGTTCTTGGGGTTGATCAACAAAAGAATCAATCAGATGTTAATAAAAATAGTAAATTTAATAACCTGCCCAAAGAGAATGGTAATGGTGATGACGTTGAGGCAGAGATTGGAACTAAACTTTCAATAGAGGAGCAGAGGAAAACATTACCAGCATATGCTGCAAGAGATGATGTACTCAAAATGATACGAGATAACCAAGTGGTTATTGTTATCGGTGAAACAGGTTCTGGTAAAACTACTCAGCTTACTCAGTTTTTAAATGAAGATGGATATGGAAGATTAGGTATGATTGGATGTACCCAACCAAGAAGGGTTGCTGCTGTCAGTGTTGCCAATCGTGTTGCTGAAGAAATGAATGTCAAAGTTGGTGAAGAAGTTGGTTATGTTGTTCGTTTCGAAGATGTCACTTCTCCGAAAACCATCATCAAATATATGACTGATGGTATTTTACTAAGAGAAACATTAGTTGATTCTGACCTTGAAAAATATTCTTGTATCATAATGGATGAAGCACATGAAAGAACATTAAGTACTGATGTTTTAATGGGGTTATTCAAAAACTTGTTGGCTAGAAGACGAAATTTGAAATTGATTATCACATCTGCTACCATGAATGCTGATAGATTTTCAAGATTTTTTGGAGATGCTCCACAATTTACAATCCCTGGAAGAACATTCCCAGTGGATATTATGTTTTCTAAATTCACTGTTGAAGATTATGTTGAAAGTGCTGTTAAGCAAGCTTTGACTATCCATTTACAGTCCGGACCTGGTGATATATTAATCTTTATGACAGGTCAAGAAGATGTTGAAGTAACTTGTGAAGTTTTGGCTGATCGACTAAAGCAGTTGGATGACCCACCACCGTTAGAGATTTTGCCTATTTATGCATCATTACCTGCAGAACAACAACAAAAAATATTCAAAAAAACAAAATCCGGTTATAGGAAAGTTGTTGTTGCAACCAACATTGCAGAAACATCATTAACTGTTGATGGTATTTCTTTTGTTATTGATCCTGGTTATTCAAAACTAAAGGTTTATAATGCAAGGATTGGATTAGAAAGTTTAGCAATAACACCAATTTCGGTTGCAAATGCAAATCAAAGAGCTGGTAGAGCTGGTCGTACAGGTCCTGGTAGTTGTTATAGATTATACACCGAGAAGGCTGCTAGAGAAGAAATGTATCCACAAACTGTTCCTGAAATTCAAAGAACCAATTTAGCAAATACATTGTTGTTATTGAAATCTTTGGGTGTTGATGATTTGATAAAATTCCCATTTTTGGATCCACCACCGAAAGAAACCATTACGGCTTCTTTATATGAGCTATGGTCTATTGGAGCTTTAGATAATTTTGGTAAGCTTACACCATTAGGTAGACAAATGGCACAATTTCCAATTCAACCAGCTTTATCCAAATTGTTATTAATTGCTTCACAAAATGGGTGTTCTGAAGAAATGGTTATAATTGTTTCAATGCTATCGGTTCCTAGTGTCTTTTATAGACCTAAGGAAAGACAAGAAGAGTCTGATTTATCAAGGTCTAGATTTTTCGTTCCAGAATCAGACCATTTGACATTATTGAACGTTTATTCTCAGTGGAAGGCAAACAATTTTTCAGATTTTTGGTGTAAGAAGCATTTCCTTCATTCAAAGTCTTTAAAGAAAGCTAAAGATATAAAGGAACAAATTGAATTAATTATGAAATCCAACAAAGTCCCTGTCACTTCATCTGGATATGAATGGGATGTTGTCAGGAAATGTATTTGTTCTGGGTATTTTTACCAGGCAGCAAAAGTTCATGGCTTTGGGGAGTTTGTCAACTTGAGAACAGGTATGAAGTTACAATTACATCCAACCTCAGCACTATTCGGAATGAGTGACCTGCCACAATATGTTGTGTATCATGAATTAATGCTAACAACCAAAGAATATATATCTACTGTTACTGCGGTTGATCCCTTATGGCTTGTTGAGTATGGTGGTGTGTTTTATTCTGTGCGGGATAAAAAGAACAAAGACAATGGTTTCAAGAAGAGAAAGATTGAAGAAGAATTAGAAAGGGATGCTAAAAGCTATGAAGAGGAAAAGAGCAAAGCCAAACTGAAAACAACAAAGAAGTCTAAACCTGTTGTAAATATTGGGGGTAATCTGAATAGAAGAAGGAGAGGGTTTTAGTGGAAAGATACATTCAAAGCTCTAATGAATCATGAATATTACGTCAATTCTGAAATTTGTAGCCTTTGGAGACTTCATAAATAAGGCATATAACACGGAATCTCAATACAATAATCAAATCATAAGGTGATATTTTCATTCAGTTATATAAAAAATCAATACAAACTAAGCAATGCAGAACATTGACATAACCAACTGTCCTGTCAACTACACTATTGGATAACCTTTTTCTCAAGTTTTTTGAGTGCTTTCAAGTCAGCACGTAATGAACTTTCAGATTGAACCTCAGAATATTTGGCATACGAAAAATCAATGAAATAGAAGTTTCCATCTTGGTAAAACACATTAGATAACTTAATATCTAGATTTGAGATACCAGCTTGATGTAGGAGCTTTAATTGTTGTTCTCCTTTCTTGAAGTGTGAACTTTCTGAAGGTTTTCCTTTCAATTCACTCATAAGAATATACCTACCGCAGGTGAAAAAAATGTCATTTTCAGACCTTTGTTGTGATAGTGAAAGTTTTATAAAGTCACCTTCATGATTAGGTTCATAAATTGCTGGTATGTTGATGATGTTGTTACTCTTCGATCTTGTTAACAGTTGAGTGGTTGGATTGTAGCTTTTCTTATTGAATTGTTCAATCTGTTCAAAAATTGCTAACTCATGATCTCTTGATGAATCAATTTGAATCATAGTGTTTCTCTTGAATATATCAGACTCGTCTTGACCGTAAGACCATCTTATTGGATCATAAATCTTGACAATGACTTTTTCATTGTTTTCTGAGCTGTGAGTATTGTATGTCTTGAATTTAATCTCTTTGGTGAACTTTGGGAAGATCGCATTTAGCTCCTCAGTTCCAAAACAAAACACCTGACTATTAAAATGAAAACCTATTTGGATTGGTTGAAACTCACCTTGATAGTTTATTTCTGCAGAACATTGGTATTCAATGTTGGATTCATAAAATCTGTTGGCGTGTTTTCTCAACATATCAGCTATTTGCCTTTGGGATTTGGACAGTAGATACTTATAAAATCTCATCATTTCTCTGGAACTGTTGAAGGTTTCTCGTTTCATGTTGTGATGCAGTTTGGATACTAACTTCATCAAAAATGTCAATCCTGCTGCATGAGGGTGATCACCTGTTGGAAATGTTGAATACATTTTCAAATGTAGTGGAACTTCAAAATCATTTTGGATTTCGCCAATATTAAATAGTTTTCTGGATTCAAGATTGGGACTCTGGACATCACTGGCTATATTTGACGCAACACTTTCATGGGCCTTAATTGAGACGCCAATTTCTAGGCACAAAGCATTTATGCCGTCAAATAGAAAGCCAACCTTTGATTCTGTTCCACACATATATGCAAAAACTTGATTCAAAAATTTGGAATTTTTACCCTCGCTAATGGACGTGTAAATTGGTTGACAGTTATATGATTTTAGTTCAATGGGAATTGAAAAAAGTTCTTGTCCATCATTAATAGCATGATCAATAAATCTAAAAGCAAAATCTGGAAACAATCTAATGGAAGTTGTATCATTACCTTGGTTCAGCCTCTCCACTGTTACTGGAATTGATGGAGTCTGAAGAAAAAAGCACGTATGATTTGCTGTAGACAATTGTAACAACATTGAAGCAATTCTGAGCACGAAAGTTTTTGTAAAGGTAACACTAGTTGTTTCATTGATTGGCTCCTCGAAACCTGGTTCATTCAAAAAATAGCTGTTACAAACACCTTCCAATGATTTAAGTAGATAGTACAAACGATCACTATCCAAAACACCGGATAATTGATCTATATTTGAGCATAGACTTTGATAAAAATCATCAAATTGACTTAAATCTTCATCTGATATTTCCGTGTCACCAACATAATTTGTTTTGAATTTAATTCTAGCCAGTATGGCATCTGTAAGCATATTCTTTGTTCCATCAGCTTGTGTTTTCTCTATTCCCTCAAATCCCTGGATTGAATGTAAAAACATACAAGGAAAGACCAATACAAACTTGATGAGCAATTTGATTGCCTTAATGCGATCACCATCGATTTCACTTGAGCGGTATGTCTGTGATTGGATGATGAATTTCCCGTACCATGTTCTGATTGACTCAAAAGAAACTTCTTCAATATTTGCATCCTTCAAATAATCTCGAAAGTTGATATTATAGACTTTGGAACGGTCATTGAGAAACTTTTCTGCAACTAATGCAGCATCAACGGCGCTGGTAACCTCATTCATTATACCAGAAGTAGTAGCTTGGGTTGTTTGGAGATGAGGTGACGTTGAAGTGTTGAAGGTGATAAAAGTTCATGACACATTTTAGTTGACACATTTGAGTTGACACATAATTTGCTCATATGTAAAATATGCTGCAGTTCTCAAAGTACAGCTATAGCGGGTAATTTAAGTTTATGTCAAACTCTACTGTGTCACTAGCTTAACTATGAGAGTCAAATTTTTACTATGGGAAATTTCGCGCTACCGGTCTATGTAGCGCGCTGCTGTTTTTTAGAGTCGATGACGTCGATATTATTATTTAGGGCGAGAAACTTCGACGAGTTTTCAGAGTACAATTCTGGTGCAATTGAAAATAGCGAATATGGCCTTTAAATTTAGTCTTGAAGTACGACTACACTGTATAAATTTAAGGATACTAATCAAAAACACATTTTGCAGAACGTAACATCTTCATATCATTGGAATAACAAACCGTCTGAAAATTGAAGCTTAAAAACATTCAAATCAACTTTCAACTATGGTACAAACGCACGTATGATCCACTGGATAATGGCGTATATCTCTTGGTTTCAGCATCCATTACTACGGCTTTGTGGTCAAAAACTTCGTATTTGTGTCAGGTTCCACAAAAACGATAATTGTTTCTGTGGCAGAGGGCCAAAAATATATAAGAGTTGACAAATACCAAATCCTTTCAACTTTCAACCACCAACTCCTAATCCTCATCCTTCATCATTTATCATCTGGTATTCATCATGCTCATGCATTGGCTGGCTGGTTCTTATCCAGAGCTGGTTGTTTGGTTTCCTATGTGTTGTTGGTTTCATCTTTCAGTGTTGGTGGCTGCTGCTTTCTTTTCCAGAGGCTTGTTTGAAATTAGAGTTATTCACTGTGTTTGGTTATGATTGGTTGGTAGTAGGGACTGGGGTAACTTGGAGCTCGCTGCTTATATTCTTTTTTGAAGGTTTTTGAAACTTGTTTTCTTTAACTGGATAATTAATCATTTGATGGATCTGATTTTCAATACACCACCTTTGATTTATCAAAGTTTGAATTTCGTTGAAGTCTTTTGAAGGTATGACCCTTACTCTTAACCTCCCACTATAAGTCTGAATGATTGGTCTGGATGATTTGCTTTTGAAGTTTTGAACTTTTGTGAGATTCTGAGATTTCAATGATTCAATTTAAGGATTTATTCATTCTACCCTCCAAGATTAGTCTGCACATACTCCTAGTGATAATTCTTTGGGATGACAAGTGCTCCTAGGGCTGTTTTTGGTTTTTGGTTTGTTGTTGATGATGAGTTGTATTGCTGTTCACTTTGCAAAGTTTATCTTTCGCTCATTTACTTTTGGTGTTTCATTCATGTTCCAGACTTTGATGATGATGATGATGATGTTGATTGTCTATGTTCATGTTTTGTTGAATCCAATATTAGGTTTAATCCAGTGCAATTCATCGTTGTACTTTGGATCCATCTTCTGATGGTACTTTTGTTGTTGCTGTTGTTTCAGTTGTTTTATTCTGTTTTGTTCCATTTGATTCTGTTTCTCAGTTGACTTGCCTTTTCTGTTTTTGTTGTTTTGAACTTTTCAAGTTGATGGTTCTTTTGTTCTTGCCAATGTTGTTGTTCAAGCTTCATTTGTCACTGGTTTCTCGTTGATTAGGGCCCAATCAACTTTAATAGAGTAAATCCAGGTTCTTTCTAAGAATAGTTTGACATTTGAAGATTGGTGGATTTTGATTTCCATTTGTTGTGCCATTTGTTTTGCCATTCTTTTTGATCCTATTGTTGTTTTCATTGGCATTTGAGTTGGTTTATTGTTTAAGTTGTTGTTTATATGCTATTCATTCATTTGTTCCTGTTGTTTCATTTTGATGTTCCATTTGTTCTTTCCATTTGTTCACTTGTTCTTTCCATTTGTTCTTTTGTTGTTCCAGTTGTTGTTGTTCATTCTTTTGTTCATGTGATACATTATTGATGTTTCATTTTCCAGTTGTTGATGTCCATTGTTGTTCCATTTTCTTGCACCATTTCTTCTGTTGTTTTGTTCCATTTGTTTCAGTTCTTTTACCATCTTTGCTGCATTTGTTGTTTCCATTGTTGCTCCGTTTGTTGTTTCATTTTTTCATCTTTGTTCCAGTTGTTCTTCCATTTGTTCCTGTGCATTTTTTTGTTCCATTTGTTGATCCATTTGATTTTTTGGTGTTCCATTTCTTCTGTTGGTTTTTCCATCTTTTTTTCAGTTGTTGTTGTTCATGGTTTTGTCCATCTGATATATTATTGTCCTTTCATGTTCCAGTTGTTGTTCCAGTTGTTTTTTCCATCTTTGTTCCATTTGTTCTTTCCATTTGTTGTTCAATCTTTCATCTATGTGATAAATTATTGTTGTTTCATTTTCCAGTTGTTGTTCCATTTTCTGATCTCCATTAGTTGTGTTTTCACCAGTGTTCCATTTGATCCATTATCATCAATCCATGTTCCAGTTGTTGTCCCATGTTTTGGTCTCCATTGTTGTTCCATTTTGTTATTCCATTTATTGTTTTGTTCTATCTATTGTTTTCCATTTGTTGTTCCATTTGTTGTTGTTTGTTGATTTGTTCATTTGATTTATTGGTCTATTATGGTCGCTTCATGTTCCGGTTGTTTATTCCATCTTTGTTCCTTTTGTTTATTCCGTCATTGTTCCAGTTGTTGTTTCCATCAGTGTTTCATGTTCCAGTTATTGTTCCATCTGCTATTCCATCTGTTGTTCCATTTGGTTTTCCATTATTGGGGTTGTTGTTGTTCCATTTTTGATTTCTATTGTTCCAAGTGTTGTTGTTCCAAGTTTTGTTTTGTTTCCATCTGTTTGTTGACTTTTTTACAATTGTCATTTGCTGGTGAGTTTCCAAGCTGATCTTGTTGTTGTTGTTGTTGTTGTTGTGTTCCAGTACAGTTGGGTATTCGTTGTTGACGTTTGGTGGTTGATAGTTGATTGATTGATTGATAGTCTCTGGTTTCTACATTGTTTTAGGAGTGAACAATTTTACAGAATAAATCCAGCTGTTATTTTTAACAGAATGACTTGAGATTGATTAATAGGAGGAGAAGATACAAGAGAGTATAAAAAAAGAGTTTTTTTGTCTTGTTGTTATTACCATTGAGATTTCAATAGCATTAGGATTTCATTAGTCACTGGTTTCTCGTTGATTAGGGCCCAATCAACTTTAATAGAATAAATCCAGATTCATTTTATGAATAGTTTGACTTTTGAAGGTTGGAGGTTACTGGTTTCTACATTGTTTTAGGAGTAAGCAATTTTACAGAGTAAATCCAGGTTCGTTTATGAACAGTTTAACTTTTGACTTGATGCCTAAAGATTGCTAGCCAGGTTTCCAAAAAAGATTCTTCAAACATATGAGTTTGCTTTTCAAGCTTACAATTCTTGTTGTTGATATCCAAACAAACTGGTTTGAAATCTCAAATATTCTATTGTTTCATTGGTATTGGTAATTAAGTGGAGGGAAAGAAGGGTAGGATGGCGGGCTCTTTCTCTTCAGTATGATTTATGTTTATTGTTTATTAAGGATGGATGAGTTAGAGATTAATGATTATGTTGACCTGTGTTTTGTTTGTTGAGAATATTCTTGATTGTCTATTGTAGTATTGTAGCCCTTCTGATCTTGGTTCAACAGGAAGTCATCTGCCAAATAAGAAGGTGAAGTAAATGGTATAACGCATAGGTATCTTTTGATCGGTTACAAAGAGTAAGACTTGAATATCATATGGTAAAGAACTTTCAAAGCACCTGTTCTGAGCTTGAAGAAGTACATAACTTGGACTAAAGCTAATGCTAGATACGTTCTGTAGCTCAATGTTGTAGATGACTAGACGGACATTTGCGCTCTGCAAACCTAACATCAAGAGAATAAGCACGTGACAGGTGAGCAGTCCAGAGTTAAAACGGATGACTCTGTCTGCAGAAGTCAAAAGTTTTGTATGTGAAATCCAACAGAGTCACAAAAAGTTTGAAATTGATGGTTTTTCGAAGATGTTTCATGAATTTCCCCAGACCCTCAGCTCTTTATTAAAGTGTGTTAGTAATCCATTACGTAATTTTTGAACCAAACGAATCATCGGCAATCTTATTAATCTTTGTGATGTTGTCTTTCAATTCACGAATGTCATCTTGGCATATATTCAATGAATTGATATCTTCTATTGTGCTTTCCAATTGTGCTTGTGATTGTGATTTCAATTGAACATCGATTGATGATTTCTCTTTTAATAGTTGTTCTTTTAATGTTTCCACTTTATCCAAATCATCTTCTGTTCTTAGTAGCTGAGAGATGTTCTGGAGAACAATGGGAAGGTTTGGCGATGTGGTTGCCATAATATCAGCGATCCTGTATTTTTTGATAAGAGTGGAATCAGTTGTACTTCAACAACCAGCTATTGGATTGTTTTGATCTTGACGTATAACGAAGGATTTGAATTTCCGCGAATAAAAGGGCAGTTGCGAAATCTGCAAAACGCATTCGCGATAAATCACAATTTCGCGAACTCGTTCTGTGATTCATATTAACGTACACCACAGTGACACTTTCATAACGCTGGGTTCTTCTCAGGTTATCCGGTCTCAAGTACTAGCCCAAACAAGACAGGTAGTAACACAGCAATTATTTTGAAATCAAATATTTTGAGATAAATCCAAACCCTGTGGCTCTATATAGCTTAGTAAGTAATTAGAAAATACAGGTATATTTTTGTAAAAAAAAAAACGTCGTACAATCAATTGAAGAAATCACACAAAACCACAAAACCACAAAACCAAAATCTACTAATTATTAGAATATTAATTCTTTGCGCCCACAAAAACAATTAAAAGATATGAATTGATTAATAAAATTACTAAAATTCATGAAATTTTCGATCAAAGTACAGACATTGTGGAGAATATAAGCTCTTTTAATAATAATTTGCAAGAAGTTGAAGAATTGATCGAGACTGAAGATTATGAGAATGTTGATATTGATTTTGAAATTCCTTCATTATTAGAAATTCATTACAAATTGAATAAACTGAGGGATTTCCAAGAAAGACTATTATTATTGAGTGATAGCTCTAATGAGGATCATAAATTTATTGTTAAAAGAGTTGTTTCTAGGATCTATGATGTTATTAAGAAATTTGATAAATTGCTAGAGAATATTATAATTGGATTGGTTGAATCTGTCAAGATTAATAACAATAGTTTGGTTATTAGATTGGCAAAGATTATTGACTTTGAAGAACGTGAAGATACCAAGATTGATGCTTTGAAAGGAATAATTTCCAAGAATTCTAAAAACAATTCCCAAAATAGTCTATTTGAACAAATTGTTAATGGAACAATTAAAGGACGTACAACTGCAAGAAACTATAAACAATTCTTCATTGATAAAGTGGAAGAAAGTATCCATGAGATATTTCAAAATTGCTATGAAACTTACAAACAAAAGGAAAATATGTTTGAAATTCTAGATAATTTAGATTGGGTGTTTCATGATTTGATTTGTGTTAAACAAGATTTAGTTAAATTAGTACCACCAAGATGGAATATTTTCACAGTTTATTATGATTTTTATTACAGAGAACTAAACATTCTTATAAATAAATTGATTGAATCAGAACCAGAAACGTTGATAATTTTGGAAATTCTTGATTTTGATAATAAATTTAAAGATATAATGATTTCAGAATTTGGTTTCACAAAGCAAGAAAATAAATCAATAATAGGGGATGTTGAGAAAGAGAAGTTATTATCAGATTATTTGAATCTAATTGTTTTGAAAATGAATGAATGGATGTTTAATTTACAAAAAACTGAACATGAAGTTTTCAGATCAAGAATTCAAGCACCAGAAGTTGATTCGGAAAATTTATATGCACTTGAAGGTACCAAGATTGTTTTCCAAATGTTTACACAACAATGTGATGTTGCCTCAGGTTCAGGACAGGGGAAAATATTAGCAGGAGTTGTGGAAGAGTTTGGTGGGTTACTGATAAAAAGACAAAGTAAATGGGGTGAATTGATCAAGAATGAAGTTCAAAAATTATTAACATTGAATAATAAGAGTAAAAAAGATGTTGGAGTGGATGGTGTTAATGATGATGATAAAGTTCCACCGGGTTTAATTGAATATTTAATTGCCCTAGCTAATGATCAAATGAGAGGTGCTGATTATACAGAAGCCATTTCAAATAAGTATGGTGGCATGGTTAGTTCAAAATATTCCACCATTATTCATAATGCATTGGAGAAAGTTATTGATGGGTTTGCTAATTTGGCAAAACAGTGTTGTGATGCTTTAATTGTAATTATCTTTGATGATTTGAAAATTGCATTGGATGAAATTTTCTCAAAAGATTGGTATAATTCCAATTATTCTCAACAAGTTTCTGATACATTGTATGAATATTTGGGTGACTTGAAGCAAAGTATGAATTCGTATTTATTTGAAATATTGAGTGAAGAAATTGTGGAGGAGACAGTTTTAAGATATTTGAGCAATTTGAATAAAGATGTCAAATTTAAGAATAATAATGATAAATTTGTTAATTCAGTGAAAAGAGATTTTGAAATTTTCTATAAATTATTCATCAATTTCATTGATCAAGAAATAATTGAATCCAAATTTAGAATTGTGGAAGATTTTATGGATTTAAGTACAGAGACAAATGATGATCATATTGTGGAATTATGGATTCAACTAGTTTCAAAATTCAATGACATTTCAATTGATTTCTTAGCATTGATATTAAAGGCAAGAAAAGATATAGATTCCACTCCATCCAAGGCAATTTTATCCAAGAGTAAAATTGAACAGGATAAATTCTTACAAGAAAATCAATATGAATTAACACCTTCATTTATGAATAGATTTGTGGTCACCAAGAAGCTAAAGAAATAAAGAACCAGTCATTTATGTCTTTTATGCTCAATGTCTGTAGTTTCATTTCACGTAAATAACATTCAAGATCAAGTCATAATCTTCCAAAAGATCAAATTTCAAAGTATAATACCCATCGGTTGATTCGGTGAACAAGAACCCTGCACTTTGTTTAACATTGTCCTTGATGTTCTTTGCCACTATAGTAGAGTTTAGGATTACTTTATAATCAATTGTCTTTGGCTGTAATTCTTTTAATATTAAACTTGTTATCTTGGATGAAATGTCATTAACGTTGCTTTCTTTTAATTCATCAAGGAGTCTTGTGACTGTTGATTTGAGTTCTTCTTCTGTGAATGGCTTTATGAAGGTTAGAGCTAGAGCTAATGAGTTCATCTGGATATACATACAGCAGACATTATTGTATCAACGGGTTCTTACTTGATAGTTTAACATCTTTTTACACAAGTTTTGATGATTATGGCTCAAAAAACAATAACATATAGTCGGAATTAATCACATCACATGACTTTTCAGAACATCCCGTATTTTACCCTTTTCGGTATTCACTAGTTAGAGTTCCCACGTGCCACGAGTGAGAGAGCAGCTGTTTGAAGAGGAATAGGCCCTGATGAATAGGCAGCCTAACTGATGAAAATGTTTTAGAGATGCAACCAACTCTTTCTTTATAAACTACCACTCCAGCACACATTTGCAAAGAAAGCATCTATCCCAGATTCAATCATCAAGAGTATTGAATTAGAGTTGTAAGAACATCCTTTGCTATTTTCAAACACAAGAAAAAAATGTCCTCAAATCCATTATTACAAACTACACCAGGTTAGTACAAACGTTTAAATCAAATGTCATAATGACTGACGGAATATTAACATCGAGAATAGGTAAAAGAATTGCATTACCAACAAGAGTGGAACCAAAAGTGTTTTTCGCTAATGAACGTACATTCTTATCATGGTTAAATTTCACAGTGATATTAGGTGGGTTAGGTGTTGGTTTATTGAATTTTGGTGATAAAGTTGGTAGAGTTAGTGCAGGTTTATTCACTTTAGTTGCAATGGCTACTATGCTTTACGCTTTAGTAACGTATCATTGGAGAGCTGTTGCTATAAGAAAGAGAGGTAGTGGTCCTTATGATGATAGATTTGGTCCAACTATGTTGTGTTTCTTTTTATTGGTTGCTGTTGTCGTTAACTTCATCTTGAGAATAAGGGCTTAAAGAGAGAGCTTTATTCTAATCTAATTAATCAATTCAAATCCATATAATATATTTAGGGTTCCACCCATAATACAAGAATCATTTAATGTCTACTACAATGTTTTAAAAGGTGATGGAAGTGGAGTTCAAACTTCAGAGGAATTGTACAAAGGATGATCAATATTCTCCCTTCATATCATTCCTTCTATTTCTTTAACTTCACTGAATAACAACTCGTAAATACAACATTTCACTAATCTTTTTGTTCACCCCCATGAGGCTAAAATAAAATTCGCGAAGACACTTAAATTCGCGAATTTGTTTATTTTTCTGATTTGACAGCTATCGATGAGATTTTGATAGGAGAATTGAAGTTTGTACGACAAGCAATATTTTAGATACTACACAATGGATCCTCGTGTAAGAAACTTGTACAAGAGGCTGTTATGGATCGGTAGAGACTATCCGTGAGTTGAAGCAGCTTTCCAGATCAAATATGCTCTGTATTCTAACCTTTCTAGTCAAGGATATGATTATTTCAAAGGAAAGCTTCGTAAAGGATTTATCAAGAATCGTCAACTAGAGGGGCAAGAAGTTGAAAAAGCTCTTGAGAAGGGTGAATTTATCTATAAAGGTGAGTCGAACTGCTTTTTGAATCAATGAATTATGAGAACTAATGTATGGAATTAGAGGTTGAAGCATTGATCTTTTTAACACGTTATAGAGAACTGAAAAGAAGGTATTATGATAGCTAGCTGGACAACTTATTGCATTGAGCCAAAGTGAATGTCCATTGATCTCGCTTAAATCACCAAGCGAAACTTCTTCAAGGGTCCAAAACTCCAAGCTGTTCAAGTCACCAATTATTGAGTCAACTTTGCTCAAAGCTCAAAATACTGGATTGGAAAACCCAACTGCAACAATCCAGTGGAATTTTAAAATCTTTTGCTAGAGGTGATCCATCAGTTATTCCAGTTGAAGCTGAAGTTCTTGGAGGTGTTTGTGTCGGAAATTCAAAGGTGTGTATAGAGTTAATCCGAATAGTTTACGCTTCTGCGTTTTCGCGTTTATGCTCAAATTGTAGAATCCAGCAATTTCATTGGCTGAAGGAGTTTAGGAAACGGCTTTAGCACATTTAAACACATTTCACAAATTTTGTGGTGGAAAAAGAAGAAAAACCTGGTTTCAGCCGTTTTATAGATATGGGAAAGATGAGCTTTATGGTTGAATACTACACAAGAATGCTCTTTTTATAGCTTATTGATTGAATAGTACATTTGATCTAGTCGAGGAGGTCTCGGTGTTTAGCTCCTTGAGATCAAGAACTCGACAACAACATGGACGTGTTCAATACGCCACTGGGAAAGCCCTTAACTTGGTGAAACAGGTGCGGGGGTGCTGAGAAAAATAAGGATCTGTAATTTGTGAAGACAACCTGAGAGAGATTCTAAAAGCTGAGAATTAGGTTCAAGGAACCAGTGAATCAAGAAGTTGTACAGATTTCCAAAGGGTCAGTTGTAAGTTGACGTACTGATTCGTCGAAAGCTTAAATTGAAGTACTCTTTAAATCATCAAGTACTACCACTTTGTAACTACTTTTAGTGCTCCTCAAGTGTCCCTCAGATAGGCCCCTCTGGGCTTAAGAACCACATCCTCTCGAGTCTCTATCTCTATACTTGGCTTTACTACGGAAATTCATCGCCCCTATAATCAATTAATTATTTGTAATGTTTTGTTGAAGCCGTTGTTGACGATGGAGACCTACAATTTGGAGAGGGGAAAGCACCAGGAAAAGAAACATGAATTGGTTGAGCAAGAAACTGAGCTAAAGTAAAGCCAGGTACAAGTTGTGGGTAGTACACATGGAGATAGGAACTCATAATAATACAACTACAATCAACTTCATCAACTACAACTTCAACTGAACAACCACCTACAAATGGCTTTCCACTTCTTTTCATCTCATTTCTCATCTCGTTTCAGCCGTGTCTAATTTTTTTCACCACGGCAGCAGCAGAATTGGTACAGATAACCGTAGCTCTAGGATTCCGTTTGGCTTAAAACCGTTGAGAATAGAGAAGCAGAATAACGTCAATGCCCCACCTTGGACTTTAGAAACATTTCCAAGTATTTCTCATCATGGGTATAAATTGACCTAGTTTCCCTCAATCTAATTCCATCATGGAATTTTAGTTTTCAGTACTCCATCCATCGTTTGTTTCAAGATGTTTAGATTCCAAACTACTAAAACAGCTTTGAGAAATGTCTCATTGCTTTCATTAAAAGCATCAAGAAACTATTCAACCATCCCATTATCCGTTCCAATCACTTTACCAAATGGTATCACTTATGATCAACCAACTGGTTTATTCATTGATGGTAAATTCGTTGCTTCAAGACAACATAAAACTTTTGAAGTTATAAACCCTTCAACTGAAGAAGAAATTACTCATGTTTATGAAGCTAGAGAAGATGATGTTGAAATTGCTGTTGAAGCTGCTCAAAGAGCATTTGACTCTTCATGGTCAACTTCAGATCCAGAATTCAGAGGTCGTGTTTTATATAAATTGGCTGAATTAATTGACCAACATGCTGAAACCTTGGCTGGTATTGAATCTTTAGATAATGGTAAATCTTTATTATGTGCTAGATATGATGTTGCTTTAGTTGCTAAATATATTAGATCTTGTGCTGGTTGGACTGATAAAGTTTATGGTCGTGTCATTGAAACTGGTGATTCTCATTTCAACTATTCAAGAAGAGAACCAATTGGTGTTTGTGGTCAAATTATCCCATGGAATTTCCCATTATTAATGTGGTCATGGAAAATCGGTCCTGCTTTAGCTACTGGTAACACTGTTGTTTTAAAACCTGCTGAAGCTACTCCTTTATCTGCCTTGTATGTCTCAAAATTGGTTGCTGAAGCTGGTATTCCAGCTGGTGTTGTTAACATTGTTCCAGGTTTCGGTAAAATTGTTGGTGAAAAAATCTCTACTCATCCAAAGATTAAGAAAGTTGCATTTACTGGTTCTACTGCTACTGGTCGTCATATTATGAAAGCTGCTGCTGAATCTAACTTGAAAAAAGTCACTTTAGAATTAGGTGGTAAATCTCCAAATATTGTTTTCAATGATGCTGATATTAAACAAACTGTCCAATCCTTAATTACTGGTATTTTCTTCAACTCTGGTGAAATCTGTTGTGCTGGTTCAAGAGTTTACGTTCAAGATGGTATCTATGATGAAGTCTTAAAAGAATTCAAATCATTTGCTGAAGGTTTGAAAATTGGTAACCCATTTGAAGATGGTGTTTTCCAAGGTGCTCAAACTTCTCAAATGCAAGTTGATAAGATCTTACAATATGTTGACATTGGTAAATCTGAAGGTGCTACTTTAATTTCTGGTGGTGAAAGATTAAACCAAAAAGGTTACTTCATCAAACCAACTATCTTTGCTGATGTTAAAGAAGACTCAAGAATTGTTAAAGAAGAAATCTTTGGTCCAGTTGTTACTGTTTCCAAATTCTCCACTGTTGAAGAAGCTATCAAATTAGCTAATGATACCAACTATGGTTTAGCTGCTGGTATTCACACCACTGATATCAACAAAGCTATTGATGTTTCAAACAGAGTCAAAGCTGGTACTGTCTGGATCAACACTTATAACGATTTCCATCAACAAGTTCCATTTGGTGGTTATGGTGAATCTGGTATTGGTAGAGAAATGGGTGCTGATGCCTTGGATAACTATACTCAAGTTAAAGGTGTTAGAATTGCTATCCAAAAGAAACAATTCTAAGAAAGCAGTTGTGCCTGTTTGATATGATACACTATTACTAAATATTCTATTACTGTATAAATATTCCTTATGAAAGAATTTAATGACATTTGTGATTTTTTGTTAATTGATTGAATGTAGAACATTGGTAAAGTAATTTGTACAGATGTTCCAACTTCGTATTGAACTGCTACCTGATCATTAAGAAGTGAAACTCTTTGATGTAGCTTGGGTGGCGATCACTGCAAGAGATAGGATATTAACTGACCAAGTACCAAAGACTCGATCCTTTTAAAGTATTTAATCATCAACTATTCACCCCAGATTATGAATCTATAAGTTCCATCAAAGTAGTGTCCCATGCCATATCTAGATCACGCGTAATTTGTGGAACAGCATATCCATACAATTATCAGCTTCCCTGTGTAAAACTCATCCCTAACAAAGTCAATGCTACTCGAATTCGCGAAACTTCACTTGTTTTTTTTGTGACTGTGACTGCGAAACATCAGAACACCACCAAACAACATCGCGAATGTGAAATTACATAATATTCATTCAGTTCTTACGTAACTTTATGAATTTTTTTTTTTCACCAAAGCACTCTCAGAAAATCATAAAGCTTTTTGTTGAAATTCTTCATCAACTACATACTAAACAGCATCTTCATATAGAACATCAAGAAATCAACAAGATGGTATGTGCTGAAAGAAGTATCGAACACCCGTTGGAATGAGAGATGACGAATGACATGGTATCATAAAGAGGGAGTATTCAAGAGAGATTGTATGAGATTGGCAAATGAAGGACATCATTAAAACATCAACTAAACAAATCAAATGAGGACTCAACAATTATGATAGAATATAAAATTATGGAACAATCTTTGATTGAATATCATTCTTCTATTTGAGGAAAAGTCCATATGCCTTTATTCAACATCTCAGTCTGAATCTCTCACTCATCCAATTGGAGCGATTAATCTTTATGAGTGAATCCATATACTAACATTTATTCTTTTTTTTAGAGTGACGCTATTACCATCAGAACTAGAAAAGTTATTTCAAACCCATTATTAGCAAGATTACAATTTGTTATTGATGTTTTACATCCAAACAGAGCTAATGTTTCAAAAGATGAATTACGTGAAAAATTAGCTGCTACTTACAAAGCTGACAAAGATGCTGTCTCAGTTTTCGGTTTCAGAACTCAATACGGTGGTGGTAAATCAACTGGTTTCGGTTTAGTTTACAACTCTGTTGCTGATGCTAAAAAATTTGAACCAACTTACCGTTTAGTTAGATACGGTTTAGCTGAAAAAGTTGAAAAACCATCAAGACAACAAAGAAAACAACGTAAAAACAGAGACAAGAAAACTTTCGGTACTGGTAAACGTGCTGCTAAACATGCTGCTAAACGTAGTGCTGATTAAGGAAACTAAATTCATGTCTTTTTTGGTTTTTTTATGTATGTAAATTTGAAAAGAGGTAAAAAAGTTTATTGTTTATTAGTTTAATTAATTACATGGTGGGTTATTTGAATTCATACAAATAGAATGCTCGTACTTTAACGAATATCTGCTCTTTGAATACCGATTTCGATACAATTAATCCATTCATGTTCATGTTCGATTCTTATATAATCAGAGAACGAATTCGCGAACGCCAAATAAATCAACACGTACAATTTTAAACGTCAACTTCAACCTAAACATCTTTAAGGATACACTCAACCTAGAATGTTTGGACTAGGGAAGCTATTCTATGGTATGTGGAAATTACTCTTAGAGCACCAACGACTTTAAGTGAGACTAACCTTTAACTTTAGCTATTCTTTTATTAGTGAATGCAATTGCTGTTTTAAGTGAAGATAGATTCTTGAAAAGAAGTGAGTATTTAAGAGAGGTGGACCAATTCAGATTACTTATCATCTTTCCGTATTGCCTTCTGGAAGTTGGTAATAAAGGAAACACGTCCATATATTACGCAAGATCTGAAAAACTAACATCTGTAACAGTCGGTTTGGGACAAGATACACAACCTTCATTCAATCCAAATAATGAAGGCTCAACAAAATCAAGAATAATTAATCTAATAAGTGCAATTCAAACACTATTGAGAATACCTTTGATCGTGGTGAATACTGTTGTTATTATTTATGAGTTAATACTTGGTTAAAACAAGATAATGGTGGGGTGTATTGTATATTAATGAAAGATATTTTGCATGGAAAGCTGTTGTCCTTTACAATGGGCCCTAAGAAACGAATAGTCACTACCGAGAACTTGATATATGCGTTGGAAATCGCATCAAAATGAATTGCGTGAAGTATTAATATCTACTAACTGGTGTATCTCGATTCATGAACTCGTTATATTAAACTTACTTAATAAATAATATCCATATTTGATTAAAATTGTAACTTGTTAACACTCATTTTCTTTTCCCAAATCCATTAAAATTATTCTTTTCTAAATGTTTTTTTACCTCCTTTTTTATATTTTTCTTTTTTTATTTCAATTATTGTTCTTTTCCTTTAAACTGAGTATTCTTTACTCCCTATTATTTTCCATCATTATCATTATTGTATTTCAATACTCTTTACCCATTTCCAATTATTTGACTTCACTTAAGTAATTCTTCAAAATGTTTAGATTATCCAACTCTCCAAACATATCATTTCTAAAATCTTTAAAATTCTCATAATAATTCAACAAACAATCATAAATGAATAAATATTGTCTTAAATTTTGCACCATTGAAATTCTTTGGACTCTAAAGTTTTCCACAATCTCAAAAATTGGGTCAAAATCAATCAAACTCTTGTTATTGTTATTATTCATATCACTAAAATCAAATTTAGTATTGATTATTGAATCCAAAGTACAAAAAGTTCCAGTACGTCCACAACCTGCAGAACAATGAACAATAACATTTTGATCTTGTTTTTGTAAATGATCCAAAATTGTCTTTTTCAAGTAGATTAATTTTAAAACATCAACTTGTTGATTCTCAACCATAATATCAAAATCTGACCAATTTAATATTTGAATCTGTAAAACTTCTTTATTATATTTTGTCAATCTTAATCTTCTCAATACAAAATCATTTAAGTTTGTTCTTTCCAAGATTTCAAAGTTTTCTGAATCATCCCAATATGGGAAACATTTTTCAATACCATTTTCAAATTGATTTGTTAATGAAATTATCAAAGAAATATCATTATCTTCGCACAATTTTGTGAAATCTTTTGTTGTTTCAGATAATGGAGCTTGAGTAGCGATATATCTCAATTTTGTTAACTGGGGACAATTGATGAAATTTGCATTGATATATCCTTGATGTTCTTGAGTAGGAGTTAATGATAGTTTAACGCGACTATGTTCATATGGGAAAATATCTTTATAACGGTTTTTAAAACCTAATTCAATACCTGAAGTAACATTATTCGTGGCAACTAAATTATTGATTCTTTTCTTTTCTTCAATTTCAAGATTTTTAAACTTTTCAAACAACGACAAGTAGTTATTCTTATCCAGAACTGTCTTTAGCCATTTTGGTAAAGGTTTTTCAATGTTCTCATCAGGTCTATTTATGGTTGAATTCAAAAATTTAAATTCATTGATGATTTTATAATTATCAAAATCATAAAATTCTTCATTGTGTCTAATTTTGAAAACTGGAGTTTTGGGCAACTTTGGTAATTGAAATCTTGATAAATTTGGAGAGATTGGTGTTGATGAAGAAATATTTGCCAATGATAATGATCTATTATGTGGTGGCTTTATTGGTTGATGACCTGTTGAATGATTATTAGCGTTCCCGTTTGAATTTGATGACGCTTCTGTTAGACCTGGGAATTCCTCATTAAAATTGATCAAGCCATTCTTCAGTACGTATATTTCACCTTTAAAATTTTGATCATTTAAAAACTTGTTTGATGTCCCATAAGCTGCTAAAGATATTTCGTTGTTTGTAACACTTGAATCATCATAAATAATAATTTTCTTATCTGATGCCTCTTCATCACTCAAAAACTTGTTGATCTTTACATTTTCTATGATTGAAAGATTACTCAAACATCTTGTAAGTGTAAAGTTTGATCTTTTCAATAAAGTTGAGGGTAAATTGAAATTTATGGCATTCTTGATATGCTTTGTGTTATAATCAATATATGGACGAACATCTAGTATCAAAATAGAATTGTCTTCATCACTTGTCATACCTTCTAAAATTAATGACAATTCAGTATTAGTCATTGTGGATATTGTGGAAGGAATTGGAAATTTTGCAACTTTCTTCAATTGAAATGTACTATTTGATGAGGATGCTGAGGATGAAGATGCTGATGAGCATAATGAACCATTAGGAGATGAGGTTAGCAAAGGAAATGTGCTATGATGGGTGATTTCTGGTGATCCAAAGCTGGTTATAGCATTAAAGGAAGGCACTGAAGAGGCAGAATTAAATCTCTTTAATCTGAAACTATTAAGGGTATCTATTGAATTTATTGAATTCAAAGAATCATTCTTATTGTGTAACGACTCCACTAGTGTTGATTCTGAGTTTACTGTATCTCTTGAACTGACCTTCTTTAGGGACAAATTTGCAAAAGATTTCTCGAATTGGTTCGACGTGTCCATCAAGTTTTCATCTATGGTACCAATCCTTGAATGCTTGAATTTCGAGTGAGAAACATGATTTATTGATTCAGGGGATGCAAAATATGATGATGGTTGTTGAATTTGAAAGGTTTCCTTGACACTGGTGGCGATAATGTTGTTGTTATTGTTGGTATCTTTCTTAATGGCGTCAGCGCTGGAATTAGATGGGCCAGAAGAGTCTGGAAAAGTGAAGCCAGAGTTTTGTTCTAGGGGGCTTCTTAGTATTGACATTTTTGTGTTGGCATCTGTAGTTGGTTTTGTAGAAGGCTAACTAGCAAAGTTTTTGTTGATGATGTTTTTGTTTTCGTTGTTGTTGATGATGGCTGTTCAGTTCCAATTTTGTTATTTTTAGTTGCAAATCTAAACGGTTGAAAAACGAGCAAGAACCACAGCGGTAACGCGACAGTAGAGAGTAGTGGTTTCTGGTTTGTAATCCACGAGCTTTGAGGTGGTTTGTCGTTGAGGGTTGGATGAAGCGCTGTGTTTGAAAGTGGAAAGCAGGTGTTTCTGGTGGTGATGATTTCGTTCTGGTGATAAATTTTTGTATTGTTCATGCCTCAGATTCAAGAGATTTCGGTGGGAAAAGAAAAAAAACAGGGCGGTTGGGCCAGCACCAGCCAAACATTGATTTTTACAAACGGGCACTACGTCATTTGCCTCGAATCTAGATTCACCTTGAAGAGATCGAGGATCCCGTAAAATAGGTACAATCACAAGGCTAGCAGATGAGTATGAGGCTTGAGAGTGTGTATGGTACTCTTACTCTGTTCTTAACAGGTAGACGGTCTATATCATCGTAGTGAAATTGCATGTTCTGATCGTAGAACGCGGGCTTGTGCTCTTTGAGCTATCAATTCAGTGTAGCACGGGCTAAGTATATATATTAAGTACTCCAGAGTTGGCTAGACTTCAATCGACATTTATCCATTTGAATGGTACTACTGACTGAAAAATATTATTCCTATACGTGATCGGTCAAATTGAGTATCGAGTCTGTACCAGCTCTGATTAATTATTTGACCATGTACGTCCAGTAATGCTCACCGACTTGACGTGTAAACCCTTCCCACAACCTATCTGTACTGCACTATCGCCCCGTAAACAATCTATTTGATAAATGAGCTCTTGGACATAAGGCTGTAAGGCAGACCTATTGTTCAACAATTGTGTGTGTGCCTAAAACGAGTTGGTTCTGTACAAATTATTTGTGGCACTCTGGTTTTAAAATGCTGAAACACGTTGAAAAAGGCTGGCCACTGGCTGAATCCCGACGCATTAAGCTTATCGGTTTTTGTAAGGCGTTGAAAGCCGCGCAAATCACGTCATGTGACTGAAACTTCACGTGACAGTATTTTTTTAAAATCGTGACGCGTAAAAATGACAGAAGTCAATATACAAAGTGATATGTATACTTCAAAGCAGCAAAGTCTTCTACAGGTATGGACGACAACAAGCTAATAAGGATATCCAAGAAGTATACAAACAGATCTATAAAATCATGGGAGAAACCACCTAAGCATATAATTTCCTCCGTGAACAAAATTCTACAAATGAACAAGACAAAAGCATTACAAGTATCCGCTTCCTCTAAAAAGACTGCAAATTTAATTCAACAAGATATAGATTTGAATGAATTCATAAAGCTATTCCTCAAACAACTAAGGAATACAAAGCTGCCTCATTCTCATCAACAGCGTCAACTAAATGAATTGGATTATGATCATGATTATCAATTGAAAAGAGAAGCTTTTTTAACAAATCTATATTCAAACGAATTAAACCAAGTTGAAAACTTGAAAAATACACTCAAGGAAGAAAATCTGCGGGATAAATCAATCACCAAGTTTGTCAAGAATTATGAAAAGTTGTATAAAGAAGAGTTGAAAAAATTGGAATCAATTGATGAATTGCCCCAATCCAGTCCAATGAATACAAAAAGGATAAATAAATCATTTGATACACTCCAGCTAAATACTGGAGATGAATCTGAAGATATTGCTGAAGTTTTAAAACAATTGGAAACACAATTAGATAAAATTGATGACAATACAAAGCATTTTCAAGAATTATCTAGACAAATAGATCAATTGTTGAATCAAATGTGATCAAGACTGAAAAATAAAACTACACCCTGTAGTTAAATTACTAATGGACAAAGGCGTGACTCTTGATCAAGCATCTATCTAGATGTGACCCGCTACACTGGCAAGTAATCGTAACAATTCACAGGTATTCCTATTAATTCGCGATCATGGTGCCCATCATTTTAGCACCTAAACCGAACTATTCTGGTGACATATCTCGATACAAACTTACATACCTAAATATAGTAGCTTATGAACATTTCCCACTTTAAATTACACTCAAAATCACCACTCCGTTACCAAAAATAGGCTCTCAAAGATTGGCTTACCCGACTATCTTTCTCCAATCTATGGTTTCCGCGAAAGTGTGTTTTTTTTCAGTTGAGAAAAATAAAAACAAAGTGTCAACGACAACAACAAAACTTTATCAAAGGCAAAATCAATCAACAACTTCGATATCCATCGAACAAGCATCCCATCACCTTGTTCAATTGGCCTCTTGATTGGAACTGCTCAAATCTCATTTAGAGGATACCCAAGAACCCCAGAACCTCATTCTTTTGTCCACAAGATAAGAGGATACAAAAAAGGATTTCGTTAGGCGTCGTGCTACAGGTTTGCCTTTACAACCAAGAAATCAACGTCAGCATAAACGCAATTGTTCAATTGAAAGTCTACCTCCCAATATACTTCATTCTATCACATTGATTTGATTCAAAATGAAACAAACTGGTGCTAATTCCACAGGATCAACTGGTCGCAATAACTCATTTGAAAAAAAACACAATCGTTCAACTTCGAAAAACAGTAATAATGGAAACTCAAAGAAATTAGAATCAAACAGCTCAAGTGCATCTAATTCTTCTCCAAGTAATGGTAATGCAGTCACTTCTCAATTGAATTTGTTGAACGATGAAGAATTACAAGCTCATTTGAATGATCGTTTATTATATTTGATTGTTAATTCAATTGGTTCACAAGTTAATATTTTAACTAATTCCGGGACAATTGTTAAAGGTGTTTTACAAAATGTTGATCCTAAATCTATGAAGATCATTGTTAAAAATGATGGTGAAGGTCAATTTACAAGTTTCAATTATGAAGATTTATTAGAATTTGAATTGGAAAATGTTGATTTATTCAACAATTCATATGTTTCAAACAAAGCTTCTTCTGGGTTCAGAACTGATCAAGATATTGGATTCAAAAATAGTAATGCCCCACGTCAAGAAATGGAAAAATGGGTTCCTGATGCTGCATTAGATGTTTCTTTAGATCAATTAACTTTTGATGAAAATGATCCAAATGGAAACGTTAAAAGTTGGGATCAATTTGAAACAAATGAAGTTAAATTTGGTGTTAAATCTGAATTCGATGAAGAATTATACACTACAAAGATTAATAAGAATGATCCAAATTATCAAAAAAATTTGGAAAAAGCTACTAAATTAGCTGCTGAAATTGAATCACAATCTTATAATGGTAATATCCATCTTGCTGAAGAACGTGGTTTGAAATTTGATGATAGTGGAGTCGATGAAGAAGATAAATATTCTGGTGTTGATAGATCAGTTTCAGTTGATGCTAAAGGTGATGCCTTATTCCAATCTTTGATCAATAAGGATTCTAAAAACTTTCAATTTGGTGATGAGAAATCCAAATATGTTCCTCCAAGTCAACGTTCTAAGATCCAAAATATTGATCCTTCAATTGTTTCTGCAACTAATAACGGAACCAAACCTACACCTGCTCCAAAACAATCATTGCCCTCAAAACCTCAAACTCAAGCACCTGCTCCTGTCTCAGAAAAAATCAAGAATGATACATCTGTTCCTCCAAAACCTCCAGTTAAAGAAGTCCAAAAACCTGAAACATCATCTAAACAAGAGAAAAAATCAGTCCCAGAACATTTGAAAAAATTGAACACTATCAACGAAATCAATGCTTTGAAAGAATTTTCTCAAACTTTCAAAATTCCATCAAAGTTCCCACAAGATTTATTACCAATTTTAGCAAAAGATAAATCAAAACAAGAGGAAATTATTAAAAAACAGGATAATTCAAAGAAAGACGTTGCGTCATCAACTACTTCATCCTCTAATGTTGCTTCTCCAAAACCAAAGACTGCAACACCAAAACTTTCAAGTGTCGCACCAACTAAGAAAGTCTATGATCCTGCTAAATCACAACCTTTCAAACTAAACCCAAAAGCTGCTGCCTTCACACCAACAACTGCAAATACTACACCATCTACAGCTTCAAATGTTTCAACTCCAGTCTTCAATAAAAATTCTCCAAGGTTGGCTTCAAATCAACCAACTCCAAATAACTATAATAGAAAAAGGTTCAACGCTACACCAGCTTCATTCTTTGGAAATGATAGAGTGCCATCTTTAGAAAAGCAATCCAAGAAGTTATATAATGACTTTAATTTCTTCAAAGGTTGTCTTGCTGAATTTGAAAAGAAGAAATCTGGTGAAAATGCTGAATTAAATAAGGATTTGAAATTCTTTTTGGAAAAACCATTTTTCACACCACCAACATGGACAAAGGATGAGTCTGAAAAACCTTACAAATCGTTCTTCCCAGCATTAGAGGCTATAAAATTCCAAAGAATGATGCCAACCCCTCTACCACCAAATCCAATGCAACAATTCCAACCTATCCCAATGATGCAACAACCTGGACCATTCTTTTATCCACCTCAACCTTTCATTCCTCAACATCAAAACTTTATTCAACTGTCGCCTCAAGCGCAGAGCCCAGCTCTACACTCTGGATCAATATCACCTTCCAATTCACCTTTCCAACAACAGAGACCAATGTATGGTCAACACCATCATCATAACTATCATCCAGCTGCATCAATGCCTTACCAACCTCAAAGATATGCTCCAAATACACCAATACCTCCACCAACTGGTTATAATCCAAATTATCCACCTGGTTCGAGTGGGATTCCAACACCTGGTATACCGATGACACCAATAAATCAAGGACCACCTCCGCCTCAATTCCAACCTCCTAGTGCTGGATCTCATCATCAAAATAGAGGTTATAAGCATTTCTGATTTGTCTTTTGATGATCTGGTATATCGTCTTGAGAAAATGAACAAAATTACTTCGCTAAGTTTTTGAAGAAATGTAGTCTTTCATATTAATCAGTGAAAGTCTATCGAAGACGTACTCAGAAGTAGTAGATCAACAATAACACATGCCACAATATAATTTTGATCCTAATTGAACCATAGCTGCAGTGGAAAGACCCAACAAAGTGTGAATATTTGTAACCAATATTCATTTTTGGTTATATTGATTACGTAATCCCACTATTTCACGACACCTCCGGCACCCAAGAACTTCAACAAGTGGTTTCGTGGTCTAGTTGGTTATGGCATCTGCTTAACACGCAGAACGTCCCCAGTTCGATCCTGGGCGAAATCATTTTTTTGGCATTTTAGCCGCGCTTCGGTAGGGGCAACACCTGTATTTTTGTTACTATAATTCCATTTCTCTTCAATATTTGGTGCTTTCCAACTACTAATGAATGTACTTTCTTTAATGGTATCCAAATCATCATATAATACATTAACTGTTAACTATAAATACCCCCAACTAATAATACAAGTCATAAAGTGTACGGAGCTGAAGATTCAAGTAAATAAATGAAGAAATCAATTTATTGATATAACCCTTTTTCAATCTCCTGTAATAATTCATCAACTTTATTAGAGACTTGATCAATCTCCACATCTGAGCAAGCCGATATTAACCTTTTATATTTCAGCATTTTTTCATTTGAACCATCAATACCTGAATATAAATGAATAATCTCTTCAATTTCCTTTTTTCTATTCAGTTGAAGAGTCGTTAGCTCCACAGCATCTTGAAATTGATCATCATTAGTTGCCTCAGATGTTTTAGGTGCATCCTCTTGTTTTTTAACTAATTTAGCCAGAGACTTTGCCTGTGAACGTTCTATCAATTTCCCTAATTTAACTTCTTTTGTGATCACTAATGATTCATATCGTTTAACTTGATCCTGTACTATTTTAACTCTATTCTCCAATTGTTTTTCATCTAATTTCTCATTCAGAAATTCGCTAGTCTTCAAACTTATCAATCTTATTTCTTCATTCATATTATTCAACAGTTCTTGAACTTCCGATACATCAGCTTCTTTGCGTTGTAATTCATAATCAAATGCATTTGACAACTCATTCAATGATTCAGCCATAAATTCAGTAACTTTATGACTTGCTTCTATGGCTGCCTCAGATATATGGGGTTGGGCAACTCTATTGAAAGCGGAATGAACTTGTGAGGCAACGCGTTGATTTCTCAAATGTGTTTCATATCTTTGTTGAACTTTTGGAGTAATATTTTCATTGCTTAGCAAGATATCAGATGCAATTAAGCCTTGGTTATTCTTTAAATTAGTCTTTGCTTTATAATCCAACAACAGTTTGATACATTTTCTATTTCCATTCTTTGCACATAGGTGTAAGGCAGTATCACCACTATTATCTTGTAGATTAAGGTATCCTTGTAATCTTTCTTGTCTTTGAGATTCGGCTAATTTAGCCAGTAGTATATCCATATAGTATAATGCAGAAGGAACCCGTACTTTAGATGTTGCAGCAGCAGCAATATGGTGTAAGACAGTCTTGTGTGTTGAATCAACATCCATAATAGTCTCACTTAATAATCCAACTAATCTTGAAAATGATTTTCTTGTATAAGAATTGGTAAACATCACAGCCCTCATCAAAGGTGTCTCCCCAGAATTATTAACTGCTCTATAATTTGCTCCTAAATTGATTAAAGCTTCAGCTGCTTGTAGATTTCCCATAGAGCAGGCCCAATGAAATGCAGTATGACCTTCATCATCAACAGATTGATCAACATTCAGGCCTTCTGGAGGGTGTAGTAAGAAATCTGGAACTTTAGATTCGTGTGTATCATCATCATCTGGCGCTGCAAAATATTCAAGTAATCTTGCAGTGTATTCTGAATTGCTATCATACCATTTATCAGTTGCATTTATATTCCTTATATTTCCCGCGTGTGAATAAATTGCCTTTTCCAGACTTTCTCTGGCAGATTGGTTAACTTTTTGATTTGGAGACCTTAGAGCATTAACTAAATCTGTATCTGACATAAAATCACTCGGTGAAGATGAAGTTCCCAAGAAATGGAAGTTTGTTGTTTCATCAATTTCACTCGATATACCGTCTTCAACGTTTAATTCATCCTCACTTTCTAATCCAGAATCTCTTGTATCTATTGTTGTGGCATCTGGTGGAGATGAAGCTAGACTATCATTACCACCTGTATTTTCCAATCTATCATTATGACTCAGTCTTTTCCCAATAAACACACCTTTATTTGGATTTGCAACAGGTGCATTCAACCTTCTAGGTCGACCTCTTTTCTTCGTTAGAGCAGATGCTGGTGTAAGATCTTTATTTATCCCAACAGGCATACTTGCAATCTTTCTCGCTGCAACTTTTTTATTTGAACTTGGTTTTTCAACACCACCAGCAGTCATTGAATTATTTTTGGAAGCATGATGATGTTTAGGAGCTGGTGGTGGTGAATTTGCTCCATTTGAACTTTCTAGATTGAATAAAGGTGCCAGCACTTCTTCAACTCCAAATTGGGCAGCTATATCTCTTGCTCTTGATAAAGGGACCCAAGTACCTTGATATTTACCATAACCACCTTGCACCTTCTCATGTTCACCAGTCTGTACATCTCTTTCCAAGATTCTTGTACGTTTAGCCTTGGGGAAATTTGCAGTTTTCAAAATATGTGTAGCATTCACCCATCCATCAGACCTCCTTCTCATGACTGATCCTGTGACATTGACCAGCTCATACACAGCGACACCTGAATAGGTTGCTGAGTATACTTTATCCATATTTTAGTTGTGTGATTTATCTTCTCTCTGTTTCTCTCTGTGCTTTATCTATGGATCCTAGTTGTGGAATTGACACTAAGTCGTTAACGTTTAGACAATATGAGAAGTGATATTCAAATAGCACTTGCCTCAATAGTCAGTTCAGTAGCGTCACTCTCAGTATGAACAAGAAATAACGTCTTCTCAAGAGTATATAGAATTTCCGATTATGAAACGATTGGCTCTTTAATGAAAACAATCTTCAGCCGCTTGGGGGAAACAACAACAACGACAACAAAAGAACCGCACAGCTCAGCAATTGGAGAATGGATTGACTCTTTGTCAGTTGCAAATAACACTCGTTCCACTGTGCTCAGTTGTTGTGCACTTATATTTCCATCAGCTTGTGTATGTTTTTTACTACACTACTGTAGTTTGATGCTCGAAATCCAGGGGTGTTACCCCCAAATGGAACCATTCGTGAAACAAATCGAAGGTAAACAAACATACACGACGTAGCTGAGCAGGTGAAGAATACACCATATTGAACCTGTTTGTCGTCCAATCAGCTGATGAGAAACTGAGCAGAGATGTCTAAGCAGACACGCTACACCCAAGAACCGCCCTTTGAGACTTACAGGCCACTGGAATCAGATATTTTCGAAAATGTGAGTTATGATGGGAGCCGCCCTTTTACTTCTTTTCAGCTTTTCTAACAATTATCAATCAGGAAGAGTACTACGTGTACTGTCATAAGGATGGCAAAAATGCCTTTGAATTTGTGAGAAGAAAAGTTGGTGGCTGGGTCAATTTATCACATTTCTATTCCTTAATTAGCGAGAAGAAACACGAAGCTCTGGATCAAGAGATTGAAAACATTCTCCCCCATCATAAAAGACAACAAAAATCTACACCAGAAAGATTCTATGGTATATGGACAACACTTGAAAATGCTAGGGCTTTTGCTAAAAAGCATGGAATTTATAATGCGCTTGCACCTCTTCTAGCGTTTGATAGAGTGGCATTAGTGAATTACATGGGGTACCAATATTTCGAATATTTTGTTTGTCCAACTGTTGATATTGCCATAAGGATTCTCAGGGATACAAGTAAATATATTGAGAGAGTCAACATGGACCAAGTCTTTATTGCTTATAAGAAATACAAAGGAAATGCAAATCTTCAATTACAAAGGTCCTTTTACACATATTATAAAGATATTTTCAAAAGAGGTGAATCTACATTATTGGGTGGTCATTGGACTGACAGAGAAGCAGCAGCTAAATTTACAAGAAAGCATGGGTTTTATCAAATTTTGAAACCAATATTGGCTTTCCCTTTGAATGATCCGAGTCAACAAGATCCTTATCCTATAGATATTGTTCAAGCAAATATTATGCAGTATTGGAAGGCTACAAGTTGTGATGATTCATTTTATGGATTTCCTGAAACTTTTAAAGGGGGTTTGGCACCAAAGCGTCCCTCTAAGGAAAGAAGAAATAGAGTATTCAGATTTACTGATTTGACTGTTGAAAAAAGATTCAGTATCGAGACGACAAAAGGTGATGATGCTTTTAAAAGAAATCTCACTTTATTGAGAAGATTGTCTGATGGGGCTGTGAATGCTACCATGTTGATTTCAATTTGTGTTCTTTTAAAATCAAATGATTTAAATTTAGGTGCAGATGATCCAGATTTCTTAATCCATAATGAACTATACCAGAGGGACAAACTTGAAAATGTTCCATGTGAAACTGTAACTACACATAGCTCCAAGTATTTGAATGGTAAATGGTGTTCAGCAAAAGATGCTAGATTTTTGTTTGCTCAATTTAATCTTGTTAAAAAGGATAAAGAGAAGGAGGCAAAGGAGGTTGATGGGCTTTCACAATTCTTGAATGATGAAAGATTCAAATCAGTTGAAGATCAAGATGAAGATGAAGTGCTTGAATCAAATGGAGTAAAGCCTAAACAAGAAGAAGACGATGAATTTGTAATGATTCCTGAAAATGATTTCAGAAAAGCTCAAAATGATGCTAAAAAAGAGGCAATTTATTATGATTCCAAATTTTTTGAAAATGCAAACTCATCGGATGAAGAAGAGTTGGAAGCTGCTGATTTCAATGATATGGAAGATGCACAAGGTAGAGTAGGTGAAGATGTTGAAGAAATCTTGGATGATGATGACGAAGATTTCGTTCCGGTAAAAGGTTCAAAACCTAAAAGGCGTCGGTTTAGTTTAGCAAATTCCAGTGACGTTGAAGGAGGATCCGGTAATTCTAAAAAGAGGAAGACTGGTGGTGTTTTCATATCGGAAGAAGAAGATGATGATGATGATGATGGTGATGATGACTTCAAGGAAGATGTAGATATTGAGGATGAAACAAATAGTTTATTCGTCGACTCACAAGAAGGTAAAGAACCACAACCAGATATTGATGAAAGATTAGACGAATTGAAAAGAAAAGAACAAACAGAAACTGTTATTTTGGCATTGAAGGCTTTAGTTGCAAATTTTGATAATAATTTTAAAAAAAATCAAAAAAGTTATAGAATTCAAAAAGAGTTTGATGGATATTTTCAGGATTTACAAAAATTTAGAGCAATTTCCACAGAAATTAAAATCAGATCAAATCTAACTCAAACTTTGAAAAAAATCAAAAATTTTGCAAATAATTATAATAGAAAAACTGAAGAATTGGAGAGAAATTGGATAGATCAAGAACGTAATGGAGAATTACCATCAAAAGATCAAGTTATTAAACTTTCTGGTGCCAATCCCTATGCAAAATTATCTGCAAATAAGAATAATAATGCCAATCATAATAATTTTATAAATCATCAAGCTAACGGTGGTGCAAATGCCTTTTCAAGAGTTCATAGAACTATATCACCTTCTCATCCTCAACCACCACCACCACAACCAACATGGAATCAAGCACCAGTTGGTCCAAATCCTCATCAATATGCACCATTTCAACAACAAAGAAACTATAATAATTTTAATAATGGAGTTCAACAGCAACAATTCCCCAAACAACCTGTTATGCCAAGATATAATCCTCAACCTGTTCCATCTCAACCTCATGTACAAAGACATTATCCTGGGAATGTTCCATATGGAGCCAATAATCGTCAATTTGGTAGACCAGTCCCACCACCTGGACAACCACATGTTCAACAACAACAACAAGGACCTCCACCACCAGTTGTTCCACCAGCTCAAAGACCATCACCAACTATTCGTCACGCTCAAATCAATTCACCAACATTTCCAGCTGCACAATTACAAAGGAGTGGAGGTTCATCACCAAACCCATATATTGTTAATCCACCAAATGGACCATCATCACTTGGTAAAAAAAATTCACCAATACAACCACCACCACCACCACCACCAAGAGTTGGTGTTTCACCCAAAACTGCTCAACAACCACCAATTCAACCCATAGCACGTCGTGCTCCACAATCATCAGAAGGTTATGTTCGATCATCATCCACAACAAGTGGTGGTTCATCATCAACGGGGAATGAAAAATTTCAAAACAAGTATAGAGAACGTCCCACTGAGCTGAAGGATTCATATGTTCCAAGTGCATATCCTAATGGTGCTCGAAGAAGTGGAGCAACACCATCAACAAGTTCATCATCAGCATCACCAAGACGAGTTGTTGTTGTTCCGGTTTCCAAATCACCAATTAATAAGAATGCACCAAGGATTGAATACAAGATTGATAAACCGTTATCACCACCTAGTAATTATATTCAAATGAATGGTGAAGGTTTAGATTATGAAGATATGGATATTGGTGACTATGAAGATATGTTGAAATCAAAACAAGATGAAGATGAAGTTGCCCAAAAGCAAAATGATCCATTGGAGAAATATAGACGGATTGTTCATTTTGAAACACGTACAAAGCAAGATTTATTTAAACGGGCCAAAGTGTTTTTCCAAGATGATCCAAGAGTTGGATTTAGTGAAAGATTACATGCAATGATGTTGGAAGGTTATGAAAGAAGACATGGTATTAAATTAAATATTAAAAAGAAATGAAATGCTACGTGTGCTTGATTTTTTGATAAAATATATTAAAATAGACACGACATTATTCTTCCGAAAGGGGAAAAACTTTCAAGAATTGAATGGTAAATCAATTTACAAATCTCTATAAACCACACCCATATAAAAAAAACATTTGTCTTATAAAGTTATGAAACACTTCTTACATAATAATTGATTCTTTTTCAACATTAGCAGAAATAGTTTTATGAGGTAAAACTTTACCACCATTAACATAAATTTCATCTTTAACTTTAACATCATCACCTAAAACGGTGACACCTTCTAATCTAGCCCATCTACCAACTTCAGAGTTCCAACCAACAAGGGTATTTTTAACTAAAGCATGTTCTTTAATGGTTGAATTAGACAAGACAACGGATTCTTTAATTCTAACACCATTACCAATGGTAACATTTGGACCAATAACAACATTTGGACCAATTTTAGCACCTTCACCAATCTTGGCAGAAGGATCAATCAAGACATTACCATCAATGTAATCTTTACCGGTTGTTAATTTTTCTGGGGATCTTCTAGCTAAAGAAGTTAAATATAATCCAGTACCAGCCAAGAAATCTTTTGGTTGACCAACATCCATCCAGAAACCTTCTAAATCAAAAGAATACAAGGATTTTTGTTCAACCAATTGTGGGAAAGTTTCCTTTTCAATTGAGGTTGGTTTCAATTCGATCAAATCGATAACTTCAGGGTTCAAGATGTATAAACCGGCATTAATTCTATTACCAACAAATTCAACAGGTTTTTCAACAAAACGGTCAATTAAATTTGGAGTGGAGATATCATGAACAATGACACCGTATTTGGAAGGTTCGTCAACTTTGGTAGCGACAATAGTACCTTGACCACCATGAGCATTGTGGAATTTTGCCAATTCTTCAAAAGGATATTCACAAATAACATCAGAGTTCAAGACAAAGAATGGAGATTTATCCTTTTTCAAAACATCTTCAGCCAATTTCAAAGGACCAGCAGTACCTAAAGGTTCAGTTTCCACAGAGAAAGTGATTGAAACACCATATTCTTGTTCATATTTTTTCAAAGTTTCAACCATAACTTCAGGTCTATAATTAACAGCTAAAACGATATCAGTAACACCAGCATTTGCTAAAGCTTCAATTTGATGCAAGATCATTGGTCTGTTTGCGAATTCAACCAAAGGTTTTGGGACAGTTAAGGTTAATGGTCTAAGACGAGTACCATAACCACCGACTAAGATAAGACCTTTCATTTTTGGATGATGTTGATGATGAATATGAGAAAAAAAAGAATTGGGTTTTTTTTTTCAGTTAAATACTGTTGTACTCTTTAATTATTCTCTTGAGAATTATAAAAAGTTGATGACAAGTTTTGAAGTGAAGAACAACGTCAAAGAGAAAGTAAAGGAAAGAGTATAAAAGAATAGGAAATTGGGAATGTTTATATAAAATGGTGAATCTCGAGAGTGTTTACGTGTTTTTTTTTGGGCATGGGCCAATCAGGTGCCGCTTGCGTTGGGCATGTCGTCGAGACACGCTTGGACAGGGGCTTTGGGAAGGGGTTGGAAGGGAGGTTTTGGGGGTTTTAGTGGTGGGAATTGGATGGTTTGAAAAAGGAGAGTGTTCTCTGGAGAGTGAGGATTCTAGATAAGTAATTTATATGGAGATATCTCTACTAGAAGGTGTGTTAATTGGAGGTTTAAAGCGATTGGATTCGTTGCAACGCGACTTGGATTTGACGCATGTCGATGCCCAAAAAACTGAGATTTCAAAAAAAGAAAAACGCAGCCATTTCAGATAGAAAATAATAACAGTGGTGATAATAATAGTAGTAGTAGTAGTAGTAGTGATATAATAATAATATCAATTCTATTGATCTCTGCTGATCTGGAACGTGCAAGCCATTCTGAATTGGTTCTGTTCGTATTGGGCAGGAGAGTTGCCTGTTTGGTGCCTGATCCCTGGTGCTTTGGGAGCCCTGACACGTCTATAAATGGCTACACCTTAAACTATAAACAAAGCATAAAGCTATAATTACACTATTGACTATTTACTATTTACTATTGACTATTTACTATTTATTACTCGTATTTACTATTAACTGTCCCTCGTCACACCATGTGTCAAATCCAGACACGTATATCCACAATCTCTTGCTTCAAACGCGTTTGGATGCTTCCAGCCATTGTGATCTAATACAAGTCATGATTGAATAAACACAGGGTCAACATAGACCTCATAACCCATATGAGAATATAGCACTACTAGAACACATCAGCCATACAAACCCATAATAAAGTACTCTATGAAGCCATAAGTATTCCCTATATAAGCCATTCGATTTAAAAATTAATACCCATAAGTTGAACCATAACATTTGCCAATCTCAGTCCCCGACTAGTCAAGAAAAGACTAAATTTGAACCAAGAAAATAAACATAAAATCAAACAATCGATCTAAAATGGAATACCGAATGCTTAACAAAGACCTTGAACGTATCCAATATCCATCTCATCAGCTATATATAAATGAACTACATACAAAGCACACTGGGCTATTCTTCATTGAGAATTTGCCGAAAAAATTCCAACCTGAATCAAAATGCTGTGAATTTGAAATTGATGATAAACTTCATTCAACAAAGTTTCAATAACTAAGGGTCAAGGTATAAGTCAACAAGCTGCTAGTTAGAATGTCCTTCCCTGAATCGTATCCAAATTTCTACAACCACAATGACTCCATTGATCAAGTCTTTAGCAAATTCCCTTATCCAATAGATCAAATTGATCAATCCATTACAATCCCAAACACTGAGGAACCAGGCCATTCTCCAATCTTTAGAAATAAAACTGCAATTCATCAACTATTAACCACTCCAAATCCTAAAACAAAGACTCTTTTCCATCTTTTTGAACAAAATGTTGCCAAATTTGCTGATAATCAATTCTTGGGTAAACGTACATCTCCCAATGGCGGTTATGAATTTATAACTTATAGAGAAACTCAAATACTTAGAGATCAATTAGGATCAGGGATATTATCATTGATGAAACAATACAGCCCTGCTCATATAAATGATTTCATCTTGTCGATTTATGCTCCAAATAGATATGAATGGTCCTTAATCGATTACACATGCCATGCTTTTTCAATCACATCAACTGCTTTATATGACACTTTAGGCTCAGAATCAATCCAATATATCCTACAATCCACCAAGACGCCAATTCTATTCACAACGTTCTCCAAAATTGAACCAATCCTGAAATTAATCCAATCTGACCCGTCAAAATTCAACCTCAAATTCATAATATCAATGGATCCAATCTCAACAATCCACAACACCACACCCATCCAAATCTATACACTACAAGACCTAATCCAACTAGGCTCTCAAAACCCACATCCTCTAATCCCACCAACACCATCAACAACCTTCGCAATCACATACACCTCAGGCACATCAGGCACCCCTAAAGGTGTCATCCTCACCCATTCCAACATCATTGCATCAATCCTGTCAATCTACACCAAGATGGCCATCGAGCCCAACCCAAAACATTTCGTCTTCCTACCACTACCACACATCCTACAACGCATTAATCTTTTCCTGGTTAGTATCAAGGGCGGACAGGTGTTTTTCCCATATGGTGATGATTCGAAAACGTTCTTTGCTGATATCTTACATGTGAAACCGACACATATGGCTAGTGTCCCCAGGGTTTACAACAAGCTTGAATCCGTTTTCAAAAATAAGATCTATGGTGGGGCCGGTATGGTTAATAAATTAGTTGCATGGGTTATTGAACGAAAGATCAAGGGGGGTAAGAGTTTTGGGATGTTTGATCTCTTGGTCCACAAGAAGTTGAGATCTATAGTTGGGTTTGATAATGTTGGTTATTTCGTGTCTGGTGCTGCTCCCATACATGGTGATACTCTAAGGTTCATCAAGGCCGTTTTCAACGTGGATGTGTTTGTGGAGGCTTATGGCTCGACAGAGACTTGTGGTGGGATTTTGTTCAATTCTGGATTGGAGATTAATCCAGGTTCTGTTGGGTCCGTTTCGCCAACTACTGAGTTTAGAATACAGGATGTTGAAGAGATGGGGTATGTCTTTGGGGAAAATAGATCTGGTGAATTATTAGTACGTGGTCCTCAGATTTTTAAAGGTTATTTTAATGATTTGGAGAATACACAATTGGCATTTGATAAGGATGGTTGGTATAAAACTGGTGATGTGGTGAAAGTTGATTTTAGTGGGAAAATTTCTATAATTGATAGACGGAAAAATTTCTTCAAGTTGAGTCAAGGTGAATATATCGCTCCAGAAAAAATTGAAAATAAATATATTTCAAATAATAGTGATTTGATTAATCAAATTTGGTGTTATGGTGATTCTTATCAATCCTTTTTGGTTGGTGTTATTGGTATTGATTTGGATAATTTGAAAATTTTCATCAATAAGAATGGAATTGATATTAATTTGCAAGATGATTTGCAAATTCAACAATTATTTAATGATTCATCATTTAAGAGACTACTATTACAGCATATAAATTCAAAAGTTGATGATTTACAAGGTTTTGAAAAATTGAAAAACATTCATATTGGTATTGAACCATTAAATGTTTCTAATGGTACAATGACTCCAACTTTAAAAGTTAAAAGGTTTATTGCTAAAAATTATTTCAAAAATGAAATTAACAAGCTTTATCAACAAGGTCCATTATTTGAATCAAGTAAATTATGAAAAAACTACATGGTATTTTTCCATATTAAGTATTGTTATTAAATAAAAGAGTTATAAAAAATCATTGTCTTTTTGGGGGATTATAAATAAGGCTGAAGTTTGGTCATCAATTGCATCTAATACATTGGTTGACCATTTCTCCAGACTCTCCATTGCCATGGATGAGCTTCCGGTTCAGCTTCTCTTTTATACATTGGTTGACCGTTTCTCCAAACTCTCCATTGCCATGGGTTAGCTTCAGCTTCTGGTTCAGCTTCTCTTTTATACATTGGTTGGCCATTTCTCCAGACCCTCCATTGCCATGGGTTGGCTTCAGCTTCTGGTTCAGCTTCTCTTTTATACATTGGTTGGCCGTTTCTCCAAACTCTCCATTGCCATGGGTTAGCTTCAGCTTCTGGTTCAGCTTCTCTCTTGTACATTGGTTGGCCATTTCTCCAGACCCTCCATTGCCATGCTTCAGCATCTCTCTTGGATAATTTTGATAATTCTTGATCAGCAATGGTGGTATTGATGAAATAAACAGCATCATCTAAAACAATTGGTGCAATATCTGAACCTAATGAAACAGCTTCCAAGATGGCATCATTGGAAAATGGGAATTCAACACCATTTGAAGTACCAACAACACCTGATTCTTCTGGAGCTGGGGCTTCTTCAGTAGCAGTACCGTTGATTGGAGCAGCTAAGGCATTACCAGCTAAGGTTAAAATGATTGAATATAAGATGGTTGTTGAGAATTGCATTGTAAAACGAGTGGATTTGTTTTGTCTTGATTGATTGATGATAGAGAATTAGAATTTTGATTTAAAACTTGAGTATAACCAAGTGTTTAAATACATATCTTCAACATGAGGATACTGTTTAAGTAAAACATTATGTGATTATAGTTGTCATACTTGAATTCACATTGTTTATGTAAAAGTTTTAATTTTTTGTAGCCATAACTTACCATTGATGTCCCGATTTGGAAATAATTAATTGCATCAATGAGAATTTTGATACAATAATGTTATTTCCCGATTTGGTTCCCAATGGTGATATAAACGTTGAGAAACTAAAAAATTAAATGGTTTAAAGTTTCTTTTTTGTTTCATCAATAAGATACGGGACGTTAATTATAAAAATGTGTTCAAGATTCTACGAGTTCGTTAAGGTACAATCAGGAAATGTAATTTACCTAATCCATTCATCAATGAGATCTTGAAGAAACAAGTACAAAACAATATGGTCTACCTAGCTTATGAGGCTATAAGTTATACACTACAGATATAATTGATTGGAAGCCAAATATGGTGTTTTTCATTATGCAGCTAAACTATTTTGTAAACTCAAGAAATATCACCATGACTTAAACCAAGCTTAACAATTGTGTAAACGTTTAAAACAGAAATGAATAACCAAATTAGGAATGCAATGATTGAAGTGGCCCAATTATTGGACATATCAATATATTTCTTTTCTTGTTCTTGTTGTTCCAAATTATCTTCACCATTCAATTCTTGTAGTTCAACAGTACCCAATTCATTTGAAGTACCAACAGCATCATTAGTGTTATCCTCATCAGCTTGATTCACTTCAACCCTCATGATTGACTTCTTACAAGTGAAATAAATCAATGGGGCAGTTAAGAATGGTAACAAAATTGATAAAACAACTTGTGAAGCATTCAAAGCAGCACTCAACCCACTTTTACCAATACTCAAACTAATAGCCAAACACGGAACAATAGAAATACTTCTTGTCACGATTCTTCTTTTCCATGGTTTCATTGTCCAGTGTAAATGACCTTCACTTACAATTTGTCCAGCAATTGTACAAACGATACCAGCAGATTGACCAGAGAATAAAAGTGCCAACATGAAAATTGTACCGGCAATTGGAGCAACTTGATGAGATAATAATTTATGAATTGTGTATAAATCAGCATCAACAGCTTCTGGAGTACCATGTAATGAACTTCCTGCAACAATCAAGATTGCAGAATTAACAAATAGGGCAAATGTGAACAAAGTGATTGCTAATTCTGCAATTGAATACTTCATTGCATATTTGATAGCTTTCGCTGTAGGTCTATATTTAAACAAAGCATCTTCTTGATCCTCAACAACAGTGGCTTCATCATCTGAACTTGGTAATTTAACATAACCATTTTCAACATCAAATTCTCTTAATCTTGGTTGAACTAAACCAGACCCTAAAAATAAAGAATGAGGCATCACGGTGGCACCCAATATGGAACATGCTGTATACATTCCATTATTTTCAAACATTTCTCTAGATGGAGCAAAACCTCTAAATACAGAGCGAACATTAACCGGAGGCATCAATCCCAACTCCACACAGAAACAAACAACAACACATAGAACTAATAAAGCAACTGCGTATTCAAACAATCTAACAAATTTCAAAGAGGAACCAGGTCTATAAGCCATCAAGACAAACAATACATCAATACATGTAATGACAACACCAGCAGGTAATGGGATTCTTAACAAAATGTTCAAGGCAATAGCAGTACCAATAACTTCAGCAACATCTGTAGCAATAATAGCAGCTTCTGCAAAGAACCATATGATCAAGTTTAACCATTTTGGTAAATGATCTCTACAAGCTCTTGAAAGGTCCAAGCCAGTGACTGAACCTAATTTGATACATAACGATTGTAAAAAAATGGCAATGATGTTTGAAAGCAAGACGATGAATAATAATGAGAATTGGGAGGAAGCACCAGCGGAAACATCAGTTGCATAATTACCTGGATCCATATAAGCAACTGATATCATTAAACCTGGTCCAACGAATCTTAGGTATTTCTTGAAAATTTTCACAATCTTAGCATCATTCTCTTTAACTTGGAAAAATTTTGTAAACTTGCGACCAATGGTGTCTATTCTCTTTGTTGGCTGTTTGATACTGTTCTTATCTTCACTTAGGGTGTTTGTTATTTCATAAATGTCTTTTGATTTGTTGTTAGTTTCTGAATGGGTTCGAGAAAGGTTATTGTGGTCACGAACACCACCAGCCATGGATATTCCCAGGACGTCGTTATGGCTGAGGTACTCGTCGTTGTTGTGAGATCTGGCTCTGGTTACCTGGTGTCTCATGCTGTGGTTTGTAGTTGTTGAAGTTGATGGTTGGGTATTAATTAAAAAAGGTGTGATTTTGTTGATGATTTATAGTCAAGGAGTGCACTCACCAGTACAACTTTAAAGGTTATAAATATAAAGGGCCTTGGAATAAAGAATTCCACTCCTGTTCAGGGCTTTAAGAATCTAGACCCTCTAATTGCATTAGCGACGTTGAAGAGTGAATATGCTGCGGATGTTCAGCCATGTGTATAGCTCTCGAGAAGTCAGAAAATCTAGGCACAATTGAACAATAGGGAAACAATAGAGAAAATAGCTTTGTATTATGTGATTTTTTACTATAAAGTGTTCAATTGTATGAGCATTTTATTCTACTCGATAGACTAATTAGCTTCTTCAAAAGGATTCAAAGTTTGGGTGTACCTTTTGCAAATGCTTTAATTGCTAGACAGCAGCCAGTGCTCCTGCGTCTCTTGAAGCCTTGATGCCTTGGAATAGGGGTTCAAATAAGTACTGAATATCTATAATTATCCCAAAAGTCTCTTTTAATGTTTATGTATACGTATTTATGAATATTTAAAATAGCTAAAATGATCAATTTAATAACCTTCTAACACTTCTTTGGAAGAAAACCATCACAACCAATGCAATAAACGTTAGAACAAAAATTGGATAAAACGAAGTTGCTAAAGCCCTTCTATAAATAATCAACACATCACCAATATATTTCTCATTCAATCCATGATGAATATAATTTGAATCTTTAATCAAAATTTTGAAAACTTTAGATTTATCAGATCCAAAATATTTGCTTAGGGATTCATACACTTTTTTAGTATAAATTGATAATGAGATTGAAATCCCCAACACGTTACCCAATGATCTAATAAGAGACACAACTGTATTTGCACTTGCTTGATCTTTTCTACCAGCTTTACCTATAACAAAGATCCCAACACCGGGACCAAACCCACCAGCACCTAAACCTGCAATTATTAAACTTAATATCAAACCAAATTTCCAAATAACACCTCCATGATTTTCAGGTTGAATATATCTGACAATTAAATGCAACCCTGTGAACCCAATAACTTGTATAAAGAATGAAATTAACGAGACTAGCACACCTGCAACCATTGTTGATTCTTCAGTATGAGAGAATTTCTTAATTACTAGCCCTGAAATAACAGCACCAACTGCAGATGATATAACACAAAACATTGTATAAAATCCAATCTGTGTAACATCAATATTTTGAATCAGTTGTAAATATAATGGAGTTATGAATAAAATCATATAAAAGGATAAAGAATTAACACCATTGATTATTCCTAATGCACCTATTTGACCTTTTATAATGTGGACATCAATAATTTTTTCAATTGCCACATATCTTTCAATATAAATATACCCAATTATTGAACAAACCAAAACCAACACTAAGCAATTATGTATAAATTTTGAATATTCACTTGATAATAGAAAAATAACACTTGAGACAATCAAATTCAACGTAATAATCCCACCAAAATCTATTCTTTTCAAATTCTCTTTAGAAAACCGATCAGGTCCATCAGGTATATGTTCCACATTTATCTCACAAAAGCAAGTCAGCACAATACATCCAACGATAAAGGGTACTTGAATTAAAAACATCATTCTCCAGCCAATAGTGGCAATACATAATCCACCAATTGGACCTCCAAGCATTTGTGACGTACTACCCACAATAGTACCACCTGCTGAAAAGATACTTCTATGACTTAAAGGGACAACATCACTTATGATTATGGTTGCCAAAGCATATATTCCAGCACCACCAATCCCACTGATGGCTCTTGCTAAGCTCAGGGTTTGAACATTTGTGGAGACACCAGATAATAGTATCCCTAATCCGAATAAGGATTGAGCAGCTAATAACAACGTTTTCCTTCCCAGGATATCACTAGTCTTACCATATAATGGTTGGAACGCAGTGGAGGTTAATAAATAAGATACAGCAATCCAAGTGACAAGATGTGATTGACCGAAATCTGATGCAATGTTTGACATTGTTGTAGATACTATAGTACCATCTAATGAACATAGGAAATTACCAATCCATACGGCTGTTAATGTGATTTTGAAGTTTTTATCCAGCACAAGAGGTTTTATTATGGTGGGTGTGTATTGATTTTGGGTTTCAAGGTCTTTGAAAGGTGATTCATTGGGGTCTGGTGAAAGTATAGTTGTTGTGGTTGTAGTTGTTTTATCACCTTTATGATCCTTATCAAGATGGTGGTTATCATTAGTTTCAAGGTCATGGAGCTGGATGTCGTTTGTCATGGTTGAGGTTGATTGAAAGTCAATAATATGGTATAAACTACCCTTTGACTCATTGAAATCCATAAAGTATTCATAATAATACCCTTTGAAATGGAAAAAGAATAGTCGCTATAATCGGTGATAGATCCCAAAGCGGTATACTAATTAATTGTCACATCCGGACACCCCGCCTAGCACACCGTCCGCCTTTGAGCGGTAGGCAGAGTGTTCTGAAATTTACGCTAGAATTTTCTGAAATCCTAGGCTCATCTCTGCCTAAAATCACTATCTTCTCGGCTCAGCCACACTATTATTCCCCTCTGCGTAACTCTCAGCACTAACAATACCCCCAAAAAAGATTGTTTTCGCGAAATGTTTGTTGACAAGATTATGAATCATCTTAACGGTTTGAAAGTGATTAATATGTCAAATTACAATTAACCAGCCAGACACACAATAAAAAAGGTGAAGAATGGACTATTCAACACGGACAATCAACGAGTCCAACATATTCAGTGACTCTCACTATCTCAACTTGAAACTAGCATCTCCAACACCTGCTTCTTCATTGTCGTTTGACCAGAATAATAATACTGATAAAGAGAATATATCCAAAACATCAACTCCAAATCTTTCACCAACTAGAAGACCTTTGAAAAAACAGGATATTGCGGTTTCATTAGCTGATGAATTGGAATTAAACAATGATGAGTTGAAGAAAGTTGCATTGATTGCCAAATTTGATATTTTTAAAAATGTATTGGGTAAATTAGGTGGGAAAGATAGAATTGCCAAAATATTACAATATGTTTTAAATTTATTGAAATATTACCTAACAAATACAAGAAGGTTTTTAATTGATACGAAATTTGAAAATTTATCACTAGATCCAAGACTACATTATAAAAATCCATTAAAATATTTTAAATTGTTAATTTTCCTAAATTCAACAATGTTGGAAAGGAAAATATTTGATATAACTAAAAATATATCAATATTTAGACAAATGTTACGGTTTGGTGGTACTCCTTATAGAATTAGACAATTTCTAATCAAATTTAATAAATTTATCAAGAGTGGGCCAACGAATTTGATAAATATTTATAAATTTTGGATAAATGAAGATTCTCTTGGTGATTTTATTGATCTTTATTATGGGATATGTGATGAAATAATATTGTTATATAAATTGAATGTCTTCACAAATCCAAATTTCAAATCATTTATTGGGAAACATGAAGCTTATTCATGGTATATGGATATTTTATTAGGATTGAAAAAAAACTATAACAAATTACAAGAGAATAGGAATAAACAATTACAATTAAACATCCAAAACCAAGTTAAACAAAAAGCTTCATTACTTTCCAAGAGATTAATGGATAGCATTGGGAACAATTCACCAATGAAGTCACAAATCCTAAGAGAATTTAATACAAAATCTCCAATATTGAATAATAATAATCAATATGATTTGGAGATTGAAGCTTTGAAACATGAAGAAAGAATAATAATGACAGATCTTGTTAGATTATCTTTTGATTTTGTTTGTGATTCAATAGATATTTTCAAATTGGAACTGAATCCATCGGTTTATTTGATCTGTGGGGCAATTTCTGGTTCTTTTGGATTAAGTAAAGTTTGGATGATGTCTAAAAGGGAAAGTTTCCAACAGTCGGTTTTTTCCACAAAACAGTTTAGTCCACTTTAATCCTCGATCGAGCTTAATTCAAGATTCCAAGCATAAGGTATGACCAAAAGACTTGAACTAATGGCACAACTACTTTTTATAACTAATCAAACCCACGCTGGAATGGTTCGATTCGTGTTGAGCTAAGCGAGTCTAGAATTCTCCGTGTAAATCACCAAGTCACAAACCGTTGCACAACCTAAAATGCAACATGCTGCGTTCAGATCGGCCTTGAGCATTCAAGAGCATTTCTGCTACAACAACTGGTCTTCCCACTTTGTATGGGTCAGCTGGAAAGTGTATACAGAGCTGATAGTATATCTTCTTTCAACATTCCTGTGAAAAAACTTACACTTGAGCTCTTTTAAAGAAACCTACACCTTTTATTATGAACAATTCAGATCCCAATGGGTTATGCCTTACAACCTCAAATACATCGTCACTAGTATCCACCTCTTCCATAAACACAGCCAAATCCACAATAACAAACAAGTTCAAGAATGCTTTAAACAGGAAAAGATCTAAAAGCCTAATAAGTCCTGAAACTTTAGAAGTTTCCACCTTAAAACCATCAAATAGAAATAAATCAATAAGTTCAATACAATATTCTCCAACACCATCCACTATTGCCAATTTTGAAAATCAAGTGGTTAATAATATGATGATGAATTCAAGAAGTAATTCCACTTCAAGTATAAGTGATACAGATTCTACAATTGATGCACCAACTACACCAATTTCACCATTATTTAAGATTGATGAAGTTTCCAAAACTGGGGAATTTCAAAATATACAGATTCGTCAGAATGAAGAGATGTTTGATAGTATCGCTGATGGGATTTTGGAAAGGATAAGTAAGAGTGAAACACAAATTGATTGGTCTATATGACAAAAATAATGAAAAGGAAAAAACAGAACTAAAGAAAGAAGGAAAGAAGAAAGGAAAGAAGAAAGGAAAAGAATTTAATGATACAAGATAGATGAAGGCTCCTCCTGCTGGATCAGGAAGGATTCTTCAAATTTGCTAACGAATAAATAATGAAAAAAAGTTATAAAACTACATTTCTAAACCTGTAGCTCATCATTACTATTATTGTCCCTCTAACTGAAGTTTGAAGTGTAAATATGCTCGTTTGGAACCCGGTATGTAATATGGCACTTGAAATGGCATGGGGGGCCTTGGTTACAACTTACCAGAGCGTAGGCTGCTGGAGAGGCTTTGGCTAGAATCCTCAATTCCTCGAGTAGGACTGGTCAACAACTGGGAAATCTGTATAAAATTAATTAACTTATGGATTTAAGCACACTCTTGAGATCGATAGCAAAAGAAATATGGAATTGATAGCCCGTGTATCTACATTTAGCTGAATGAGGATTCATCTGCTCGATCAATTTCACTTTCCACTCGTTCGTCGATGAACAATTGGCCAAAGTTCGACTGGTCAAATTCAACAACTTCGAAAAACAAAAAGTTCGAAAAAGTTTATGCGTCGAGTTGAAAAAAAAAAAAAAAAAAAAAAAAAAGGAAGGTGCATCTCAAATTGCCCAAAGCGGGAACTGCCGTTTTGGGATGTTTTATCCTGTTAAATTCATGGAAATAACAGGATTGTGATTTTGTTATAAAGAAGCCATTTACAAATGCAATTAATTGAGGGTTCTGTCTGTTTGAAGAAATAGTTTATCTAGAAGAGATAGCTGGTTTGATGACTGCTGCTGCCACATTGGCTCAGACAGCGTACAGGACCCATTGATTCAAAGCCATCAAATCATCTCCTCTGAAATACGATTTATCACATTATTTGGTCTATTGAAATGCACAGAGATAAAAGGTTTCAAGTGCTTTTATTAATTTAATAATGCTACCGAAGTGAGCACAACAAACTTATGGCCATGTTACTGGTCGCTTACTGGCTGGCAGTGGCCACTGTTCCTTCATTACAAATATTTCCAGTTCACGGAAGGGAATTTTAAAAGCATCAAACACATACAAGAAGCTTAAACCCCTCGGCAAAGGGGCTTTCAATTGTACAGTCTTTAGTCTTTTGATCCTTTGTGTACACCTGTCTCTCGCTTGATTACTTATATTCCCTGGTGTCTCAACTTTGTATGGGGTTTGTTTTACTTTCTTGTGCCTTAAATCTCTTTGTTTTCAAAAATAGTGTATTTGTAAAACTCAATTCATCAAAGAAGGGAAAAAAAGAACAAACCAAATTTATACTCATGGATTTCGTGATGATGATTATTTTCTTATTATGGAATTCATATATCTCAAAGTAGCCAATTGAGAGATCTAGAGTTAAGCCAAGACTCCATGAAATTATTAATTATATGAAATCAAACACAACAAACCCTTTTAATTAGGATAATCCTACAAATGATAAAGCATAGATTACAAGTGACAAGTGACACAAGAACTTTGTGAAATTTCACCGAAAGGCTATTGAATCTTGACCTCGTGTCGGTTAAAGAATCTTGAAGAAACTGTGAAGGGGTTTATTATGAAACAAATTATTTAACCTAGGTCTATTAACTAAGCCCTTTCTAAGCTTCATCTAGAACTACAGCCACTCAGCTAATCAATTGAGCCCTTACCTAACTCGACATATCAAAAGTCATAATTCAATTCTATCTTTAATCATAAATGTACCCCCTTAAACACAAAGTTAAGATTGAAGAATATCATGATTTTTTGTTAAAGCAGGTCCAAAATATGTGCCATTTAGATTGTCTAGTGTGGAAATTGAAAAGGTGGTTATAAATGTATTAAACTTTTAACGCTTTTGATCCTTCTTTAATAAATCATACATAACAACACACTTTGATAAGACTCTTTTTTACTAGAGTCAAAAGTTTAATCTAGGTCAACCTCTTTTTGACATCCCCAGTTTTATAACTCAGTCATGAGAGACTACATACACAAAGCTTTCCAGACCTAAACCCATCTCAATAATATCACACCTTTATAACTTTAGAAATTGAAGTTGTCTATGTATTTTGTTGTATCGCAAAATCGTATGGGGCTATTTTACACATTCCACTGACACATGCATATTTGACAGATGAAACAGTGTAATGTAGATGTAGGTAATTTATCTGACTTTGAAAAACATGATTATGCTTTATATTGATGACTTGAATATTTGGCGTAGTTTTTCGAATCATTAATATGGCTGGTAATGTGTTCTATTCATTTAAAGTATAAAGTATATTGTATCCTGGAGAGGATATGTGACTGGTTCTTTTTTGGCCAGCTTTGGAATGTTAGCGTACATACAAATCATTTTTGATCATTTGTTGGCCAGAAAAGTGATGAACGTAGTTTGTACCCTAGCGTAAAGAGAGTAATAGTACACTATCTTGAATAGTTAAATTGTATCATCTATTATCTGAATCAATAGAGAATTGAGACACTGACCATTACGTTTGTGGTTCGGGTTAATAAAAAGAAGATTTTCATTTAGCCGAAGAAGCTAAATATTGTTAAATTTAAGTTGGAAAAGTAATAATTAGTGTACAAACTATTTAAAAATTACTTTATAATATTAATAAGGGCCCAATTATTCAAAACATATAGTTTTTAGAGTAAATTTTCTCAAAAGTTTTTGAGAGTTATCATTTAAGATTTGAATTTCGTTACACCATGATTACCTATATTTTAAAATTTCAACACTTCAAAACAAAACCCCATTTTTTGGCAATGTTTTAAACTTAAAATAAAACTAATACCCAAACTAATAATGACAATAATTTTCAGGGTATAGTGTCACTCAATATTGTTGTTTTAGCTATTGATGAAATATGATGGACCGACTAAATCCGGCATGTCACGTGCAGAGCTTTTGAACGTTGATTTTAGGGCTTCAGATACATAGTGAAGGATAGATTGGGCTGAAACACTACAGTTTAGATGAGTGGATGATAAAAAAAGAGCTATCATTAGTAAAGTTTTACAATAAAATCCAATCCATCATATATATATTTCATTTTAATTCGTTTTTCAATAGGTTAAAACACTCCGAAATCGATCAAGCAGCTTTACCAGTACCAGCTTTTGGAGGATATTCACCTCTTTCACCATCTGAATTGACACAAGTACACCTAGGATAGATTAGCATTCAAGCACATGACTAGAAGTATTCAAAATTGAAACTCACCATTCTTCTTTTGGACTGTTGGACATTGCTGATGGGATATGTAAACCACATCCGAACCATGAAGCTTTATCTGATAAGAGAGTAATTAGTCATCTACATCAAATTGACATTCACGAAGGAGACTCACTGCAAATTGAACACTGAGCAGGTCTGCACATTTTCAAATTAATTGGAATTTAGTTGGAGCTAGACTTTGTTGAACTTGTGGAGGGTCAAGAAAGTTGGAGATTATGATTTGTGTTTTTTTTTATAATATTGTGGATCGGACTTTGAGTTTCCAGAAATGCCCAGTATCAAATGTCAGACGAAGGGTTGACAGAGATTAGAACTATTTTTGAGAACAATGAATTACGTGAGAGCCACTAATATAAAGAATGAATAAGTATAGATTAATTTATATAAAGCAAGTTGAAATCTAGTTGGTATTTGAAGTATCTTGATTAGTTTCCAAATCTTGGTCTTTAGGTTGATTTTCAACATCATCTTTAGCTGCAACACTTTTCTTACCTTTAACTGTTAGTAAAACAAAGAATAAAGCTGCAGATCCAGCATATGCCAAATAAAAGTTCTTTTTGAACTTATGATGTAGTTCAACTCTTGCATCATAATCTCTTGTATACTTTAAATCACCAACTAATGCAGCAATGATGGTATTACCAAAGCAAATACCGATCTGACCAGCTGTTTGCAAGATTCCAGAAACAACACCTTGTAAATGCAATGGAGTCCCAGTAATGATGTCACTCCAATAAACTTGGAAATATACATTGGTACCAAAACCAAAGATAAATTGACTAATGCATTCATACTTCCAATAACTATTCTTTACTCTGAAATCTAATCTTGACATCCAAACACTCATTGTTAACACCATTATTGGGGTACAACAAATAATAAACTTTGTACCAACTCTTTGAGCAAGATTTTGTCGATAAGTAAGAGCAGCAAAAGAAAGACCTAATGTTAATGGTAAGACTTTCAAAGCAGCCATTATTGGTGAATCCAACTCAACGTATTGAGAGTATTGAACAACAGTTGACATCACAGAAATAGAATTGACATAGAACAAAAACGTTGCAGACAGGTATTGGAAAAAATTTGGAATCTTGATAACTTCTCTAGGAAATAATAATTCAATCTTGTATCTCCAATCATTTGTACCCGGGGATTCAGATGTTGTTTTGATAGAGCCATTACAAACATCATCTTGATTTTCCTTTATTTGCTCATTACCAAAATGAGTAGTGTTTCCTTCAATATTATTAATTTGAGAATTCACTTTATCCTTGAAACCTTGAATATACCACATTTCAAAAATCACCACACCGAAAAACACCAATACACCTACAACTAATGGAACATATGAAGATGCCTTGTGCCATGATTCACCACCCTCAGTTAAGCCTAAAATAATCAATAAAAGGCCAATAACAAGGAAAGCAGAACCACCATAATCAAGATTTTTGATCTTCAAATTTTGATGACCTTGAGTCTTCTCAATCGGTATAATGATAAAGTATAAGGCAATAAAACATGCCATCCCAACAGCAAAAGTGAAATAATATAAACCTTTGTAACCAACTGATGAAACTGAAAATGCACCACCCAAGATGACTCCAATACCAAACACTGAGGTTAAAGCCATGATGAACCAAGCTAATGCTTTTAGTAAAGCATCACCTTTAAAGTAGTTACCTGTCAATGAAAAGGCAGAAGGAATCAAACTAGCAGCGAAAACACCCTGTAGTGCTCTAAAGACAATTAAAGCAATGATTTGTTTAACTATAACAGCTGAAATCAAAGCAAATAAACTAGTGAAAAACAAACCAACCAAGAAAACATTATGAGGTCCCCAAACATCAGCCAATTTACCAGCTATAATAATGAAGGCACCTAATGTTAGGGCATATGACGAAAAAACCCAAGATACAGTTGTGGTACTAGCATCAAATCTTTCAGCAACTGAAAACACTGAAGTCAAAGTACCAGCGACGTTCAAATTATCCAAACATGTTGCAATTAAAACGAGAAAGTATGCCAAAGTTTTATTTCTCTTCTCCATTGGAACAACATTTTTTCCCTTTGAAAGAGTTTCTGCTATATTAAACCCCATAGTGAACCTAAACTGAAACAGGGAAATGAAGTCATCAACACATTACTCCATAAAAGGGTCCAACCTTGACTTTATATACATTTCAAATGCTGCTTTGTATTAGAAATCGTCTTTATGCAAACTGCCATTTCCACGCGTGTCGATTGGAATTTGCTTACAAACTTGACTCTATTTGAAACTGTTTTGGGAGTGAACGCCACGTTAACGCCGTCAAAAGGCATGGCGGATAGAGGTTATAGAAGCGAAATAACAAGTGATGATAGAAGTGGCATGTAATCTCATGTGTTTGCACAATATGACTCAGTAAATAATATGGAACTCCGTTGGTGCTGTGTTTAAAATTTAAAATTTTGCTGATGTCGGTGCTTGCGGACTTTGTTGAAGTCGCGCCTATTAACCACAGCACAAATGTCACGTTGAGTACATCATACTTATACAATAGTCTATGACTTCAAGACACATTATGTTACACACACAGCTTTGATTAATAGCCAGTAATGGCAGGGAGCATCCAGCCCGAAAGAGGATACGATTTTCAGTTAGAAAGATTATAAAAGGAGAGTGGGATCCCATGTAAATGTAAATTAGAATATTCTAATAGACAACTGGTTTTTAGAGTAAAACTTTGTAAAAGAAACTCGCGAAACCTCTACAGACTTTGTATTGTGGAGGTGATGGCCATCTATTCCAAATGTCAGACAAAGGGTTGACAGTAGTTTTGAGAACAATGAATTACGTGCGAGTCACTTATCACTTATCACTTATAACGAACGAATAATTATAGATTAACTTATATAAAGCGAGTTGAAATTTAATTGGCATTTGAGGTATCTTGATTAGTTTCCAAATCTTGGTTTTTAGGTTGATTTTCAACATCATCTTTAGCTGCAACACTTTTCTTACCTTTAACTGTTAGTAAAACGAAGAATAAAGCTGCAGATCCAGCATATGCCAAATAAAAGTTCTTTTTAAACTTATGATGTAGTTCAACTCTTGTATCATAATCCCTTGTATATTTTAGCTCACCAGCCAATGCAGCAATAATGGTATTACCAAAGCAAAGACCTATCTGACCAGCTGTTTGCAAAATACCAGAAACAACACCTTGTAAATGCAATGGAGTCCCGGTGATGATATCACTCCAATAGACTTGGAAATATATATTGGTACCAAAACCAAAGATAAATTGACCAATGCATTCATACTTCCAGTAACTATTCTTTACTCTGAAATCTAATCTTGAAATCCAAACACTCATTGTTAACACCAGTATTGGGGTACAACAAATGATAAACTTTGTACCAACTCTCTGAGCAAGATTTTGACGATAAGTAACAGCAGCAAAAGTAACACCTAATGCTAATGGTAAGACTTTCAAAGCAGCCATTATTGGTGAGTCTAGCTCAATGTATTGAGAGTATTGAACAACAGTTGACATCACAGCAATATAATTGATATAAAACAAAAATGTTGCAAACAGGTATTGGAAAAAATTTGGAATCTTAATAACTTCTCTAGGAAATAATAATTCAATTTTGTATCTCCAGTCATTTGTACCCGAGAATTCAGACGTTGATTTGATAGAGCCATTACAAACATCATCTTGATTTTCCTTTATTTGCTCATTACCAAAATGAGTAGTGTTTCCTTCAATATTATTAATTTGAGAATTCACTTTATCCTTGAAGCCTTGAATATACCACATTTCAAAAATCACCACACCGAAAAACACCAATACACCTACAACTAATGGAACATATGAAGATGCCTTATGCCACGATTCACCACCTTCAGTTAAGCCTAAATTAATCAATAAAAGGCCAATAACAAGGAAAGCAGAACCACCATAATCAAGATTCTCAATCTTTAAGTTTTGATGACCTTCAGTCTTCTCAATAGGTATAATGATAAAGTATAAGGCTATAAAACACGCCATCCCAACGGCAAAAGTGAAATAGTATAAACCTTTGTAACCAACCGATGAAACTGAAAATGCACCACCTAAAATAACACCAATACCAAACACCACGGTTAAGGACATTATGAACCAAGCTAATGCTTTTAATAGAGCATCACCTTTAAAGTAATTACCAGTCAATGAAAATGCTGAAGGAATCAAACTAGCGGCAAAGACACCCTGTAGCGCTCTAAATACAATTAAAACAATGATTTGATCAACTATAACAGCTGAAATCAAAGCAAATAAACTAGTGAAGAACAAACCAACCAAGAAAACATTATGAGGTCCCCAAACATCAGCCAATTTACCAGCTATGATAATGAAGGCACCTAATGTTAGGGCATATGATGAAAAAACCCAAGATACAGTTGTGGTACTAGCATCAAATCTTTCAGCAACAGAGAACACTGAAGTCATAGTACCAGCGACGTTCAAATTATCCAAACATGTTGCAATTAAGACGAGAGAATATGCCAAAGTTTTATTTCTCTTCTCCATTGGAACAACATTTCTTCCCTTTGAAAGAGTTTCTGTTATACTGAACCCCATAGTGAAAAAAACTGACACGGGAAAATGAAGTCATCAACATATTACATCACAAAAGGGTCCAACCCTGACCTTAAATACATTTCATGCTGTTTTGTATTGTAGAAACCGTCTGCCATTTCCAGGAGTGTCAGTGATTTTGCATAAACAACACTTGTTTTTATTGTTTGGGAGTAAACGCCACGTTAGCGCCGTCGAGACGCCGCAAATAGAAGCAAGATAACTTGTTATGATCCAGGTGGATAGGATATATTGCGTTTGCTCAATAGTTCAATAGCTTGAAGATGTAAATCCATTGGTTGTTCAGTAGTGCTGGAAACTCAAATTTTGATGATAGCGGTGCTTGCGGACTTTGTATTGTTAAAAAGGTAATGCTCAAGGGACTTAAAGGGTCAGACCTGACAGATTGGGAATTTGAGAGATTGTCATTGTTAATGCTGCTTGTTCATCAATCAACAACTGGAGAACTAGGTGGCCGGATGCTTTGATCAAAAGTTAAACCATTGAAGAGTAAAAACTTGTTTTGAACCCTTTTTATTTTTGAATCTTTTTAGCTATAATGATCCCAAAACGGTAAAACACGGGGCTGAGTCACGTGAAATTGGATCGGAACTGATTTGAACAGTAAATGTCGGGATTACCCGATCTTACGTCAGCTCATCCAATCACCTATTTTATTTTTCCGATTCTCTTTTATTCTACCTTTATACTATTTAATAAATACATCCATTCTCCATAGTAAACTTTACTACTGTTTGAACTTTTAGAAGTATTTGAGAGGTATCTTTATTATGGCTCGAGGTGGTGGAGTAGCTGGTTGACTGTCTATTCTTATGGGATTATCCAAATAGGCGGATAGGAGATACCGATGCTCGTTAGATGACAGGTTGATTCATGCAGTTACAAAAAGTAGACTTTTGTTGACAGGTCCAAATGTAATATTTGGGTGAAGTTATACTGGACTTTTACAGAATTGAGATGATGGAGGGGCTTTTCGAAGTCAATCAAGAAGTACTATGCTGATATAGGCCACTGGTATCATATCGTGGTGTCAAATTTGGCTTGGTGTGTCTAGAAGGTTTATGTTTTGAAGGACTGTCGAGAAGCATATATGCAGTTGTGTTGATTTCCTATGAGAAATTTCCAAGCAGGGAAACAGGCTTTGAGATTTGTTGGAAAAAGGTCCATGCTACAAAGGCTAAAGGGGGTGTAGCTAAAGTGAACTCTTGGTGCATAAGGAAATGGTATATAAACCATAGCAAAACACTTTTTTTATCTGTATCTCATCTATCATCATCATCATCAAGAGTATCAAGAAGATGTCTACTGAAAAAATCTCATTCTTATTGAACTGGCAGCCAACTGCCTATCATATCCAAATTTACGTTGCCCAATTGAAAGGTTATTTCAAAGAGGAAGGCGTTGACATCTCAATCTTGGAACCATCAAACCCTTCAGATGTCACTGAGTTAATTGGTTCAGGTAAAGTTGACATGGGTTTAAAAGCCATGGTTCATACCTTAGCTGCCAAGGCTAGAGGTTTCCCAGTCACTTCAGTCGCATCATTATTAGACGAACCATTCACTGGTGTCTTGTACTTGGAAGGTTCTGGTATCACTCCTGATTTCCAATCATTAAAAGGTAAAAGAATCGGTTATGTTGGTGAATTTGGTAAGATTCAAATTGATGAATTAACAAAACACTATGGTATGACCCCAGATGATTACACTGCTGTTAGATGTGGTATGAATGTTGCTAAATATATCATTGAAGGTAAAATTGATGCTGGTATCGGTATTGAATGTATTCAACAAGTTGAATTGGAAGAGTACTTAAAAGAACAAGGTAGACCAATCACTGATGCTAAAATGTTGAGAATTGACAAGTTGGCTGAATTAGGTTGTTGTTGCTTCTGTACCATCTTGTACATTTGTAATGATGAATTTTTGGCTGCTAATCCAGAAAAAGTTAAAAAATTCTTGAAGGCTATTAAAAAAGCTACCGATTATGTCTTGAGTGAACCAAAGAAAGCTTGGGAAGAATATATTGATTTCAAACCAAACTTGGCTACTGAATTACATAGAAAAATGTTTTCAAGATGTTTTGCTTATTTCTCTGATTCATTATACAATGTTCATCGTGATTGGAGAAAAGTTACAGCTTATGGTAAAAGATTGGAAATCTTACCACAAAATTATCAATCCAACTATTCAAATGATTATTTATCATGGCCAGAACCTAAAGAAGTTTCTGATCCAACCAAGGCTCAAGAATTAATGCTTGAACATCAAGAAGAATGTAGAGCTTGTGGTGGTGGTTACAGAAGATTAGAATTAGTCAATGTCTAATTAAAGCCCAGGAATATCTAAATACATATATTTATTTTTATTTTGGTTTTTTTTCGTAATCATAATAATATACAAGCAATTTATTTCTTATCAGTCAAATCTTTCTCCTTTTCTTGATCATTGGCTAATAATTCTTCATCCAAATCTAAATTTTCTTGAATGTTCCATAATTCAGCATACAGAGAATCTGGTTTTTGTAATAAAGAGTAATGATCACCTTCTTCTCTAACGTGACCCTTCTCCAACACAATGATCTTGTCAGAATCAGCAACTGTTCTTAATCTATGTGCGATTGAAATGTTGGTATTTGAATTCTCTCTAAAGATTGTTCTTATAGTCTTCAATAAAGATTGTTCAGTATGGGTATCTAATGCACTTGTAGCTTCATCAAAGAATGTTATTGGTGATTTTTTCAACAATAATCTAGCAATTGCTAATCTTTGCTTCTCACCACCTGAAATCATCATACCTCTTTCACCAACTATAGTGTTTAAACCTTCTGGTAAATCATGAATCAATTTATCCAATTGAGCTTCTCTAATCACTCTTTGAACTTCTTCATCTGACGCATTAAGGTCACCATATCTGACATTTTCCAAAATGGTATCATTGAATAATGGGGTATCTTGTGGAACAACACCAATTGCTCTCCTTAATGAATCTAAATCAACTTCTCTAATATCTTGACCATCAATCAAGATTCTACCTGATTGAATATCATAAAATCTGAAAACTAATCTTAGAATTGTTGATTTACCACTACCAGAGGGTCCCACAATGGCAACTTTTTCACCTCCAGGGATTGTAAAAGTTGCATTTTTCAAAATTGGACGATCTGGATGATAACCAAAAGTGACATTTTCAAATTTAATTTCACCTTTTGTTAGGTTTAATGGTATTGCACCTGGTTTATTTTGAATCAGGATTTCATTTTTTTGTAATTTGAATAAAGTTTCCATATCTAATAATGATTGTTTCAATTCTCTATAAACAGAACCAAGGAAATTCAAAGGAACGGATAATTGGAAAACCAATTGATTAATCAACACCAAATCACCAACAGTTAAGGCACCAGTGGCAACACCATCTGCAGCCATATACATCATTGCAGTTAATGCACTTGTAAAGATAACATTTTGACCAGAATTCAAGAACGCTAATGAAGTTGCAATCTTGATTGAATAATCTTGATACTTGGCTAAGGCATTATCATATTTCTTGGCCTGGTAAGCTTCATTATTAAAATATTTAACACTTTCGAAATTGATTAATGAATCTAATGCAACACTAGCAGCTTGATTATCTGCATTATTTGCCTTTCTTCTAAAGCCTGTTCTCCACGCAGTGGTTCTAATTGTGAATATTGAATATGCCAACATTGTTAATAATGTAACAGCAGCGAATTGAGCACCATAGTTATAAGTTAAAATCCCAGAAACCACTGAGATTTCAAAAGTAATAGGCAGGATATGGAACACCATTGCAGTTAAAACGTATGAAATACCTTTAGTACCACGATCGATTGCTCTTGTTAACCCCCCAGTTTGTCTTGATAAATGGAAACCTAAATCCAAGCTTAATAAATGTTTAAAAGTATTTTGTGCAACATTTCTAATAGCCGATTGTGCAACAGTGGCAAAGATGGCATTTCTTAATTCACCAAACAAGACTGCACCAAATCTAGCACCACCATAAGCTAAGATAGTACCACCAATGATTGCAGTTACCGTGCCTACTTCATTTGTCCAATCTATATTCATCCCATCAATGATGGATTTGAAGAAAAAGGGAACCTGGACGTTTAATAATTTGGCCAAGATCAAAAATGATAATGCAATTACAACTCTAACTTTGAAAGAAAATTTATCCTTTGGCCAAAGGTATGACATTAAATCTCTAATAATTTTCCATTGTGATAATTTAACAGATTCTTTGGCAAATAATGGTTTATTTGAAGTTTTCCCCTTTAAAACGTTTCTTGAGATAGGCGATGTGCTTATGAATCTATTGGAGATGAATTTATGAGATATTATTGATTTATTAGTGGTGAATAATGAGGAACGGTATAGTTGATTTGATGGTTTAGTGGTTATGGAATTGAAATGTCTAGCCAATTGAGGTCTGATTTGTAATTTGTGGAACTTCCAAAGAGTTGAAGGCTTGAACAATCGTGGGCTCCTCAATCCAATCATCGAGCTGTTCATCATGGACTTGATTAACCAACACCAGCTTACGAAAATAACCAATTTCTAGCTAATTGGGTTTTTTGTTGTCTAATCTTTTGATTGAAGATTTCCAAAAAAAAAATGGCTGGTGTGGTGCGAACCGTGTCATCTGCCATAACGACATCGGAAAAGGGTTTTGTAGAGGACGGAGATGAGGTTTAAAAGGGTTTAGAAGGGTTTAAAACGGGATAAAATAAGTTTAGGTGGTTTATTAGTGATCAGTGGATTGTTATGCCCGAAGAGTACGTGGTTTTAGCAGGTTTTTTGGTAGAGTTGGCATGGGTTTGTCATGTGACCAGATCTTTATGGGTGATAAGTTACCACTGATTCAATAGTGATAGGTGTCATATTTGAATTCATGGATCAATTGTTATTCCATATTTGATAATTTTATCTCTGGATACCTACTGACTTGTTTTCTTGTGGTGATCTCAATTCATTAATGCATTCCAATTCTATTTACAAGCACACCCATCCAGTCTCATTTCTCCTTCTCTATTCTTTCCAACAGATTCTTCACCTTCTCTTCTCTTTCCAAATCATAAGCATAATTCATCACACTAACACCAAGGGCAATGGTTAGCACACCACCAAACAACGCTCTCAACACGGTCCCACTAATACTTTGTTGTGGTGTAGATGATCTAGGCCCCCAGTTCCCATAATATATGTAATACCAGGATTTTTTCTCCTGATCACTTAGTTTTCTCCAATCATCTTGACCTTTCCAATTCAAATAATCAATCACATCAGCTTGATCCAATTCTTTCATCTTTTCCCATCTTTTCTCGAGCCCTTTGATATCTGGAGGAACGTACTCTTGAGTCGTGGTCAATGACCTTATCAAAATTGGACTGTTTATCACTCTGGCACTTCTCTTTATCATCAACATCCTCTGAATTCACTGGCTTTTTTAACGTGTTTTTAACTGAATTTGAATTCATTTTGGTGAAGTTTTTCAACGGTACAAAAAATGGTCGCGAAACTTCGCGAATTTGAATCAAAGAAGTTTTGAATTTGAACACGTTAAACTTGACGAAATTTTTGAATTAAAAGCAATTTTGAAATAGTATAAACAGTTGAAAATGGGAATCGCTGAATCTTTTGAATTAATGGCAGTATGTTTTACGTCTACCCTTTGGTTTGTTTTTTAAGGGGAGTTTTGGAAGCTTGTTTTGATCAATTTTATTAACCATTTGAATATAGGCTGAATATAACAATGCATCTGTCTGGAAAGCTCCTATAAGTTATGACTTGAATGGGATATTAGCCTTGGTATTTTTGTTATTCTGTGAGTATTAGTTCTCGGTGGATTTAATTGAGATAAAGATGGAGTACTAACATATTTATAGCCTTCTCTATAATTTCAGTCATTACTCTAAGTGATAAATCATCATTCCAAGGAAGTGTTAGATATGTTATCCTAAGTGCAATTGGATCACTTTTATTTGGGTAAGTTTTGTTATCATTGATGGGTGTCAGTTGGATCAATTTACTAACTTTGTTATCAGTTTTGGTAGTGTGTTGTTTTCTAATTACGTTGGTGTTTATGTTTAGTTGGATAGAATAATGAAAGTAAAAAATTTAAAGACATAAGAACGTAAATTTCTATCCAATCATGAGGGTGAAAGTAACTTTATCTTTTGAATTGTCCATGAGCAATCTAAGATCCAGAACCCACTGAAAATTGGGCCCTGATCCCCAGTTATAAAAAGGAATACGGATAAAGAAACTCTCTACATTACGAATATTCAATTGCTTTCTACAAAATAATTGAATTGTCTCTCGTAGATCTCTTTTCATCACCATCGCAATGTCTTTGTTAACGACCTTGCTCATATAAAAACTGGGGTCTCGAAAAAAAACATAGAGAGAAGCCATATTATCAAACACACAACCACAAACAACTAAAACAATACCAAAATGCTCAAATTAAGACAGTCTTTAAAATCAATTCACTCTCAAAGAAGAACTCTAATCACTTATTCCAAACAGAATCAACTTTATATCCATCCAAAGTCAAATAACAAGAATTTGGTTTCATTTTCTAAAAATCCAGAATCTTTAGCAATTGGTGAATTCTATTCTTCAAACCCTGAAAATGAAGAAATTACAACAAAGAATTTCATATCAGAGAATAAAGAATTCTTGAATAAACTTCATGAATTAATCAAGAAACACATTGCAGATGATTTCACATATGCTGTTGAATCGGCAAGTTATGCTGATCAACATATGCCAGTATATGACCTTAGAGTAACTCCTAACTATCAAAGACAACCTGATGTGGAAAATACTTTTGGATTTGTTAGAATCGGCTCTGATGGTACAATTTTAAATGATAGTTATCAAGTGAATGATTTGTATAAATTGGTTACTTCTGATGGTCCGATTAAAGTGAGTGATTATCTTCATGAAAAATTGGTTGAAGAGTTGGATTAAAGAGTCAAGGCTAGCCATTATTTATTTTATTTATTTATACTTATTATTTATTTATTCAACACATATATTGTTATCAATCACATTAGACATCTGTCGTTTCCTACATGTACTGTTAAGTTTAAAAAACATGTATTTCTAAATCTTGATACTCATCACATTTAACATTAAAAAATCTTCAATCATAACCCGAAATCATCACTTGTAATCAACAAAGAATCCAATTGATTATTATCATTCAAAATGTGCAACATACTTTTATTATGCTTAATCAATTTTTCCAAATTAGAAATACTTGACTTGCCTAAACTTTTCAAAATTTCTGAATTTAACTCATCAGAAATTTTTAAAATTTCATCATCATTTAATAAATAACCAAATTCTGATTCTTTTGGATTTTCAAAAGCTAATAAGCTGAAAATATCATTCAAAAATTCCTGGAATTTTGAATTTTCACTATATTTCGATCTAAGTGATTGTCCAAATTCAATTGCTTCATCAATTTTTGCCTTTTTAATCAATTGAATGAATTCATTACAATTTAATTTGAATAATATCTCTTCATTCTTGCTGAAAACTTTAGGGAAGTTCAAATTGGTTAATTTTATTGAAGAATCAATATCACCACTTATCAAATATTTTCTAATTTGTTGACGAATCTTGAGATTATTTTCATCAATTGTGGAAATTGTTTCAATCTTGTTGAAATTCTTGATTAAGGTTTTATCAACTTGTTCATTTTTAATCTCTTGAAGAAAGGTTTTGGAAATATCAATATAACCTAAATGATTGAAATATGAACTAACCAATTTTTGTAAAACATTTGGAATCTCTTTATCTGTATTCAAATTGATTCTATTAACAGCATCACATTTATTATCCTTGGTAAAACTGAAAACTTTTTTATAAATTTTCAATTTTTCATCATCAATATAACCATCAATATCAAAAATGAATTCATTTTGACCAAAATTTGAACTAACTGAATTCCCATTCTTCAAACCAATTATTGGAGTTAATGCCCTATTAATATCTGTAAATGCAACACCTAAATAAACACCATTCTTTGTATAAAATATACTCTTTGTAGCAAAATTAATTCCAGTACCAATGATATCACCTTGACCAAATTTACAATTATATTTCTTACTTGTGGATTGACTATAAATGATACTACCATCACTACCATTGAATCCATAACTTCCATTCTCTAATCCTGGCATCTTACTAACATTTCCAAGACTTGAATGCATAAATCCTATTGTAACATCTGAATTATTTTTCAAATTATTATTTGTCACTGTAAGGATTTTCGTTTCAAAATAGAAAATACCAACATTAACAGGAATTGAATTATCAGTCTTCGTTACCAAATAATCATAGTTTTTCGATATTGATGCAGTTGCACTATTATTAGAATTATTATCAATTTTTAATGTTAACCCATTATTTGCCACAACTAGTGATTTATTTGATGAAGGTTCCCATTTGGTAGGTAATGAATATTTAAAGTTTGTAAAAGGATTCTTTGTAGATGATATTGATTGTAATCTTGAAGATCTTGAATCCTTTCTTGAATTACGTCTTGATATTGATCTTGAGCTTATTGAACGACGTATACCTGCATCTTCGTAATCTATATCCATTTCATCTGCATAATGAATATTTCTCACTTCTTCCTCTTCTTCTTCTTCATCGTCATCGTCATCTTCCTCATCTTCATCATCATGTATAACATCATCATCTTCATAACTATCAAATGTTGTATTTCTGTCACGGGATGGGTTTGTTGATTGACTATTTGTAGTTGCTGAAAATATTGAGGCCAATTCACTATCATAATCAGCATTCAGATATCTTGAAGGCATATTACCCATTATCCCCAGAGCACTTAGCTTTGTAGTGATTGAACGGTCATTTTGTAAAGTTGAAGGTGTTGCTAATTTCTTCTGTAATTCTTCTCCATACGCCGTCTTCAATAGATAAGAAGGCAGATGGAACTCTTGTTGCGGTTGTTGTTGGTTGAGCTCAGCAGCTGCAGCGGCAGCAGCAACAGCAGCGTTACTAGTGGACGATTCCATTCTTTGGTAGATGATCTGGCTATTGCTAATTGATTTAGAAGTTGATGTTTATTTGTTCTCTCTTTTATGAATATGTCATGTAAAATCACCGCCAAAAGGGTTAGAAAATAAAAACATCCGAACACCACTGTTTTTTTTTAACAGACAACGTTCTTATATTTCTAATCTTTTCTAACTATACAAGTACTTCCATTAAGTTCATTTTCCAAATTCACATTTCTCATTAATAATTAAAACAACCACTAGATTTCTAGTAATTGGTTTCTTAAAATAATAGGTTTCCAAAAAAGACTCTAAGCGTCAAATCATCAATTAACTTAAGATTTCATAATACAGAGGGATATAATTTATCTTTGTAACACCCTATTGATGTTGAATTTGTCCTCAACCATATATCTATCCTAGCATCTCAACAACACAACCTTCAAACCCCTTCAGAACCTCTCGCTCATCTCTACTCACCTCTAAAACCATACTTTTGTTGAATACTTCTCATCTTGTATTTGGTAGCTGAAACAGCTTCTTCACATGTTCTGTCATTCTTTCTAGTGATACGAGCTTGTATCAAAGCATCTATCCAGAGAGACATTTTTCTTAGGACTTTTTTCATTTTTCTGTGAATTCAGTTGGGGTTGTTAGTTCTGTTAAACTAAATGGTGAGCTAGCAACACTTTTAAAACC